GCCGCCAACCAGATAATGTTTAATACATTTTAATACCACTTATTTTTTCTTGGTCATAGATGCGGATATGTATTTAAATTCAGCTAAGCAATAATGTGGTGTTGTAATGGTAAACCCAACATGTTTGTTGTTTCAAACATGTTGCAGGTTTTCTCTGGGAGATCCTGGATCACTGATACTGTCGGGTTCAACGAGGGACCAGTTGTGAAGGTTGCTGCACATTCCGCAACAAAGCTGAAGTTTTCAAGATGGTGAGCCAAACCATATCAGACTTCTGTGAAATCTTGTTGACCAATTCCATTTTGTTCCCCTATTTTATTTTGTATGTGTGGGTGGTAACTCATTCACTTTCTCCGAAGGATTTCAGGTGACACAGATCAGGTGACTTTAGCTCGGTTGGAATCGACTGATCGAACCGGGCAAACATACAAAAAACTATGGAAAATCACCGTGCTATAAGGGTAAATCTACTATTTCTATGGTCATTTTCAATAGCAAACTGTTAAATTACCAGAGGGTAACCTTTTTTGGGGGATTTCTTGGGTGGTTTACCCAGATTTCCTCGTGTTGAGCGAAAAAGATGTTTTTTTAGGTGCCCATGAAGGAGCCCTACGCGGGTTGAAAGTGCCACAGTGCCAAGCGTTCTCAGTTGGCACCACTGGCTAGCCACAATCATGGGCCACCTCTACTCCATTTCTATGTCCTAGATGCGAAATATGTACCAACATGACCCCCCAAAAATAGCCCAGTGATGTAGAGGCAAATACCCTCTGGTAATTTAACATAGCTATGGAAAATCACCAGTTGAATAGGTAAAATCATCTATAAATGGTCTTAATGGTCCAGTTTCCATAGTTATGTTAGTTTATTGGAGGGTAACCCTACCATTTATCTTCATGAAATCACCATTAATTAATAGCTATTACCATCTGGTTATTTAACATAGCCATGGAAAATCCCTTATAAATGGAGGTTTTAATGGGAAAATCATCTATAAATGGGCCATTTTCCATGGCTATGTTAAATAACCAGAGGGTAAGTATTGATAAAGATACCACCATGGAGCATCTTGGCTGCCGTACTGGAGGCGATGGGCCGACTCACCGTGGTGAACAAGGCATGAAATGCTCCGAGGAAGTTCCGTGGTTCATCCTATAACAGTGCCTAAAAGATGGATTTCGTACAATTGCAATGATAATGATACAGTATAATTATAGTAATAAGAAGAAGAATACTAACAGAGTATGTGTATGTATATATATATACATATGTAAACATGTATATGTATATATCTATATATGCATATTACATGCAAAAAACACGTTTCATATGTGAACGTACATGTACTTATATTATAGGTGGTAAGTTAGATATATATATATATATCTGTGTGTGTGGTGAACCTTTGATCTTGCTCGTGGGTCACTGGCCCCAATTACAGGGAACAACCCGATTCGCTTCATCCCCACATGACGACTAATATGAGTCTAAGAATAGGGTGCCAAAAAGATAGCCGGTGGCTTAGAAGGCTTAGAACCTCAATAAAATGGCAACTGTGTGGATGTAGCCATTTTTTTTGGCCAATCCAAATTTGACAAGTGTTGGTTCGTCTTGGTTTTATATATCTATCCCGTTATTATCCCACTAAATCACCCTTACAATTACACCGACATACCACGACTTTGATTTTCAAGCCCACACCAGCAACAGGTACGACCAGTCTGAACTCTCAGAATGCGGCGGGGGTGGTGCCTGAAGTTCAGATATCTAATTCCTAACCTCGATCGCTGCAGATGTTTTTTCCAATGGGTAATCCACTGCTTGGGGCATCGGTTAAGGGGATATGTTTTCTGGTTGGTGGTTTGGTTATTTTTCCATATATTTGGAATAATCATCCCAACTGACCAATATTTTTCAGAGGGGTAGGTATACAACCAACCAGTTTTACTTTTTACGGGTCCCTTAAGCAAGGTAAGCATCAACAACAATACTGTAACTTAGAAAAACCCACAAAGGTGGTGGTAAAACGAGATATAATGGGGACAATCTGAATCAATTTATAGCCGAACTTTGCAGCTTGCTGACTTATGACATTTTCTAGATATCTCATAGTCCATTGTGTTCCCAGTTCTTTTTCTTAATACCATTTATCTAGACCCATTTTCCAGATAAGGGGTTATGAGCCACTTTTGCAGCAGTTGCTGAAATAAAGATTGTTTTTCTTATGCGGAAATAGGGGTTTTGAAGGTCTTGGAGAAACAAGTTCCAGTTACATACCCAGACAGATCAGACAGGGTAATTGATGGCTACACTCATTTTTACAATACGGCAGTGTCAATACAGTATAAGTCAGTATATATATATATATATTTATTTATATAAGCGGCAACTTCAAGCCAAAACAAATATCAGACATAAAGATTGCTTGATCCATTTGTGGGTTCTTATGCGTGACATTTAAATCTTATTCATCGAGCTTGACACTTCATTGACTTCACAGTTTTGCACTACTCTTTTGAGGCTGGCTGTCACAACATTTTCTGGGAGCATATAATCTTCAATTCTCGTTCAGCAGACTTACCCAAAACAAGCAATGAGCACCCCTTTCCAAACTTTAACGTTAAGATCAACCAAGTACCCGTTTCATATGCGTTGTCAATGCCCGAACTGGGCTGGATATATTGTTAAGAGGGTTAGAAGGCAGTGATGTTTGCGGTTCTCTATCTTCATTTGGACCTCACCTTCCTTTTGGAGTACTTCAAAACAAGCTCTGGCAAATGATACGGTTCCCAAAACTCACAGGAACCCCAACAAAGAATTACACAATCGTTAATCTACGGTTAATAACGGTTAACCTATAGTAATAATTTGGTTGGTGGTTTGGAACATTTTTATTTTTTCCATATATTGGGAATAATCATCCCAACTGACTAATGTTTTCAGAGGGGTTGAAACCACCAACCAGTAATGGTTATCTAAGTTCAAGATAGGTGCTTGATATCCAGCTATAAGATAGGTACGCTACGCTTGGTACGCTTGGTGCGCTTGGTACGGTACGCTTGGTGCGCTTGGTACGCTTGGTACGCTTTGGGTAGGTACGCTTGGTACGCTTAGTAAGGTACGTTTGGTACGCTTACCAACCGTACCGACCTTACCACCGTACCAGTGAACCGTACATAACCGTACCACCGTACCGTACCAGATTAAGGGGGGGGTCAAGGGGGGGGCGTTTTGGATGTACCAATACTACTTTAGTATTGGTACATCCAAAACGCCCCCCCCTTGACCCCCCCCTTAATCTGGTACGGTACGGTGGTACGGTTATGTACGGTTCACTGGTACGGTCGGTACGGTTGGTAAGCGTACCAAACGTTACTAAGCGTACCAACCGTACCAACCGTACCGTACCACATGTACCAACCGTACCGTACCAAGAAAACCAAACCTACCAGCCGTACGTACCAGACATGTTTGGATCTTACTTAAGGCCTCTACCACCTATCTTGAACCTAGCTAAAGTAATGGTTATAAATCATCATCTGTTTATTTCCCTTGCCCATTTCTGATTTTTTGGGTGGATGGGTCGAAACCAGCGACAACGAACCAAGACCTCTCTGCTGGGACCGAAAACGGAAGAGGTTCCAAAGCTACTCGGCAGCACGTCTTTTTCTGCTGGTGTGACTTGGAGCTTACCCTCTGGTAAACATACCCAAAACGATGGAAAATCACCATGCTATAATGGGTAAATCAGCTATTTCTATTGTCATTTTCAATAGCAAACTGTTAACTTACCAGAGTTTACCTGCGGCAATCTAGCCTGGCAACAGGAAATCAGCATGTTCAATAGTTTCCATTGCCATGTTTGAGTATCGGAGGGTATAATCTTGAATAAATACTCCAAAGATAGTTCAAATAGCTTTAGACGAGGATGTTCTTCTTGAAAATGAGCTGCATGGTGTGTGTTCTCGTTGCTTAGATAAGGCGTACTGGTAATTTGCCAACTCACATCCTGGACGTACGCATCGCCTTGTTTTTTTTCTCCAGCTAGGATACCCCCGAACAGATGGCAACTCTGAGGACATTCTGGCAGAAGGAATTCGATGTGCTGCGGCGGCATAGGAAGTCATTGGTTGGTTTGGTTTGTGGTCTCCTGAGGGAAAAAAAAGAACGCATGTTTTACCGCTGAAATGTAACATAGAACAGAAGAAATGCCACCTTCTTATGCGACAGAAAAACCATCGAAAATCATCAAAAATTCATTTGCCAACCCGCAGTGTTGAGAGGGCTCTCCGGGAGTTGGAGTTATTTGTGCTTATAGTACTTTCGCTACCTTGTACCCAAAGCCCAAGCCAAACAGATTTCAAGGGTTCGTGGGCATAGTAATGCGTTTTTGGGAGTTGTGTTCCGTATGTTCGCTTAAGTTCAATGGGCCAAAATTGGGGGCACAGACCAACCGAATTGGTCATGTTTAGTGTCAAACCCACATGCTCCATGTATGGAATATTTACCTACATTTGCCCGAACAAAATCACCCAGTTTTGTAGGTTTTTTATATACCAGCACCATGGTTCGCATATGTCAGATGGGGAGTTGAACATTTTGACCGCGACCCAGTCTTCTGATTTCAGAAATTCGGTCGCCACGATTGGTTCTACTGAAACTTCACCACTTGATATCATCCTTATCACCATTTTGCTATCACATCAAACCAAATCATTATTCATTGCATAAATCACCATAATTGTTGTTGCTTACATCCCTATTGTTGATAATTCAAGTTCACGATTGTTCAATTTCAGTGCTATGCAAAACCGAAACTAGTGGTTCGTATCAAGTTTACAGATGTTTATTTCGAGTTGAGTTGGTTGTTGTGTCGTCAATTCCCCTCTCAAATTCCGTGGCGTTCCCGTGGTGCAACGAACCACACCACGACTGAGGGCTACAAGCAGGTGATTTGTTGGCCCTCGGGGGTCCTACTGATCTTGGTGCCTTTGGGCTTCATGGGTCGCACCCTGCAGTGGCGCCTTGGCAATATCCAGAGCGAATGGAGGGTTCTTGGGATTTATAAAATGGTGATAGCGTGGAATATAGTGGATATGAATGGGATAATATTGGCTGGTTGGTGGTTTGGAACATTTTCCATATATTGGGAAGAATCATCCCCACTGACTTTCATATTTTTCAGAGGGGTAGGTATACCACCAACCAGTTGGGATATGATTGGAATATTGGTTTAAGCATGAAAAAATTATGGTTTCACAGGATTCGAATGGGATTTCTCAGATTATGACAAGGTCTATTTGTGATTTGTGATGATGATTTGCCTTGCGGTGTCATCAAACATGGCTAGCTGGAACAGCACCGCACCAAATACTAAATGGAGGATTGTTTTAATGGCAAAATCATGGAACTAAATGACGTATGTTCCAGCACGCCGTGTTTGATACAGGGTGTGGCCGCCAAGTTATGGCAAATTTTAACGGGAAAAGTGATGATATATAAATGGCTCAATCATCAAATTTGGGGTACCCCATTCGCAGACAAACCCGATATATTGATTGGGGTGAGGGGTTTGCTGTTCGCTCAAGGGAGCACGGGAAAAGAGGATGAACCAGAACCTAGGGTCACTAAGACAGGTGCTGATTCATGGTTGATTAGTTGTTGCGATTGATAGGTGATGATTTCGAGGTTACTGTATACTATCTGGATCTAATTGGGTTTACTGAAGTTCATTGTGAATTTGGGAAACAGCAGCTCAACATCTATCAGCCACACCGCTCAAGTGATGATGGAATTACTGTACTGCTTTTGGAACGATATGGAACCATTAAACTCATACACTGCAGTTCTGAACCCATGTTTATTCAACTAATCACTCATCCCTTCGAATATTCAACACCACCGCGGTAACCGTGGTGTCCAATAGCTGGATAGATTGCACAGAGGTGCAGTGTCACTTGGATAGTTGGCATAAGTTGGCATAGGTGTATGCCCATAATTATAGGGGTCACCCTCATTTAAACATAGAAGATGTGGAAAACCTATGGTTTTCCTGGGAACATGATCTAGAATGGTGAATCTCCCACATCTCTGTTAGTTTACAGGGCATCAAAACTGATGGCTGCCATGGCTGTTACTTCCCCAGTGGTGTTCCCCCAGGAACTCGCTGATCGTTTGCTTGGTGAACTTCTTAGCTGCTCGGCGAATAATTAGCTTCTGGGAATCATTGTCATGGCGAAGAGCCCCTATTTATAGCATATTTATAGCCTCCATTTGTAGATGATTTATAGGTGATGTTCCCATTAAATGATGGAAAGCTCCTATTTATAGACAAGTGCCACGTTCGATTACCGGTGGGTAACCATACCTCTATTAGGGCTTACGTAAGGTATCGTCACCTGAAGCCACTATGCCTATTGCATCATGACTTCGGCCTCCGGATAGTTGTTGGACCCATCTTTCCTGGCAGGGATAGAGCCCGTTTAGCACCAGGCATTCAGTAGATGGCTTGTTTGTACACAGACTGGGGGTTAATTGGTACTTTGGTACCTGTCATATATTTATTTGGGTAGAAACAGGCCGTCTACTGAATGCCATCTATGGTACTTGTCTAAGGTTTAAGTGGTACTTAAATTATCAGCCATCTTAATACATGATTGAATCGGGGCCCAAGACTGCAGGTGCCATTGCAAATCCATGTGAGAATCCCGAAGCTTTTTTGAACAGCGTTAGTAACTGGCCGGGGATGATGCAAGATGGTCCCCTCACTTATGAGGTGATTTTTGACCCGGCCCATCCAACTGAAGATGTGCCCACCCTGACTCCAACCATTAGTCCAGTGAAATAAGCCAACCTTCTATTTCGACCAGCATGGACCAGTGAAATAAACCACTCTTAATCAGCATGAACCAACGGAAACCCCATGTTTGTCATGGTCAAAATATGTTCAAAATGGGTGGTGTCGAACCAGGACAAGTTACCAGCAATCAAGCCAGTATTAAAGTAGCAGTTCCATGATATGGACCAGCATTACTTATTGTGATTTCAACGGATGGCCTACACCACAGCGGGATCCCTGTGGTGTCATGAAAAACCAACCCTTCCAAGGCGGCAACCCCAGGAATGTGGGCCTTAACCACCAACAATCGCTAATAAGGACAAATCTTATATAACTAGTTGTCATGGAAGGTCACCGAAATGGGGCTGTTGCATGCTGTTATCCCATTTGTATCCATTTGTTATATTTTCTTATATCCCCATCATGCTTGATTCTGAATATTGGTCGGAATCATGTTGACTTGACACCAATGTTCCCAACACTAAGACTTCAAGATTAAAAAATACCATTTCTCAAGATTATTCCCACCAATCTTCCCAACAATAGGCTGGACAAATGGCCATGACTGACCTTAGGCTATCATCGGAATGGCCAATGTACAAGCAAGAGCGGTGGAGTGCGTAAGCCTTCAGGTCTCTCCCTTGATCGGTGCCTCGGCGAGCGGTAAATCCGGTGTTGGGGATTTCATTGGTTTAACTACTGTGGATGGGCCAGCGAAATCCTGCACCACCAAACGGATGTTTGAAACCTTACAATGTGGGGCCCCCAAGATAGCTAAGTTGGTTTATAACTCCAGTAACCATGGTTTATGGTACTTATAACTATAGTTAATGGGGTTTATAAACCAACTTACAACTGGGGGGCCCCGCATTGTACAAATAATGGGAAAAGCCACCTATCAACTGGCGCAGGATTTCGAAACCATCCGCAGTATGATTGGTGGTTTTTCATGGGATTATTGGGATATCTCGGTGATTTAAATCATCAAACCATCATGGGATTTAATGGCATGAACCTTCCTATTGATCAATGAGATTTACCCTCTGGTAATTTAACATAGCTATTGAAAATTGCCATGTATAGTTGATTTACCCATTAAAAATTGTGATTTTCCATAGCTATGTTAATTTACCAGAGGGCAACTGGATCACACATCTCTACATCATGTCTGGATGAATGAACGATCATGACCGATGACGTTATGACGGAAAATTGGAATGATGGTTGGGATTGGTTTCAGCTATTTGCAGGATAGTTAATGGGGCTTTAGCGGAAATTGAAGCAATGAAAACTTGATTTTTAATATATGTCTTTTTCTTTAGAGCCTCAGCATGAAGGTTTGAACCAGCAGAAATGTGGTAGGGATTTTGTCTGGGCCCAGGAATGGAGGATTGGCGGCTGCATGCAGTCTGTGATTTTCACACGCCCCGTGAAATACATGGAATATATGAGACTGGACTATCTTGATATGGTTGCCATCAGTCTTACCCTCCTGTAATCAAACATGGCAACTGGAAATTGGAAATCCACTATACGTGGAGGAAAATTATGGAACTAAATGGGGAATGTGCCGGCAAGCCACGTTTGATTGCTGCTAGAGAGTAAAAGAAATTTGCAGTCGTGGGATTCTACCGTGCTTGCTTGCTGCGCTGGCCAGGCGCGGCGTCAAAAACAAAGGGCCGTAAATGCGAGTGCCCGCGGGAGGCTTCTTACAACAACATAGGAAATTACCGGGAAGCCTGCATCCCAATTTTCCACTTTGGCTGCGGTCCAATCCAAAGATGTTCCTGTGGCAGGCCCCGTCAATTTGCGCACAATGGATGCAGGACTTGAATGCCGCGCCCCCGTCCTTTCCGGCAGCTGCCCCGGCTCCGCCAGCTGCGGCGTCAGCCTGTGCACTTCCGAGAAGAAGCCGCAAGACTGGCACAAACCACCACCAAAGAGACCCCCGCCTTGCACGACAAGCAGTTTCGGTGCATTGGTCCAAACTATTTGTGTTAAATGATGGTCTCCATTGACAAGCATCAGCATGGCTTTACTTTTTTAGGGGGTTGCAACCGCCAACCAGCATCAGCTGAATCATACATAAGTCCCTAAATTTTGCTGTACAGGTACTGCACATCGCCAGTGTGATCCGTTCTTTATTTGTACAGACAGCCCCCCCAGTTCTGTTTGTTGATTTACCGTATGTTACCCCAAACTCGGTTTATCCAACCAAATCCGTCATTCTAGTTCTGCTAACAGAAATCCAACAAGAAATCCAACAGTAAGCTATTTTAAGAGCTGGTGAGATGGTCCCATTAAATATCCTATGCTCCAAAAAACGTGGGAATTTCATCTCATTGGATGGTCCCATTTTTTGCTGCTGAAATGGGGGTTTCCTGGAATGGGGGTACCCCCAAATCATCCCAAACCGATTGTTTATAGTGGAAAATTGGAAAATCCTACTCAAATCGATGATTTAAATCGATGGTTATTTTCGTTGAATATCGGAACATCCTACTAAACTCTGGAAATCGGAAAATCCCATCTAGAAATCGATGATTTGGGGGTACCCCTATGACTTAGGAAACCTCCAAATCATTCCAAGTCCCCCGTGCCTTCCCCATGTAGGTGGGATGATCGACGCCTTCCTGGGCAAATCCGTGGAGCAGATCATGGCCATCCAGTGCCCCGTTTTAAAATGAACTTATGTATCTAAATACATGTATTTGGTGACTTTATAATGATATTATATATGTATCTATATGTGATTATATAATGATATATATATATGTATATAGAGTTAAATAATTATATATATAAGTATATATATATATATTGGTATCTGATGTGTGAAACTTATCATGCACTTGGGAAACAAACACATCAATACTAGTCGGTATCAAAGCTGACAAAGGCGCACCTTGGGTTCTCGGCATTCCCCCTTTCCAGCGCGCCCCTACTTCACACCTGGCAGGGCCTGACCTCGAAATTGCCCATATTTGAGTGAACCTTTGGTGAATTGTTGGTGTTCCTTCTCTTTTGGATGATATGAAAATATCTCCGATGCTTGGTAGTGAATTCCGCATGTTGTCTTTTTCACCTGTGTTGGCGAAATCATCAAACCGATCAAAGCATTTACTCCAACTATTGTGATGGTGACTCACTCAAGACTGTTGGTTTGGGGAACCGTACTTTCCTGTTATGGTTACTCAAAACGGATTAAGCCTAAAAAACTATCAACAAAAATAAAACCCCCATAAAGACCAATAAAACCTGTGATAAGTGATAGCCCATAAAATCCCATGGAACATTGTTATATTTTAACCATCCAGCAAAAACCAGATGTCTTATGCAGAAGATCTTCGTCTCCGAAGCTTCGGCTGGTCTAAGGTGCTTACGCGCAGGGCTCCCGGAAGTGCTTAAGGCGAATCTCATGGGATCCCTACACTGGTGCCTCGGATGAGCGAAACGCGGAACTACTGGAGCTGCGACGAGAAAAATATGGGATGAACAAGAGAAAGCTGCCATTCAACTCTTAAAGAATTACCCTCTGGTAAACTAACGTAACTATGGAAAATCACCATTTTTTATGGGTAAATCCACTATAAATGGCCATTTCCAATATCTATGTTAGTTTACCAGAGGGTACCATTTAAGTGGATGATATTTAATGTATGCTGCCTAATAGTAAACCCCCCCTAAATAAAATATTTAAAAAAAAAAGTCGGGGGGGGGTCAGCATTCCAATAGTAAATTTTTGGAACCTTATGGCTGGGATTGAGGCGAAGGAGGAGGACGAGGAGGAGGAGAAGAAGGAGAAGAAGGAGAAGGAGAAGGAGAAGGAGGACAACAAAATTGGAGTTGCGGAAGAAAGTTTCCACTATTGCCATGCCTGGTGCAGGTTTGTTATTGCTATTCTGGGGCTTGCAAAGGGGGTACCCTTTGTGGACCTGTTTTCTTGCTTTTTTAAATAAGGGTTTTATAAGGAAATCAGCTGTTTGGTAATTGGATCAGATTTCTGGAATCTAAGCTTTTGCTAATCAAAAGTGAAGGCTGCTTTGAAAAGGATTTGCTTTACTTGACTCTTTTGGCAGTACTAAAAGTAAATGGAGCTAATTGACTTTTAGTATTGGAGAAAAAATTGGAGTTGGGAAAAAAGTTTCCACTATTGCCATGTTGGGTCCACTATTGGCCATGCCCTCTGGACAAGGTCTGAACATGACTCTTTTGGCAATACTAAAAGTAAATGGAGCTAATTGACTTTAGTATTGGAGAAAAATTGGAGTTGCGGAAAAATGTTTCTACTATTGACAAGATATCACTACTGGCTAGACAACATTATTGGTACCACCAATTCAGACCAGTTGATGCGTTTCTTTTTGGATGGTTCAGAGTTTAGAATTAGAACTGGCTTAACACGTCGGGATTGCTTATGGCATTTCAAAAAAATATGTTTCTGTTTTATCCAAATGGGGATTTGCTGTGGATATATATATATATATATAATTGGTTTACCACATTAACAATAATATTTTATGGGATCCACTTGCGAATGATGTGAATTTAAGCATCAGATAATAGATCTTAATGGAAGATCAACTGGGGGAACCAACCGGATGGATATATCATCAACAATATCCCAAATGGTGCGCATGGCTTGGCAACCATAATGGATATACAATTGGGATCTGCGTTGGAACATATAGATCAACAATAGATAACCAACGAGTTGTCCAGAAAGCACTAGCCTGTCCCCAGGCTATGGTAATTCCACCCATCTACTGTCAACCTGTGTTTTTGTGATTGCTTGACAAACCTGGCATGCGTCCATGAAAAGTAGGTTGTATGAGACCCAAGATCCTGAGAATTGAAACAGTTGACCAGTGGTATAGTGACTAGCACCTTTGTGCAAAGAAGAGTGAACACATAGCCATATCCGACGATGAAACCACCTTTATGAGAGATCGTTTGTTGGATTTCAGCTGTCAAATCGTGCAGATGCACCCATGTCGTCGCGGGGCCTCAATGAAAACAGCCTTGCTGGTGTTTCGTGCAGAAATTCTTGTGCAGATTGGCAAGGATTTTCTATATTTTATCTGGTTTTATTGAAAGTCACCATTCAGTTAAATAGTTCGTGTCAAGCACCATCCCAGACATTTCTAGAAGGTGTTTAACCTCCCACAAAATGTTGGAAGTGTTTGACCTGCCGGTGACCTGCGTGAGGTGTTTGCTTCTGGTCCTAGGGCAGTCCATCATGACAGCAGGACAGCTGATTTGATCGTATTCCCATGTTTTTTTCCGGGAATTAATGGGATTTTAATGGTGGTTCATAGGATGAATAGGAATTCATGGGATTTTCGCCCATATAACCAGTGGTGTAATGTGAATTAATGGGATTTTCACCAAATAACTCATATAACCCATGGTTTAATGGGAATTATATCGTGGGATTTTCGGGTGATTAATAGGTATTTAAGCAACAACAATGGGGATGCTAATTGGAGAATACCCTCCGGTGTCATTAAACACAGCCCGCTGGGAAATCCCCACAGCCAGAGGGTACCCCCATTTCCTCACCACGTGGAGAGCGATCCAACTATCCAACGCTCAAAAATCTGTGGGAAAGAAATCGTGACTCTGATTTCGATATCCAACTATATTTCGATGTTTATCCGATATTTCAAAAAATCAAAAATCAGAGTCCAACTATCCAACACTTTTCCCATTTCAATCTCCAACCTGATTTCGGGGCATCCGTCAAAGCCTGCTCGGTGGCTTGGGGCCCATGGTCCAGTTTTGATTTAATCCATGACGTTCATGGTGGGTAAAGCAATGCCATTTGCACCATCCCCCAGAAAAATCACCGTTTTTTGTAGGTGGTATGTCATGGGTGGTAAACATGACATTGTTTTACCCACATTATTGATGATTACAGTATTTGGTTGGTGTTTTTCAATGTTGTTTATGTCCAGCGATATTTGAGAGCCCCCGATAACTTGAGCAAATATGTTTCAGATGGGTGAAATCCTCATTCATCCTGGTGAAAGTCCAATGTTCCAGCAATGTTCATGAATCCTCTTTGGCTATTGTCACAAACAATGTTTCACTGGTGAGTTTTTCCCATTTTATCCACATTATTCCACATTGTATCATTACTGATGGGTTTTCTGGTCATGACTTATGGGTATCTGGTTGGTGGTTTGGAACATTTTTTATTTTTCCATATATTGGGAATGTCATCATCCCAACTGACGAACTTATATTTTTCAGAGGGGTAGGTATACCACCAGCCAGGTATATAGTTGGCTAATGAAGCGGCTAATGTGTACCTGCATTATCTCCACAGTTAATCTGATGGCCGTAGAGTTGGCGAATTTCGGAGGCTTCAAGAAGAAGATGCTGGAATTCAACGTCGATGGCGTTTCCGCGCAGATGTCCTCGCAGGTCTGGATGTTACAGTGGACAAGGGTTTACCCTCTGGTAAACTAACGGTTTGCTATTGAAAATGGTCATTTATAGTGGATTTACCCATTAAAAATGATGATTTCCATAGTGATGTTAGTTTACCACAGGGTAATATAATAATATATAATGTATACGTTGTCCAATACAAACCAGTTGGATATCAGGGAATATCATGGGAATACATTTTGGATATAATATCTGGAATCTCGTAAACTTAGATATCTAGAGATATATCTACCATAAACCATACTTAACCTAGTTATGCTAGCCAACTTTGCTAAGTAGAAGGTGAGGCTCCCGTTTACGATAGCTAACTATGCGCACATAACTTGCTTGGATATGGTTTATGGAAGATACAACTGTAGTATTCACGGTTTTTTAAACCAACTTATAGGTTGTTTGATGACACTGTTGCGGGTATATCACTTTTAATATCCCCATTATATCCCTATGATGGTTGATATATAAATATATCCCCATTGTATTCCAGTGCATTCCCACAGAATAATAAAATATTCCCCATTTTTGACCAACATTCTTCAATTGTTCCCACTATGCTCCAGCTATTCTGCAGCTATTTCCATCATTTTCCCATCATTTTCCCATGATTTCTCCACGGCCAAGTTGGAAACATCCAACAGCTCTTGGATGATACCAGAGGTTGTGGCCTCTATCAGCATGGTTTTGCCCACCATGTTCGGCTCCGTCCCTGGCGTCACGCCCGACGATGTGCCAAGGGGATGGGTGTGTTAAACGGGTGGTTGACCTGGGAGAAGACTAAAGTGGATTAATGGCTGAGTTGAAGGTACCCCGATTTTAGGGAACCACCATATATGTTTATGAATGGAGGTGAAATCAATGATGTCTTGAAGCAGGACATGGTGATTTTGAACCATTATTAGAAGCATCGGATTTGGGGATAAGTATGGAATCAACCATTGTGGTATCTTATGATGGCGTTTTGGATGACCCCAGGGTATGTCCAGACTTTATCGCACCCCAAGCGTACCATTGAGTCCTGGATGGGGGTCGGTCAAATCTATGATGCTACTACAGTATCTTCTTATTGGTGCTTATTAGGGAATGGGGGAATCAAGGACCCATAACAACCCCAAAAAAACATGCCATCCCCCAATTCCCTACTAAGCACCAGTAAGTCTTTGGATATATTAATAGGGCCAGCTAATTTTAGCTGTGAACCTCCAGCTACACATAGCCAAATTCTCCAGGTGTTGGTCCTTTCCAGAGTCTGCGCCTGTTTTCTGATCTTTCTGTACTTGTCCTTCATCTATTTCCACCTGAAGACACACAAGGCGGTTGTGTGGGGCCAACGGGGCCGAAGGTGGAGGGTTTTTTGAGGCTGGGAAGTGGTTGAAGCCCCGACCACCTTCACCTTCGCAGCCTGTGGAGAGATCTGGACTTCATTGGTGCCGTATAGGTTCGGCTGGTTGCATCCATAGATGTTCAAAAATACTTCAGCGAAATAGTTGAGGGTCCTTCAAGGCCAGCGACGGGTCTGCGGCCAGGACTCTTTCCAGCATCACACTGAGGGCGAAGTGGAGCTGGAAGACAAGCCCTTGACCACCGAGGAGCAGCCTTGGCAGTTGGACCTGGCGACAACCCCCCCCATTTCTAAGAGGAACTTCTGATGATTTTCCGGCCATGTTTACCAGAGGGTAACTACTCAAAAAAAAACAAGATTGCCGCTATAAATGATTTCTGGTGATTTTATGATAAACAATGAGTTGTTCTTTCTCGCCATTCCATCACCGTCCAAGTCTAGGCATCGAAGAACCAAAAGGTACCTGCCACCCCCAGAAATAGTCCAGTATCTTCCTAACATTTGAAGACAGGATTGGAAGAATTTCCCCAGTTTTCTGATCCCGCTATAAGGCCATTGACTCTGTTCGCCCCCCAAGCGACATCTCTTCAGCCGTGTGATTTGCTGAAGAAGATCTGTATAGATTTGTTATTCTATGATATCTTATACTATTTTATGGTATTTCCTTTTAGTTAACCACTATAACAACTATTATTTGGGGCATCTTATTTTGAGTTGCGATCAGTAACTCCACCCAGCTCCGCAGGACATTGAACTCAGCAGCTTGCCAATGGGAAACATGATGGAATGGTAATGGTGGTATGTTTTCTTAAGATAACTATAATAATTATGTGGTGGTAATGGTTAATGGTAATGGTAGTTCAGATAACCAAAAATGGTAATGGTGGTATGTTTTCATGGTGGTCTTCATGGTGATTGAAATTATGGTTGTCTTATGTCTTATAATATAATTTGCGGTATTTATCATTATTATGACCATAATTACCATCTAATTGCCACAAACCATAGAGGTTTTTAAGGTCCATAATTAAGTCATGTCATGGTTTCACCGTAAAATGGTTGCGTTTGTTATCTGATTGGTGGCTCGAAAGTTGTCATCTCGGTCTGTTTCTCCCAAGATGGGCTGAAGATCATACCCATTTCTCCCCCCAAAAAAAGCACCCAGAAGTCACCAGAAAGAAAAAACACAAAAAAAAACATGTTTTCCCGCAAAAACCCACCAACTATGAACATGGCAATGGAAAATCCGAAATTCACATATGATTTCCCAGCTAGAAACATTTATTAATGTGGATAAAACGATGCCATTTGCACCATCCCCCAGTCATCACCATTTTTTGTTTGGTGGTGGTATAAACTTACCGTTCCCAGTCATGGGTGGTAAACATGACATTGTTTTACCCACATTAGTTCACATTTTCCGTGGGTTTTCCCATGTTTTTCCCATGGTTTTCCATCCCCCCATCCCTTCGTGGCGAGGTCAGCTGTCCCTGACCTCCTCGGTGATGCTCATGGTGGCCAGCATCTTGGTGGCCGCCTTCAACTCGCAGGTCTTGGTGGACCACCTGCAGGAGATCGGCTCGGATCGTGGGAGTTTCTTCTGGTCATGGGACGAAACGTGGCGCCTGGTCTACCGTTGGTTATTGTAATCCCAATCCCCAAATAGATAGAAACTGGTTGGGGGTTTGGAACATGAATTTTATGACTTTCCATTCAGTTGGGATAATCCCAACTGACGAACTCATATTTTTCAGAGGGGTAGGTATACCACCAACCAGTACTGGTAATAATCGTAATATAATATCCCATGATAGTATTATTAATATCAATGATAATCAATATAGTAATAATAATGATCATTGGATCCCATTATTAGAATAATAATGATATAATGGGATATACTGTAATGAGATTTACTGGTATGATAATGATACATTTTACAATTTGGGGCCCCGTTCGATAGCTAAGTTGGTATATAACTCCAATTTCACTATGATTTTTGATACTCATGACTATAGTGAATGGGGTTTATAAACCATGGTATAATGGGATAATAATAATGTTATAATTATGTATAGTAATCGGATCCCAGTATTAATATTACCATAATCCCATTATAATGTTATCGGACAATAATGGGATTATAATGATACTAATTGATCCATATGATCATTGATTGTAATGGGATTATCATGGTTCATTATGGATCATCGGATGTATTATATATATATAGTTGGAAAATAATGGGACAATAGGAATAATGATGGGATATAATGGGATAATAATAGGATTATAGAAACAATAATAATAGCATTGAATATAAAAGAATTTATCTACCCATCAATGGGACCATTGGATAATAGAAACAAGAATGATGGTATTGGGTTTGCCACATCAATGGTAATTATGATATATTTGTGATATATATATATATATATGTGTGTATTCTGTTATATGCATATATATATATATATGTGTGTTTATTTATTCATGGAGCGAACGTCTCCTGGCAACATATGGCGTATTATCCTATTGTATAGGGACTTCCCCGACTTGTCGGATCGGATAAACATGGCTGCGGGTTTGAGGGGCTGAAGGGGAAACAGCGGGATAAACATCATGGAGTTACCCTCTGGTAAACTAAGATAAACATGGAAAATCACCATTGTTCATCGGCAAATTCACTATTTCTATGGTGATTTTCCATAGTTATGTTAAATTACCAGAGGGTAATGTGGGAAATCATATGGCAATAATAGGGGAGTTGAGGTTTGGTTTTTTCCCATTGGTCAAGTGGACAATTGCTCACCGATCCTAGGCTTAGCCTGAGAGGGCAGCCTGTGGACTTGAAGCCGTTTTTGCGACGTTTGTTGGCAACAAATTGCGTACACAGCTTGAGTACCCTCTGGTTATGACTAACATAGCCATGGTATAGATGGCCCATAGAAATAGATGGTTTACCGTTCTTAATAGCATGGTGATTTTCCATGGCTATGTTAAATAACCAGATGGTATGCTTGAGTGGCATGCTACTGATCGCAGAAAAATTGCCTTATAACGTATAACATCCTATAGCCAATCGATTTACCATGTGGTTTCAGATGATTTCAGGCCGATAGGTTTACATGTCCAGTGGATGTCCTTCAAGAAGGTGTCACCAGGGCCAGCCCAGTTGTTTTTGCCATGGGGGCACCAGATGTAGAAATGGCATGTAATTGCAATAAAGAACTATCTTTAATATCAACAGAAATGGCTGGGTAAGAATTGTCTATCATGAAACATTGGAGGTTTACAATATTAAATCGTATTAGACCCGTTTTTTGCGTTAGGCCCGTATCTAAGATTGGCCATGAAAGGCATCCCTTTCCCAAGTTTGGTCCAGTTGTCATCGCGGACAGGATCTGTCGAAAACCTTTGGGGTGCCTACGAAGTTCATCGGAGCCACCCTCCTGCCTATCCTTGGTTTCTGGGGCCTGGTTTAGACCAATGCTGGGGGGCCGCAGGTCTGACTTGGAGATTTGGAGACCTCAACACCGGCCATAAGATACGCCCAGAGAAACCGTCCCTCTACTTTCTTTTTGCTTTGGGTAAACCTGGGTTTAAAAAAATGCCATACACATCCATTGTTTTACCTCGTGACATGTAGCCCATTGAAGCGACAACATCATCGCTGTTCGCAAGATTCGCAAGATGATGGATCTGTGATTCATGGATTTCATGAAAAGTTCTTTTTGGATTTAAACATTGCAAATGGAAAAACGAGATGTTTAAAAGATTATAAGTATAATATCCCATTGAATTTCCATTTGCAATGTTTAATGGGATGTTTAATGAGATGTTCACAATACAGATTCAAAAATTCAAGTGTTCCAGATGTGAAAATCCCATTAAACCATATTAAACCTAAGTTGTTCTCGCATTAAAATCCTATTAAAAGCTGACTAACTGGCAACGTTCCGCTGGGTCCTTTCACTGACCCCCGATGGACTCAGGAAACACGGCTGAGCACATCGCCTCAGTGTGGCACGCAGAGAGGGACTGAATCGGAAGCAGTAATTGGGCCATTCCTACTGCTGGGTGGTTAATGTTATAATATGACTCTATATATATATATATATATAGATATGACTATATAACATTAACTCCAGGGTCATATCTATATATCTATAGTTCCTGGATGTTAATGTTATAATTTATAGTTCATATCACTGGCGGCTGGTTTCAAACAATTGGATTATTTTCCATAATAATTATATGGGATAATCCTGCCCATTGTCGAACTCATATTTTTCAAGATGGTTAAAACCACCAACCAGCATTTGAATGGAAGGTGTTCATACCATTTTTGGGGAAAAATGGATGGAAACCATGTGACCGTTAAAAAATACGACCAATATCTTGAATTCTGCGAAGATATGTTTTAAAGAAACTTGTTTCTGCTATGGGAAGATGAGCTGATTTCAGGTGTTTTTCCAGATATGGCGGGGTGGACACAGCCCATCCACGCAGAAAGGGAATGTTACTTTGATTGGCATCACAAACAGCGATGAATCATGGCTTATGAATGTTCCTGATGAGCAAGTAATCCTGGGTGTTCCCTCATAGTATAGTTTATTCGACACATTCCTTTGGGGATTGCGAAAGAAGTGATAGACCTTGGTCAGCTCCTAGCGGTCCTAGCGACCTGGGGAATACTACTTGGAGGGCCATCCCTCTTAGCTGGTTAATAACAGTGGTCCAACAGGTTGGGTCTTAAGCCCATTTCCCAACCACTTAGTTTTCTGAAATGGGCTTGTAACATCTTGTAACCCAGTTCATCCCAGTTATAAATAGGATAACCCCACTCAATGTGGACTTGGTAACCAGGATTCTTAACGCGTTACGCTTCCTTGGATGATCCTCCCGTCCAAGTCGTCCTTCAAAACGCGTCAGGACGAGATCGATGTCGCCTTGTCCATCGCCATTGGCTCGGCGACGCAGATCGCTCTCTTCGTCCCTGGGCCTCCGGGTGATGGCTGGGAGCTGACGTGGAAGAATCTACTGCGGATTGTCATATTCCATGAGCTGGCAATCCGTGGTTTAATGGGATTTACTGGGATTTTATGGTGGTTTAATGGGATTTTATGGCAGAAAAAAATAGTTAACATCATATATAACTTATTATAATTGGAGATACGGAGTCCTAGTCTAGGATGCTCTGGGTTTCTGTCCCATATCAGGCCCATATCCCAAAAAATCAGACACGTGTTGACCCCTATTTCTTGGCTACCCGGGTTGGTTTGATGATGAATTCCAATTTTTTTGCTACCTAAAATGGCTACGAGTGAGACCAGTTTCTTCTGGGGTTTTTGGGAATCTCATCGAATATGGGATAATCCCCAGCATGTTGGCTGCTAGAGATCATTATCCCCAATTTACCCTGATAATCCCAGTGCTGGCTTCTAAATTGATGTCAATTTAAAATGATGGTCTCCTTGATCATTGATGCCAATAATGATTATGATTATGAAATCCCAATCTCATCATTGTATCATTGTGAAAGGTTCGCTAATGATTATACAACCATTATTGGTTATATATATATACGTAAGAAACCATTGTTGGATATTCATGGAGTACTACTTGATGCTAATTGGATATGAATTATTGACTATAGCATACTATGATATACTATGTATCTCCGCTGCCAGGTGGTGCCTTTGTCAGTCCTCTGGGGCTGGGTTATTGATCGACCCATGTCTTTAAACTTCACAAGGCGCCTCGGTTACAGCAAAGAACTGGGGCAGCGGGACGGGCCGAAACGGCGTTACAACCTTCTGCCGAAATGTTCCAATGGAAGCATGGGCTTAACCTGGCAAAACTTACTGGTGCTTAGTAGGGAATGGATGGGAATGGGGGAATGGGATCATTATTGATAGTTATTGTGGATCATTCCCTCATTCCCTGCTAAGCACCAGTAAGAAAATGGTGGTTTGACCATCAAACATGTGGATTTTACCACGATTTTACTGGCTTAGCACGGGTGCTAAGCCATCTAAAGTCAGGAGTTCACTGATGAATAATTAGATATAAGCTTGAACAAAATTCAAGAATTTATACCAAGTTTCATGGTCATTTGAGTAGGGAAAAGGATGTTCGAAACCATCTTTGGAGATTTGAGCATTCGGAGCCAGGCCAACATTACCCGAGCCATGCTCATAGATCCTCGATGTACTGTATCTCCACATAGCTATGGCTTTATATCATGCTTTCCAGTTGATACGTTGAACATTACTTTTTGCCTGGGCATAGTTCATGTTGGATTGCCGGAGGTGTACCTATATATGTATACATATATATACAGGTGTGTGTGTGTGTGTACCATCTGAATAGATGTAAAACTTCTCTCTTTTTCTTTCTTCTTTCCTCTCCCTTTCTAATAATCATAATAATGCAGGGGGCGACAGGGTCGCTGCATGGCTGTCGCCAACGAAGCTCCATGCAGTTGACTAGGATATGGAGTCTGATCAACTCCACGTACCTGCCTTTTTCCGGCATAGCAAGGGGCCAAGCTCAGAACCCCAAACACAATGATTTAGGTCTAACTGTCTAGGCTGGTTTGCATGTTACAGGACTCAGTTCCTGACGGATCTTTTCAAAGATCCTTTCTTGTCTAGTGTGATTCCTATGGTGACTCCGACAAGGTGCCATAGGGCCAATTGAGGCAACCCTGTTTAGGGTGACTGTCGCCTGACCGGATTTCTGAATTGACATTCTTGAATTAGTAATTCGTTTAAGTAAAGTGAAACAGCTGGCCTTACTGTTCTGCACCATTTATGTGATGTCCCGCTGGTCCTTTGGTCCCAGGGTTCCTCGCCGAAATGCCTGTCTATCAGAGTGAAGCCGTTCTGAACAATCAGAAACTCCGTTTCTTCCTGCAGTTTTAGCTTTGACAACATGGTCACAACAGCAAGGCAGGTTCATGCTTGCAGGTTTGGTGATTATTTCCTTTTTATGGTTGTCTGGTGAGGTGAAACATATTGTGCACCTAATTCGAGGGAACTTGAACAGCTGTTTATGCCCTTGTGGCTGACCTGACTACCGTCCCGGCAAGGGAACAACGCACGACCTTTAGGAATGTAGGAACTGAGTCTTGTTTTAATTAATTGTTTTGGTTTTCTTTCGTCACCAACTAGTCCCCCATTTGGTCCCTAATTACCCTCCCTTCGCGGCTTCTCCGTAATGTGTTGTGGGGTTTAGGTGTGTGCCCTGTTCCTGGTCAGGTCCGTTTCGCCGTGTAGGTTGGTTCCGGAGGTCCGTCTGTTCCCTTCCCCCCCCGTGCGCTGTTTTGGTCGTTGGCCCGTCGTTTGTGTCCGCTTTCTCTTCCTCTTGCCTTTCAGGGTTGACCCGGCTCCGGCCGGGTGTGTGTGTGTGTGTGTACCATCTGAATAGATGTGAAACTTCTCTCTTTTTCTTTCTTCTTTCCTCTCCCTTTCTAATAATCATAATAATGCAGGGGGCGACAGGGTCGCTGCATGGCTGTCGCCAACGAAGCTCCATGCAGTTGACTAGGATATGGAGTCTGATCAACTCCACGTACCTGCCTTTTTCCGACATAGCAAGGGGCCAAGCTCAGAACCCCAAACACAATGATTTAGGTCTAATTGTCTAGGCTGGTTTGCATGTTACAGGACTCAGTTCCTGACGGATCTTTTCAAAGATCCTTTCTTGTCTAGTGTGTGTTTGTGTGTGTGTATGCACGTCGCATATGCATATATATATATATATAAAGTGTGTGTATATATATATATAACCACGCATGTGCGTTTTGCATCCCCAGTCAGTACATTTACTATATGTGCCATAGTCCAAGCAGGGGTTGTTTTCCCATATTGGGAAGGGTCATCACTCCATCAATAGGGATTTGTATACCCAATTGTCTAGGATTCCCATGACGTGATCATAAACCCGTAATCTCATGTAAGAGGGAATAGTTTTTTCCCCCGGAGGTTCCTTAATGAAACAAATCCCATATGTGTACTTAAGATTACTTCAGGGATTTTTTATTTGAAGTACTGAAATTTTACAAATCCATACAAATCCAATATTTTGCAAACAAATCCCATATTTTTCAACATTTTGGCAGGGATTTTTTGCACACCCCCGTTCTGAGGTACGACTCAGCCGTGATGTTGCTGGGCCTCTTGGCGCACATGGGAAAAAATGGCGAATCTTCGGTGCAAACTGACGAAAGAAACCATGAAAATAGTGGGAATCAACCAAGAAAAATGTGGATTTAAATGATTTAACCATTGATAACATTGATAACCATCAAAAATATAAGGGGAATATGGGGAATCAACCAAGAAAAATGATGAACCATGCGGATTTAAGCATTGATTATGATTGAGCACGTGGATTCGACCATGAAAAGTTCGGAATTAACAACAAAAGATGTTGATCTAAGCATCAAGAGTGAGTTTGTTTATCATCAGAAATGGGATACAATGGGCAAACCACATATGTAATTATGTGTATATATATAATTATGTATATATATATATATACATATATATTGATTGGATTGTTCCATGCCTGCACCCAGGGACTACTATTCTGATGGAGGGATAGCCACCACGGTGTTTACCAACCAACATGATCCAGGTCCTCCAGGTCCCAGTTCACAGCAGGTACCTTCCTGGTGGCTCAGATGCTGCAACACGGCGTCTCCGTTTGGCTACACGGGGCAGCTTGGCGGGTCACTGTGGGAGCGGCGGGTGTGTAGAAGTCATGTGGTTTGGCACTTTCATGACTGGTATGGGTATGGGTCAAAATGTGAATGTTGCTATTTTTTGGCAAGTGTTTAAAAAGACAAGATGTTTTCAATACTATGTTGGTTAGGTTTCAATACTGTGCAGGTATCCTTTTAGGGGGTTCTATCCTATTTTGACCCACCTCTCGGCGAAGCGCCGAGGCGATGTTAATGAATGTCTACCTGATGATAGCGGTGATCAGTGTCCCGGCCCAGACCTGACATCGAAGTGCCACGGGATGGGTGCAGCGGAAATGGACTTGGTGTCCGGAACGGTATTTTTTGTTTTCTAAATCCAGCATTTGCAGATGAACCGTAGGAAACTGGAGATGTTCTAACGGCAACTGTAAATGACCATGCGCTACCGGATTGTTTCCAAAACTGCCGGGGTCGATTTAGTATATTTTTTTAAATTGGCTTGGTGATTCCTATCAAGATTTAGGGTCAAACTTTTCTGGAGCGGGTGATTTTCTTGATGGGGTGGACACCGCTGGCAGTGAATTAAGCAACGGGATCCACTGAGGTTATTTCGAACCCAACTGAGATGGTATCACTGATGGTCGAAGATGGCCTTATTTCGGGGCTCAACTACCAAGTCTTAGCCTGCGAATTTCAGCTGGCCGTCTGGCGTCGAGGCTATATTTTTTCTCCTGGTTCAAACTCCAGATGGTCATGATATGTCATGATGTATGTTATAAAATGGGGGTATGCAATCCATTTTCAGACACACCTCAAGTAATTCCCAGAAGAATTCAGAATGCTGGTTATCCCTGCTATACCCTCTGGCTATTTAACATAGCCATGGAAAATTGCCCATTTATAGATGGTTTACCTATTAAAAATGGTGATTTTCCATGGCTATGTTAAATAACCAGATGGTATACCCGTTCTATCTTGACAAATTGGTCGGTTTTGAGACCTCGACGCCACAACAGCACCACAGCAGCCTGCCGCGCGCAACTCATGCAAAGCTCATGGGCACCAGGAGGGCATCGTCAGCAAAGCTGCACGGAATCCTTGTAGGATATGGGTCAAGGGGTCGCTACGTTTTTCTTGTTGCAAGAATTGGGATAAATGGATCTCACATAAGTATAGATAAATAAGTCGCAAAAACAAGAGAACCCTCCTACCCAGGGATCTTTTTGGCTTCTAGTTTACTGGGCAGTCGGCGCTGGGTCGCCCCATGACCAAATTTGCACAAACAAACACCAGTGGAAGGGCCCAATTCACACCACAGGTGCCGCAAACGCAACTGGAGATTGGCCCTCGCCAATTTTCAGGTGACCAGAGGGTATTGCTCATTACTCATTGCTCTCCAGGATCGCATTTCCACCGAATAAGTGGGTACATGGCCATGAATCTGGGGGTAACACCATGGTTATAGCAATCCCCCTTCTCCACCGCAGCCCTAAGTAGTAGGGGACCTTGTTGCAATGGTCAGACTCGCTGACCAGCCGACCTGGTGTGGGGTTGCTGGAAAGTTTCACCGCTCAGACTGAGGTTTCAACCGTGCGCTCACAGCAAGAGCGGGTAGATGAGTAGATGTGGCACTACATTGGCAGTTGATAGCCGTCATTATCCATCAAAATTGAGGGATTCATCAGCCCTGCTCCTCTAAGTGTGCGACTCATCAGGGGGGTGACAGCTGGGAGGTTGACGTTGTAAATCCACTAGGTCTGGAACACCAGGCTGCATATCGTGTGCCGAGGATCAGCATGTTCCATGAGCTAATCATTTGCAAATGGATGCTTTTCATGGTGGATTTTCACCACAGCATGCTGGAAGACAAAGGTTTGCACTGTTCAAAACCCCGTCAAAACCTCTTTTGGTTGATCAGGGGGGTCCAATCCCGATGGAAACCCTCAGTTTGGCTGCGCCGAACGCTGTTTCACGCAAGAAAACCGGCACGGTAGCTGGAAACAGATCTTGAGACGGTTGGAGAGTGCTATTTGCCCCCTAAACTGGTAGCAAGATGTTGCAAGATGAGCTGATGTTGGCCTCTAAATTGGTTGCAAATCAAGATAGTTAATGACTGTAGTGAACACATTTAATATGTTTATGTCTCTTTCTGGCATTCAATGGGTTGGTTTAAGGGAACATCTACAGGAAACCATGTTTTTCACGTTTTCCTGTAGATTTACCTTAAACCAATCCAATGAGACATGGGTGAAGCTTGAAGTTAAAAGGTGCTTAGTCATTGGGTAAGCGCCCCCTCCGTTTTGGCGAAGGATGAAGCCTGGAATTAGCTTCATCGCTTCGTAATAGTTAGTAGGTGTAGGTGTGATACCACTCAGGGATATGGTATGGTGTATATTTATACATATATATATATATATATATATTAATATATATATATATATTAATATATATATATTAAAATATATATATATGAATATATATATATATATATGCATGCAGCAGTAATATATATATATATCGGTACAGTGCATAACAACAGAATATCATATCACATGTTTTACAAATTGCAACATAATACGACATGTGTTTTTACAGGCCCAAGCGGGAAAACTCTCTAAGCCAGGATCATCCCAGGGCCCTTTCAATTTTGGCTGAGCATTGTCTTAGATCCAGTGCATTTTTGTGCACATAATTCATGCCTAACTCAACTTAAAACTTGCATTTGGCTATATGATATATATATATAGTAATATCATCTACTGTAGTATTTCTTTTTCTCATTCACATAGTGTGAACACAGGGCTTCCATCTTCAGATGTTTTTCCTTGAGCCACCATCCAAGCTCACCCCCACATTGAGGGTTGGTATACAGTGGGCACATGTGCTTGGCCATAAAAACAGCTCTATAGATACAAGGATACTGTAAACATAGAAATAAAGAAGCATTTGGAGGTTTCCATAAATGGATACCCCACAACATGGATGGTTTACAACGGAAGATCCTATCTTAAAATGGATGATTTGGGGGTACCCGCATGAGAATCCCCCATTGCATGGTCATCTCGCGGGTTCTTCCACAGGCCGTGGCGGCAAAGGATTTGGTTTCACTTGGCGTGTTTTTGGGAAACCTTGGTGATGGGCAGTTCAATTTGGAGTGAGCAACGAAATTGGTGCAGCCACACATGGGGCTATAGCTAATAAAGCTGGGTGAAGCTAGGCAAGGGTAGTTTCATGTTTTGTTTGTTCGCAATTTTGATGCTGAATATTGATAAATTGATTAGTGTTCTTCATGAATCAGGGGTGAGTTCGTTCAACGTAGATGTCGATCCACATTAACACCCAGAAAAATGATCGCCCTTGCCTTTCTAATGTCAACCCTGTATTAATAAACCAGGGTTTATCAATTAGGGTGTGCTTACCAAATAGTGATAATCTGATGCTTAAATGGTCCCCTCCAATTGAACAGCCTCGGGTTTATTAATCCAGGGTTCACATTCATGGGTTTGCTGCACAATCAAATAAACCACCGACTTTCTTATTTGGAATGGCATAGATAGACAGACAACCCGACAAGACTCTTGCGGGCATGTCAATCTATCATGATGGGGATGTACCTCAGCAACATCTTGAAGTTCTTGAAAGTCTTGACGGTTTATTATGGTTTATTGGAGTAATGTGGTTAAAACAATAATAAACCATCCCCCAAATCACCATAAATAGGTGGTATATATAAACCATTCCCAAATGTGTGGCTTATGACATTGTTTTAACCACATTAGATCAGTGAACTATTGGAAATTATGGGAACACGCGCTGCTACATCAACTGTGTCCAGTGCCATCCGTGCCAACGGGATGGGGCTCGGCCAGGATCCACGTGGGGCAGTCGCGATTGGAATAATAGCCCAGAGCCTAGAGATGGGCTGATGGAAGGTCAAAATCCAAGTGATTGATGGAAGGTCAGGTAACCTCTTTGGAACCCATGGGATTTCAGGCTGATTGATGGAAGTGTCGCTGGGATCTCACCCTGTGGATCCAAGTCTGCCATAGTCTTTCCTAGGTTGCCCATTTCTGCCGACTATCTCCAATATTGCAGCTGATTAGATTCCCATTTCTTCACTCTATTTCCTCCTTGCCTTCAGTTGCTCATGATATTTCAGTGTTTCATTGCTATGTTGTTAGATCCACCTTTCCTTCTTTGTTGCATCTTCGTTTCTGTCGTTTGTTATTGTTCAGTCTGCTGCACATCCCATCATTGTTGGGCCTTCATGGGTGAAAGCCCATAGTACTACATTTCGGGGATTGAATTCCATGTACCATCTGGTTATTTAACATAGCCATGGAAAATCACCATTTTGAATAGGTAAACCATCTATAAATGGGCCATTTCCCATGGCTATGTTAAATAACCAGAGGGTAACAGCTATTTTCATCATTGCCAGGATTAGCAGGGTACCATGGTTTTGACCCACAAAAACAGTGGCTCATCTTTGCTGGTGCCGACCTGGCTCATCAGTGAAGATAGACACCTCCTTCTGGCCTTCATTGCAGGCGCGGCGGCAAGCAAAGAAGGGTATACCTCTCCAAATCTCCGCAAATGGTCATTTGAATAGGGAAAATCGTGATTAAGAAATTAAGAAGTGGATTTTTGGGGTACCCAACTCTCAGACAAAGCGAAGATGGTGATGGATGTAGCTTTGGGATGATTTGCGGTGCTCCATGCCATGGTTACGAAGTTATCATAAATATATATATATGTGTACAATTGTTATTGTTATTATTATAACTATTTGGTTTCCTTGCTGCGATGTGTTTTTGCATTTCCGCCTTTGACAGTGTTTGGCATGATGGACACAGATCAAGCCCAAGTCCCACGCATGTTGCCAGACGGGTGATGGGCTTTAGTCCCCCACATGGCCATTTCAATTTATATAGTTTAAAACTAGTGATGACTAACTGGATGGAACAGGATACCATCTTTTCAGACAAACCCAAATATTCCGAGATTTCAGTTAGAAGTACTAAGTAGGGTTACAGCTATCATGCGCTCAGTTATAGATCATCAAAGAAAGCCACCATTGGATCGTCGTGAGGCGAAAGGGGCTAACTCGCCATGCCGCCCTCGATGGAAGAGGATAGGGATGCATTGATGGGCCCAAAACAACCCGGTTATCAGAACAGATCATTATATTCACAGAATATATGTCTCTATAATTCTACATATATACATATATATATATATATATATTATCGTATATTATCAATATTGTCGATTAAAAAATATGTGTTTATTGTAACGTTGTATGATTATGTATAGATATGCAAAGCGATCATCGTCAGTGCTTGACACGTCGGGTGCATCCCAAATCATCCCGGTGGATGTGGCTAATCACCCTATACCCCAGATGTTTGATGCCGCGTGTATCTTAATTTTATACATATGTATATACATATATACTGTATGTATGGGTATATATGGTATGTATATGCATATATATATACATATGTGTGTGTGTTGTATATATATATATATACATATGTTATATATACATATATATATGTGTGTTATATATATATGTTATATATATATATGTTATATATATATGTTATATATATATATATGTTATATATATATGCTATATATATATGTTGTATATATATATATATATATTATATATATATGTTATATATATATATGTATATTATATATATGTTATATATAGAATGCTTTATTTAGATCTATATCTATGTCCGTGCATTTGGATTATGATGGTTACGTGTTTTTTTAATCTCACAACGACGAATCCGCGCATCTCCAGGAGTCCAAGAAGCTCAAAGCGGCCTTCGAAGAGATGCAGAGCCGCGTCCTAAAAGCGATGCTTCCAGTAGAGAAGAGCCCTGGTAACGAAGCTGGAGGGGAAAGTTGGCTCCGAAAGTTGGCTCCTGTTGATGTGTGATGTAATCCATTAGCATGGGTGTATAGGTAGAATTGGGGACATCGACCGGAGAAAACGGGTCGACCGGAGAAAACGGGGACACACTGTCAGTGAATTCAGTTTGCAACTCACAGAACATCAGATTTTTAGCCAGAAAAACCGAGGTTTTTTCATCGATAGATGATAACTTGAGACTGGATTAACCATGTTGTTTGATTCCAAAAATGGCTCAAGAATGGATATGCAGCCGCGCCGGGATTGATAATTTTATTGATTTGTTTGAACCAGGCCATGTTTGGGGTTTCGTTCGTGGATATATCTGCAGGTACGTTGCAAGATGTTGCAAGGGAGTATACACATGTTTCTCAACCAACTTATGACTTGGATCTCCATGTTTCCATGGTTGAAATATCTTTGTTTTTTAATGGGGGATCCCCCAAACCATGGGAAACAATACTAGAATAGTCTAAGTTTGGACGATTTGGGGGTAGCCCCATTTTAGGAAACCCCCATATGTTCAAATCACTATGGAACTCTTGAGCTGAGGAAAGCGGCGCAGTGCACGCTGGGCTGTGGCTTGAGCAAGATGGGGATTAAGGGAATGCGGTCATCCCCAAATAGGTGGAAAAAATATGAAAAATTTAGCCGGATGGGGCCCCAGTTCATTAGCTAAGTTGGTTTGTAACTATAATAACAATAGTGTATGATACTGATGCCTATTTTTAGATGGGCTTATAAACCAACAAACATAACTGGGGGGCACCACCCTGTAAGTCATGATCAAATTGGTAAGGATTTGTTCATCTATGTGGGGATGACTATAGTTATCATGATCTATGAGTTCATGTTGCTATAGTTAATGTTGGTGAATAGTTAGTTATTTCCATTTCACTATCATGTGTAACATGTGTATATAGTGAAAAAAGCAATCAATCACAATGCGGGAATCACCCAATAATAGTATAAACCATCCCCAGGTCATGACCAATTTCATGGGTGTGATTGAAGAAAAACCCCCCATATGGTAGGTTTATGGCATGCAGGTCCCCACATTATACAGTAATATGTCGAGAACATGAGAGAGATGGGTATTATTCCCATCGAATTCACTAAGACTGACTATGACATACTATATAGTTGGGATTTGATAATATCAGAGTAAACATACTAAGACATCTATACTATACAGAGTAAATTTAGAAGAAATCCAGTGGGCATGCCAATGGGATGCTTTCTGTGCAGATGTTTTCCAATTTCAAGCCACAGCTCCAAACTACGCTTGTCAAGCATAGTTACCCGGCCTGGTAAACATACAAAAAGCTATCGAAAATGGCCATAGAAATAGTGGATTTACCCATTAAAAATTGTGATTTTCCATAGTTATGTTAGTTTACCAGAGGGTAAGCTGGGCAGGTTCCATCAGGGTTTCATTTTGACTTGACGGTGGTGCCGGATCGTGCGCGCAGTGCAACATGCGCAGTTTGGCATGGCTTTTTGCGGTCTAAAAATTGGTTCCCGAAATGGAAGCCTAAAATGTCGGAAAATTGGATTCCCAAAATGGAAGCCTAAAATGTCTAAAAAATAGGTTCGGAAATTGAAGCCTAAAATGTCGCAAAATTGGTTCCTTGCTGCTGCCTTTGATTGAAAGGTTTGACAGTTGTGACAAAGTAGACCCGACACATGATACGTAACATGACCCCATTCAAGACCCCATGCTAAACCTTGGTGACATGGCAACATAAATTTTATGTTAATCTGAGCATTTCAGAGTAGACCTTTTCCTCCAGAACCACCAGAAGATCACGTGATACCGTCTGAAATGTAACATCCAAGGCCAATGCCAAGTTGAAAGTATATCATGGCTGGGTACATTGCCTGGGGAAAACCTCACCCTCTGGTAAACTAACATAATCATGGAAAATCACATTTTTTAATGGGTAAATCCACTATAAATGGTCATTTTCAATGGCTATGTTAAATTACCAGAGGGTAATCATCTTTGAGGAATACTTAGGCTTTAAAAAGTGAGGAATTCCTGTAACATGGGTTGAAATAAAGAACGCACAGATACCCAAGAAAATTAACATAGTTCAACCTATACTCAAACAGGACATCAAAATCCTAGGTTTCGAAGAAAACATGGGCCCAGATGATGTGGAACCCTGAAAGCTTGCAGCATGTCCATTGCGCCCAAGGCTATGGGGACATGTCAGACCCCACTGCCGTGCCCGGTGGACCCAGAATCACTCCGGTCCTGGGTCTCCGGTGATCTACGGGCAGAATGGCGAACCTTTAACCCTTAGAAAATGATCTCCCGGGTGCCTAGTCTATAGTTACTTAGTAAGATGGGGAACCCTGAGCCATTTTCTTCTAGATGTTGGGTGGTTCTTCTTGATCTTCTTGTTGAAAACGGGGTGCTTTATGCGCGACCTAAGAACAATACACTCAATACACCGTGCAGTGCTGAAAATGGCAGGGTCTTTTTGGAGCGCACACGGAAAGCAGGCGGATCCTCTTACAGGGAGGGTTTCTTGCAAGTTGTAAGACTAAAATGCCTGGCTATGTGATGCGATTTATTTGTTCTAATGTTGGATGGACAATAGTAAAGCGCGTGCAATAGCTACAAATAATTTTCAGAATCTGATTTTTCAGCCCCTATTGATTTTAAATTAGACCTTATTGGTTTTAAATTTCAAACATCAACCTTGGTCCAGAGCATCTGCAATAAATGTGGTTCATTCGCAATAGCTACAAATAATTTTCAGAAAAGTCCCAAAGTATCAGATTTTCCAATACTAAATTGTAAAGGAGCTAATTGAGATTTAGTCTGGATGCAGGAAAAAAATCAGAAACAGTTACAGTTCTGCTGTATTTTTCCCTTCTTCCTTAGTGTGTTTAATTGTTGGTGAATGGTTTTTAATTGTGATTGCATGTTTTTCAAAAGCAAAAACAAAGCAAACCTTTACCAAATCAAAAACTTTACCTTGTTCAAAAAAGTTGTTTTCTTTATTAAAATCCTTTTAAAAAATTGCAAAGAACAGGTCCACCAAGGGTACCCCCTTGCAGGTCCTTGCATTTGCAATTAAAAACTGGAATTAGCACTTGCAATAAGAAACAACCTTCCTGGCTCTAGCAGGCATTTTTTTCCCTTCTTCCTATCAGAATCCAATGAAGATCCCTTCAGAGCGCATCAGAAAAGAGAGGATTTGTCAAAACCTTACAGAAGCCTTTGGGGAAGAGTTTGGATTCTCGATTTACCATTGCAAAGCAGACCCCCCCCCTTAAAAAAAAATGAAGGGGGGGACCCCCCTTTACTATTGTCGATGTAACATTATGGATTAAGCACGAGATTGCTGACTTACTCTTCCTTCTTCTGCTTGAATTGGGTTTCTCTCTTCTTGTTTCTCCTTCTTCATTCTGTTTCTGGTGTTTTTTCTCTTTCTCCTCCGTCTTATTCTCCTACCTCTTGCTCTTCTTCTCCTCTTCCTTCGTCTTGATCCTCTCCTCTCCTCTTCCCATGTCTTCTTGTCTCTGGCAAACCGCTGCGCCCCACAGCTTGTCATAAAGTGTAAATCATGGTATTGATGGTGAAACAGTTTTTGCTGATCCAGATGACCTAATTAGAGGCGGAAAGTTCAGGATAAACCTTTAGTGCTTGGACTTTGGACAGAATGATTCAGACCATTCAAAACCACAAAATCCGCCCGTGCTACCTCCGCAGGCACACCTGCGCTCAGAGGTGCCAATCTAGCCTGGAACGCACAGGCAAACGCATCCAAAATGAATTGCAGGCTGGCGATCAGTCGCTGCCAGTGACATGAAGTTCCGTGGGTGAAAGATTGAAAGAGTCCGCTGATTGTCAGTTAAAAAGCTTTTTGAGACTTCTATCTGTTGCATATATACTATAGGTGGGGTTATTTCTTCTGGCTACTTGTGGGAAGGTTGGTCAATCGTATAGTTCTCTTGTCTTCTCTGCTGGGGAAAATTTTGAGCGAAAGAGGATTTGCGTGTTGTGGAAGGCCAGTACTCTTTCTTGGTTTCTCCCCCTGGGGTTGCAGCTTCGAATGTATTCAGGGGCAACTTGAAAAAGCAGCTGTCAACACATCCATCCTACAGTGGATGTGTCCCTTCATTTAGGGTTTATCTCAAGAAGGTTTGCCCGCACTTCCAATGGTTGCTCGTCAATTTCCATGAATATGTCAATGCTTGGGTGGCATACAAGCCATTTTTGAAGCGCAAACTCAAAAATATCAGATGGTTGGTGGGAGATCCTATTATCCCCATGAAATGTATTCATATCAAATAATTGGGTGGTTGGTTAGAATCCTTTTATCCCCCCAATATTATCCCAAGATTAAGGGTTTCTAACTAACCAACCATATATCTGGGTAAATTATAACGACCTCACTGCAACCTCACTGGAATAATGGCTAGTAAGGGGAATTATCCCAATATGGTCTTATTTCAGGTTAATGAATTACTATAAGTTGCCCAGATATATGGATTAACCCCCCAAGATTGATCCCATTACTTGATGGACCTCCCCATGAGTCGTTGAATCCCGAAAATCACCAGCTTCAGGCAATGCAGACTTCGGTGCAATCGTGCCAACAAAGCGTTCCTTGGGCCTTTGGTGGTCGATCCCGGGGCAGGGTACACTATACTTGGCTATACTATACTATTACTACGGGATATATCTATGTACACATCATGGCATCATGGGCTTATAGTGGCTACATAATGAGGATATCATGAGATGATCAGATAATAATGATATAATACTAGTAATAAATTGGAGTCTCATTGCTGTTTTCATGGTTCTACTAAAAACTTAAGCATCAAGCATTGGTTTTTTTCAGTATCCAACATGGTGACGACTAACCAACAAACATGGTGAGATCATGGGGTGCCCCAATTGATTTTTTCACGGCATCCTAATGGGATTTACTTGGAGGATCTGTTTTGTTTCTCCAGGGGTCATGTATACTGTACCCTGTATACGCTGGGGATTATCATAATCCATGAGCTGGAAACCCTGTCAACTAACTTTCATTTATCCATATTATCGGGTATTCGGTGATTTTACCACCGTGAAAGAATTAAAAGAACAAAACGTATTTTAAAAATATGGAAAGCGCATTTATATGTATATGCATATAATATCCAAGATCAAAGGCTTCATTGAATTTCCTTTACAACTAGGGTGATTGCTCCTTTTGATGTTGTGCTCCCCTGTTCCTCCATCGATCCCCCTTCAAAAGGTTGCTCGCAGGTGATGGCGCGTGTGAATCCCAAGATGGAAATGGCACAGAATGAAGGCAAAGCCCAGCAGATCCAAAAGATCGAAGCCGAGTTCAACGAAGGTGCGCCGTGTTTCTTGTTTCTCCAGTCTACATTTGACAAGCAACAAACATATGGACAAGCAAGAAACAGTAGCTAATTTAGACTGGCTGGATACAAATTTAGGAACAACCTAAATGTTCAACATGACCCATCCCGTCAAAACTTATTCCAGGGTATCAACTAGGTTTTGGAATCCCTCATTGTTCAACCTATTTATATATTTAGGTGAAATGAATCTTAGCCACGATGACCATTCTCGACTCCACAAGAGATTTTTTTCGTCGCTGATGGTGAAGGATTCGACCCACAGTCGACCCACTGGCTGAACCTTGGATAATGACTATGTAAGACAGCATTACCTAGATAACTACCAATTAGATAATTACAAATAGTCATTTATAGCCTTATAGCTGATAATTACTTATATGTCAATCTTTTGCTATAAATGTGGTATATGATATTTATATGCTAATCAGCAAAAAAGGTGTCATCTTTTTTCAGGCGTATTACCGTATCGGCATCAGATTCGTTCCAGGAGTTGGCCCGTGCGAAGAATTACTCACCGAGCGTGGCTCAGAACTTGCTTAACTGTAGGGTTTATGGAAGATATACCTATATTGTTAATGGATGTTAATGGGGTTTGACCCAGATATAACATGATATAACTGAGGGGTTCCACCTTGTGGTTTCAGGCGTTTTCATGTTCTACCCTATCTGAGATGATAATTCAGATCTGATTGATATTTTTGGAGGTTTGAAAGCACCAACCAGATGTAAAGCCAAAATTTGACGATCTAAAACTAAATGTCTTCAAATCGTTAAATTCAGATCATCTAAGTGTACGGCTAAAACGATGTTTCAAAGAAAATTCCAGACGCCCCCGAAATTCAAATCCCTGTTTTTGGTTTTTGGGAGCCTCTTGGAATTTTAGCCGTACACTTAGATGATCCTAGAGGCTTGGTTGTTTGGGGTTTACCATGTGTATATCCTTTGTGGGTGGGAGTTCGCCTGTGTATATATATATTATATACATATATGTGTTATTTATTTTTATTATTATTATTATTATTATATGTGTGTGTTTTGGTATACCTATAGGAATGGATAAATGTATCGAAATATAGACGAGTTTTCGCGAGCGCTCTGAAATTCAACTTCCATCAGGGGATCGTTGCAGGCATCACCCGGTGCTTCAAGGAAGCGCTTGAACAATTCCCCGGTGTAGAGGCCAGCACACATGTGTGGCCGGCAAAATATGGCGATGTCATGCAATGTTCATAGGGAAAATCCTGATAAACCGATGATAAACCATTGGATCCATTTGGTTTTGGGGTGCCTGTTGCCACATGTTTGAGCATGCCCATGTGAAGAAGATGCAACGAGATCAATTAAGCCATCAAAAATCCAGAAGGTGTTTCCCTCACCTGGTAGGTGCTTCTCTCTTCTGTCATTTACATGGCAATTTGGTTTTTCCCGGAAAGGCAGGGCACAAGGCAGCCGGTCTTTGATTCTCCTGACCCTGCAGGCACGCATTCAGACCATCCTCAAGGAACCATGAGACACCAGCCCCTACCTGGAACGTGACCCACCGCCTGTCACTTGCGCATCCCACGGATCGGAAGTGGGCAATCGCATGTAATCACCATGGTATAGCCCACTTATGAGAAATCCCCGGCTATTTATGGGTGATAATCCAGTTACGATGCACATCCAAAAAAAAACGTTCCAGATAGGTTTTTGCTGCTGGCAATCGATTTTGTCGGCCCTGGTGGCCCCAATCCTGCGGCAGGCCGCGTAAGCAGCGTATGTACAGATGCACGCTGCCCCGTATGTTTGGCGGGGTTGCGTTCGTTTGGAAAGTACCCAGCCCTTTGGTCAAGAAGCCCCATTCAAATTTCTTTCTTCGAGTGATCCCCACCCTGATCCATTATTCTGACATAGTTTCTGACATACAATCTGGAAGTCAGTCTTTCTGGCATATACTCTGACATTCTATCTGACATCTATTCTGACATACCTTCTGGCATATATTCTGACATTCTTTCTGGCATTCTACCTGGCATATCTTCTGACATTTTTTCTCGCATTTTATCTAGTATATCTGCGGAGATTCTTTGTGGTTGAGGTCCGGCGGGGAACACTGCGATCTAGCACTTGCAGTTGAGCTCCGGCGGGGAACGCTCTGATCCAGCGGGCGGTTGCTGTTCGGGTCCGGCGGGGACCTTTGCGATCACGAGCTTGCAGTTGAGGTCCGGTGGGTAACACTCTTATCCTGGGCTTGCTGTTCGGGTCCGGCGGGGAACGCTGCAATCTAGCGCTTGCAGTTGAGGTCCGGCGGAGGAGGAGGCGGAGAAGCGGGAGGCGGGAGGCGGGGGGGACAGCTGACATAAAATCTAACAACCCTCACCTGACAGGTGGGAAAAATAGCACGCATAGATTGACTTCGATCGACCATCTTGAAGAGTTGTTCTTGTTTGTGTCAAAGCAAGCGTAAGATGAAACACAACATGAAATATGTTATTATTTGTGCCATCAAAGATGCAATTGTGATGGGGAGTGCTGGGGGTATTTTTCAACTTTGCCACTGCTACTGCTGCTGTCAGCGCAAATGGTGAATCCACATCAGCCTTGCCAGTGGGAACTTTGATATGGTGTTGTCATGAAGAGAGAAAATGTAAATGAGATCGTTCCAGGTCATGTCCCTAAAGCTGTCTTGACTACGTGCAAGTGGAACCACCTGGGGCCGCATCATTCCAGTCAACTGCAATCAATTCACTATTTTTGGGCCAGCATTGAATAAGATGACAGAAATGGTTGCGATTCCCACTCAGCTGGGAGCATGAAGTCATTGATTGTAGCAGCCGAATATAAGTATAAAATATTATAAGTAAGAAGCCTGTTTAAAATGCAGTCGGGGCCCATGATTGAACAAAAACCAGCCGCTCAAACTATCCCAAGCACGGCTTTACTTCCAACAATATGGTAAAATTTTATAACATTACATAATTACTCCAACTTCATTGATTTATCATCATAATCATAATCTCATGGCAAAAAAATGGTGTGCTTCATTTCCAAACACACATGTCTTACTAACTCAACATCCACTTGGCCGGTGTTGCTTCACAGTTGTATCTGTCCTCCGACCTGCAAGCTTCAACTTGCGATGCGCTCGTCCAAAAAGGTGGCTGGTTTTACGCTGTTGCGTGACGGGAATGGGTTCAAATTTAAGACCCAAGGGACCACTGATTTTGTTTTTTAATAGTTTTTTTCCAGTATGAATCATCTAGCAATGGGTTGGTTTAAGGGAAACTGTACAGGAAACCCCTACATCCCATGGGAAATACCATGGTTTCCTGTAGAATTTCCCTTCTAACCAATCCATTGAATCTAAGTATTGGGGTACCAATTTTGACTTCTCCCTGATGTTGGAGAATCATTCAACGATTGAATATATTTCAATTTCTGGTATTTTGCTGCTGGGTGGTTCCAAAGTTCCAACCTTGAAAAACATTTCAGTCAATCCACAACGGCCATTGGAAGAATGGAAGAAAAATAGCAATGTAATGTAACATCCTTAGCCTACAGACGATGATTGCTCGTGATCGTTCTATTTGGAGTGTAGGTTGCACAGGATCAGGGCAGAAGAGTACTACAATCATCAGGAGTACAAAACAGTAGTTTGAATCGTCAAGTTCAGAATACTATCAGCAAGGCAGGTCAGACAATCGCAAGAAGCGGAAAGTACTTCAAGTCTCCAGGTTTTTCTTCCAATGCATTTCTTTCTGATCGTTGCTCAGTAGTTCCCCATTTGGGGATGAACCGGAGGATTTGTTTCCCTTCTGATTTGCCTTGGAAATTTGAAGCCATCAATGATCCTCTCAGGTGAACCTAAATGGATGATTGGATGCAAGGTGATTGACCACCCTGGCACCAAGGTCGCGATGAGAAGGGCAAGGGCAAGGGCAGGAGAGCCCAAGGGGAGCCCGGATGCGTCCGCTCAACAAATGGCCTTGCTTTGGTTGGGCAATGGATGCTTCCGGGATCTTGTACATTTTTATAATAACATATATTACATATATTACGTATATTACAAATACAACATATATAACATATCTAACATATATCACATATACTACATATATTACATATACAACATATATAACATATCTAACATATATTATATATAACATATATTACATATACAACATATATAACATATCTAACATATACCACATGTATCACATATATTACACATATTACATATAATACATTTATTACCTATACAACATATAGCACCTATCTAACATATATAACATATTCAACTTATACAACATATATGACGTATTTAACATATTTAACATATATAACATATATCACATATATTACATATATTACATATATTACATTTATTACCTATACAACATATAGCACATATCTAACATATATAACATATTCAACTTATACAACATATATGACGTATTTAACATATTTAACATATATAACATATATCACATATATAACATATATAACATATATTCCGTATATAACATATATAACATATATACAACATATATAACATATATAAAACAAATAACACATATAACAGATATAACATATATATATATATAATCAAAACACACACATATATATATAGTACCTGTGTGTGTGTCTCTGTGGTATCCCACTTCAATCTCTCCCTGAAAGCCGTAGAGCCCAGGTCGGCCTGAGTGGAACCCAGGCCTTGCCAGGCGAGAGATGACTCGTAACGGTCGATAACGGGAATGTAACGGGATGAATATACACAGGCCCCAACATGGCTGTGATATGTGCGATCTATGGCTATGATAAGTTAGGTTAAGTTAGGTAAGTTTAGTGAGTTTGTTTATATATATATATATAATCATCTTTGTGTATGATTTTTTGTGGATCAATAGGCTGTAATTCCTTTGATGGCCCTATACTTAAGCCTATACTTGGGTGTAGAGGGCCATTTTGCAGGGTGTAGAGGGCCATTTTGGGTGTAGAGGGCCATTTTGCAGGGGCGGCGACCTTCCGTAGATGGACGATGAAATCAAACCCTTGCTGTATTATTGTCAACCCCCGCACCCCCTTTTTTTCAATGTTGTCTTTGGGCTGCACGGTTGGGTCCGGTGGACAAAACAATCAAACCCTGAACGCAGAGGAAGTTAGATAGAGTTTTGTGCAACATTGAAATTTGGGGTGTGGGGTTTTACTTGGTAGATGTCTGTGGGGTTTGATATTCTTGACGAACGAACCTATACAGGATCTTTTGCACAGGATATTCTACAGATATCCTTGTAAAGGAATCGCGCAGAGCAGTTTCAACAGAGATCCTGTCAAGGAGATCCTGCGCACGATCTTCTACCCTTCACAAAGGGAACTTGCAGAAGATCGGAATTAGGCAATAGGAATAGGCAATAGAATAGGCAATAGAAAAGGAAATAGAGTTTGGAATTAGGCCATATGAAAACACAGGGATTTGTACACTAGAGAGCCCAAATGGTATAAATCCCTGTGTTTTCATATTGCCTACTTCCAAACTCTATTTCCTTTTCTATTGCCTATTCCTATTGCCTAATTCCGATTTCCTGTGTCGTCTACCCTTCACAAAGGGAACTTGCAGAAGATCGGAATTAGGCAATAGGAATAGGCAATAGAATAGGCAATAGAAACGGAAATAGAGTTTGGAATTAGGCAATATGACCACACAGGGATTTGTACACTAGAGAGTCCAAATGGTACAAATCCCTGTGTTTTCATATTGCCTAATTCCAAACTCTATTTCCTTTTCTATTGCCTATTCTATTGCCTATTCCTATTGCCTAATTCCGATCAACCTATAATTTGAATCAACGTATCTGCTGTGCCTAAAAATGTTCGATGCTGGGCTGCTGCGTCTATGTGCTCAAGGCCCGCCCCCGGACCGTAGATGGACGATGAAATCAAACCCTTGCTGTATTATTGTCAACCCCCGCACCCCCAAATTTCAATGTTGTCTTTGGGCTGCGCGGTTGGGTCCGGTGGACAAAAAAATCAAACCCTGAACGCCGAGGAAGTTAGATAGAGTTTTGTGCAACATTGAAATTTGGGGTGTGGGGTTTTACTTGGTAGATGTCTGTGGGGTTTGATTTTTTGTCCATCTACTGTTTCACTGTCAATTTTGACCCAACATGAAGGATTACCACAATGGCAATGTCATTTGGAAATATTGATGAACCATGGGATTCAGGGATGCCGTATGTTCATGTGTTTTCAGACAAACCCCATGCAATCTTTGGTTGAAAGATACTAATCCCATCCCCCTAATATGTGGAAATTATGTGGAAATTCCCTACTAAACCATGGCTTCTAGGGGGGTGTATTAGGGGTATGGGATTAGAGATCAACTTTGTTGCACGGTATTTGACAGAAGCACTGTGAAATGTCCCTTCTGAAGATCCAACTGCCGGATATCGTCTCCGCGGGATGTGTCCGGTTAATTCAACATGGCTATGGAAAACCACCCATTTTGCACGATGATTTACAAATTGAAAGCAGTAATTGTCCACGTTTATTTTAAATTGCCAACGGGTACCAAAACCCTCTTAGCCAAGTTTTTTTCTCCGTGAAATCGGGGAAAAAAGAATGTGATTGTGGTAAGAGTTGGAGTATACCCAGATGGATTATAGCCAAGCTTTCAGTGCGTTGCCCTATTTCTTGTTGGGTTTGCATTGGTTCTACCATCAAACCATCAAACCCAAGCTCAATGATATCCCGCTAGAATATACTGCAATAGCAGCACCTTGGAAATCCCAATGTGTAGAAATCACCATATTTTTTTTTAATCTCCCACGGCTATACCAGTTATTTTTTCTGGCAGGAACGGGATCAACACCCAGCCAGACTTCGGAAAATATGAAGAGTAAGACCTCAAGAGTTTTAGAATCAAAACGCTGTCCAAACAAATTTGAAAACATCATATATATATATATATACACACACTGTATATATATATATGAATATGTCGCCAGAGTTTTTGATTGCGTGGCGACAATTTGGGGACGCAGTTCCAGTTAGATGAGCTCTGCAGGATGGGGATCTTTGCCCATTGAGTAGTGATGGGTTTGGGGTTGATGTGGCAGACCATGAGAATCGTTGGCAGCCTGTCTTCTGACAAAGCACTACCTCTACGAGGCTTCAGATGGCAGCGGACGGGTGTCTCCAGACCGCTGCCTGGACCGTCAAGGCGCCCGCACGGTGTGATTGGTGGTACCGCGGCGTGAATATTTTTGGCGTCAGGGACAAGGAGGACGTGGCACAGCCGGCACCAGGGCTTGGCGGGAATCGTCTGAACTCGCCATGGTACACTCATCCACCCCAGCCGCACCCGCAAGTAAGATGTTCCATCCGTTAAAAAACACCCCGCGGCGAACACGCAGGAACCTGGACTTAGAGGCCGAGAAGTCAGGTGGCCGCGGTCGGATGCAATGGCACCTTGGTTGAAACAGAAACGTATGAAGATGTAGAAATAGCACCACCAAAAAAGATGCAGATGTGGTAAAAATTTAAATCTCCTTCCACCTAATATCAAACACCCCCCAGAAATCATGGTTTTGTAGGGGTTTTACACATATATCATATATGGTACCATTTCGGGGTTTTCAATATTAGGGGGATGGGATTAAAAGCATTGCTAGAGCATGTTTTTCCCCCAAAAGTGAGGTTGCTATATCAGAGACGGCCTTTATTTGGTGATAGTCTTGAGGTGTCCAAAACGGGATGTTTAGGTTGTAATATGAGAAGGAGGTAGATAGACATTTTATGCGTAGCACTTCGTGCGGTGAGGCACCCAAGAACGGACAGGTTGCATGTTCTATGGTTTTCCGAACTGAGAAGCTGTTGCCTGCGTTCTGTCTGGCATTGCGTGGTTGCTTCACTCGTGCTTGACGCCTTAGGTACAGGGACCATGATGATCGCCAGGAATTCTGTGGAAGTAGCCATGGCGGGGTGTAACATGTTCTTCGGAAATTGGTACGCCTTGGGTGTGTAGGTCCAAAATTGAATTTTAGGAGATGGAGAAACATATATATATATATAATTATATATGTGCTTCACATTTTTTGATTTTTTGTGGCACATCAAAGACAAAACAGTAGTGGCGCAATACCACCCTGACATTTTGCATTAAACCTGACAAGAATGGCCGACTCTACGCTCAGTTTCCAGGTGATTTCATCAAGAGAAACTCCTGAGCTTTGGATTTAAAGCATCGTTTGGTTGGGTAAAAGCCCTTGAGCATCCTTGAGCTGGTTTTACCACCATTATTTGGGATGAGTAAGGTTTCTGACCAGTGTTGGGTTTGGGGGCTCAACCGCAAACGTGTCTTATCGTTTCTTCTCTTTCTTGCCTTCATGTTGGGCCATTTTTGAGGCTTTACCCTAATTTACTGAACATTGTGTTTTGCTCGTCGTTTGGACATTTTGGTTGGTTCGCTCAAATTCCCAGTTTCTCCCATTTCTTTGCTGACCCAAGTCTCTGAAACTTTGTTTGCCCTTGTGCGTCTCATTTGTTTCCGAAGTTGTTGGTGGTTCAATGATGGCTGGTTGGTTGTTTGAAACATGTTGAATGATCCATCCAGCAATTGGATGATGATCCTTATTCAGCCTATTCATGAGATTCATGATCAGATTTTTTCGAGGGTTAAAGCCACCAACCAGTAGTCTCTTCATAATCCATTAGAACCCCACCTTTCCCCAATGTCGCAGGAGAGCGGGGGACAACGACGACGGGGCGGAAGTCCTGACAGCAGGGCGGCTCAGGAAGTCTTATGCTTCATCTTTGGCAAGAAACGGGACTACTCCATCCGTATATATCCGTAGTGGGGGCCACCATGAAAGCCATCTTATCAGTAGAAGGCGAGAGACCACACTGCTAACGCCTTTGGAATTTGGATGCTGGACACACGGGTTGGACGTCTGAAGCTTTTCTGGATCAGGAGAGTTTTCATTTTAAGGTGGGGGATCCGGTGAAAGAGGTGGTTGATCACCAAAAGAGGCTTACAGAAATCGAGTCGAAGGTTTGCAACTTGCCCTCCATTGGGGCGCCTTGGTCTCCATCGAGAAGCCTCAGAGAGACGATACTCTTCGAACCTCCCAACGCCACTGCTGTCCATGGCGAGCATCAAGGTTGGACAAACGTTTCCGAAGTAGCCTTTCATGCAGGAAGGTCCCCATGAGTTATGTTCTTTGGTTTGTAACCCCATCTAAGTACAGAGAGAGAGTAAAGATCTATCCATGCACTTTATCCTTGAGTAGTTGGCCGAGTCTTGTTTGACTTACCACCAACCAACTATCAACCCTCATCTTTGATGGTTAAATCCAATGTTGTATTCTTATATCACCAGTAAGCCTAGTATCCTAGTTATGTTCACCAACTTAGCTGAAGAAACCCCATGATATCCCACTAAATCACAATTAGATTCCATTAATTCACCAAAAAAGCTCTCCTTTCATGACCATTGAATCACCATTTTCCCAGCCCACCCTCCGTTTAAAACGAATAAACGTCGAGACATTGAAACACCTCCCCGCAACGTCGTGGCAGATTGGAAGCACGACATGTTCGAGGAGATGGCCAAGGCGGATACCTCACTCTCCCGAGCCCTGGGAAGCCGTAAGGGGAATGATCCCAAAATGGAAGTCCCCAGGTGAATAATCATTTTATGAATCATAGCAATTAATTCACTAACCTGAAATCTGGAAATGATAGCAAGTTTCAGGTTAGTGAAATATTATACTTTACCCAGATGAATGAATAGGAATTGGATATAGTAATTATCCCTGAATCTAGGGATGATGGTGCACAATGTCAATTGGATTGGGATGCACGTATCCATAACAATAAGGAATCACACTTTAATCCATAACATTATGGATCATACTTTGTGTACCACATTGTGGGTGATAGGGATTATTATGTATACCATTGCTGTAAAAGGGATTTATAACTAGTCTGTAACTTGGGTTATATACCCTCCGGTAATCTCACATTGCACTTGGAAATCCTTTATATATGAATGTATGTTTGAATGGGAAATTCATCTATAAATAAATGGTGATTTTTCCATTGCCCTTTTTGATTACTGGAGGGTATCATGAGGGCATCATATATCATATAATGTAAGATAACAGGGATCGTTAATGATTGTAAGATGCCATACATAGCTGGTATAAGTCATCGAACTAGTCACATGCCATGGCCTCGAAAAAGCTGCCATAGCTATGTTAAATTACCGGAAGGTAGTTCATTGTAATCCTTTTTGCTTGCTGTACATTGAAAATAAACGCAGGTTGGTATGGATCTATTCATGTTGATGTTCTTTCTTGGGAGCATTCAATTTTAAGGGGGAGGGATAAATGAGATATATGCTAAGCAGTGTGTCCAAAATTACTCGCGCGCGCACACACTGGTGAGAAACCGTGTTTTGCCCAAGAACGGAATAGCGTAGAAAGCAATGAATTTCTATTCGCCTCAAACAAACCGATGAAATTGTTGTGACAAAGTGTGCATTGCACTGCCGCTTCGCAAGAGTAAAAACCTCGCACCCTATGGAAAAAAGAAAGCACACTGCAATTAGGATTTCTTTTGGGGGTTCCAAAGGACGTAAAGAAGAATCCCGCCCCCGTGGAACAATTAACCATACTGCAAGTGGGGCTTGTTTTGGGGTGAAAATAATTTATTAATAACAACTATAATCTCCCGCTGTGAAACAAGTAGCAAAGCCATCTCCATTGTAGGTGGTGATCAAGGCCCTGGACCAGACCTTGGATGAATAGCTTGATGCTTCAATCTTTTGCAATGGGTGATACTGAACAGCGATTTCAGTTTTTTGGTGCATCTAGCACTAGCCAGATATATAATTACATATACTATGATATTCATATATATTAAGATATTCATATATATAATATATATACACACACATGTGTGCACACCTTCAGCCATGAATAATGAACCAGCTATATAAACTGTGATGTTTTGCAGGGTATCTAAGATTGGTGTGGATTTGCACCGGCGATGACAAGTGATTCCAGGCACCAGAGCCCAAGAAAGAGGACGCGGAGTGGGAACTGCTGGCAACGACCGAGAAATCCCCTACTGTAAATAGAGGTGTTATATGGTGTTACTGGAAAAATCATCTATAAATTGATGATTTTCCAGCAAACCATATTTGATTACCTTCCGGCAATTTGTGACATAGTTTTGGAAAATGCCCCCTATGATGTTCTATGATTTACTAATTAAATAAGTAGCCATTTTCGATGGGTATGTCAATTTACCAGAGGGTGACCTCCCAAGTACCAGACCTTTGGGCGGCACGCACGTGCCTCCCATGACAGTTCGAAATCATCAGGGTCGGGGCAGCTGTGGGACACAATTCAGCAATGAGAAATGTAGGTCCTCTCTATAGAAACTCAGATATGTGAAGATCGTTTCCTTTGTTTTTGTTAAAAAACAGAAGAGGAACAGAAAGATCATTTTAATCCCATGGTTTTCCCAGATCTTTTAATAATCATTGTTTTTTGGCTTTATCCATGATCATTTAATAATCCATGATAATCATCGTTTTCCCATGGTTATTCCCATGGTTTTCCCACTGCTTAGATCATTTTCCCATGGTTTTTTTGAGGGGGGAAACCCCTCAGTTTCTCCCGGCCTAAGCGTTCTACACAGGAGGCCAAGAAGGCCGATGAGGAGGACGGCCGTGTTTTTTTGTTGGGTAAACACCACTTGATTTGGGGAAAACATTGAAGAATTTGATGTGTTGTATGGTGAAGACGGGGAACTGATTCAGCAAATTGCGATTTGTTTATGTTGAAGATGTTGAAAGAAATTGCGATTTTTATGAGGAAGATATTGGAGCATGTGGAAGACAATGTGGAAAATTGCGATGGTCATCGTAATGGCACAAATATGGAAACAGATTGGAAACATGGCAGGGAAACAATGGGAAAAATCCTGATGATCCATGGGAGAACTTGTAAGAAACATTTGAGAAACCTGATTAAGCCACAATTGATCACGGCATTTTTTTGATCATCCAACTTATGTACCTGTAAGATCTTGCAAGTGCTGATTTAATCGATTTATTCCTTGAAAAATCTGGAACATAGCTGAAAGGATAGATGAAAGTAGGACTCACCAGCTACAATTTCTAGTTATTTACTGTAGACTGTAGACCTTTCTTTGGGTACCTAATCATCGGCGGTTGGGCGGTTGGTTAGTTGACTACACTGACTACACCAGGTTCTAATGGTGTATGTTGTTTGGATGGCATGGTATTTTCTTCACGTTCCAGCTAGCTTGACGGGCCCAATCACTTGGACATGTGAAGGGATTGAAAAGGCTGAAGCCTGGGGACCTGTCTATCGCACATTTCTTCATGCCGCGGCTGCAGGAGAAAAATGAGAAACCCAAAGCCAAGGAAGATAAAGAGGAGGAGATTTGAAGGGTTTTGGATTTCACCGTATTTGAGCCACCTCAGACTCGGTTTCGGTGATGATTCAATTTGAGGCTTTCAACTGGTTAGCCATTTGAGTGCACCTTCTTTAGGTCACTGGACATACTTACGTGCCTATGGATATACATAACTATATACACACATACATGAATATATATATATACATATATATATATCTATATAATTTATTTATTTACATACACTCCACCCCCACCATGGCGGCCCGATCCATTTTCCCGGCAGCAGGAGGAAGCGGAGGAAGCTTCTGACAGTGATGACAACTGAAGTCGTTGGCAACGCGACAGGGCCCATGAAACCCGGAGAGAGATGGAGAGCTGATTTGAGCATAGGAAAAAGCTGTATGACTCTACCATGATCGACAATACTGACAATACCTCATATTTCAAGCGGGGTGGCCAAAAATGGGATGGTGTTCTAATTAAGTGTACTTCGCATATATATATATATATATATACATATGTGTGTGTGTATTTTTTGGTCGCCATGCCAAACAACATGAAACAATATGAAACACATAAATTTATTTTGTTATCTTTTGATTTTCGGAGCAACGGCTTGTCGCGTCGAGCCAGCTGAGACCCTTCGGAGCCTGCACTTGTCAACGTAGATTGGAATGGTAAAGAAAGCTCCAGTTTGGTTACGAAGGTATACCAAAATTAGTCCCCAAAAAAAGGAATGGAAATGGTGTTCCTATCTTGATGTCCACATTGAAGCTTCATATTAATGTGAGATTTTCAATCATTTCTTCCTTTCTTCTTTTGATGAGGTCACTGCCTTTTTTGAGCTGATGTTTTCAGAATCATTCTTTTTGCAACCATCCCAATACGAAGCCCACAGTAAGGCCACATTCAACAGCAACTCGTGTCGTCAGTGCTGCGTCAGGTGAGTTTTCATGGGTTTTGAATGGGGGATATTGGATGTAATGGTTCAAATGATAATGGGTTATGCAACATGGTGTATGTAACATATGACATACACATATACATGGTCGGTTATGCTATGCTACAATTGCTTCGGGCCGTGCAACCTCCTGAACTCCTTTTGGGGCTTCAAGCAATTCTGCGGCAGGTCAGTTCTGTTCATAGGTGAGTCGGAATGCGCCATGTATGGTGTCTCTTGAAATCGGGGACCCCAAAACCATGGATTCCGATACTGAAATAGCCTCATACACATCCTTCTGACTATTGTTGTGTCCATCCTTTTGGTAAGTCTTATCCTGCAGTTCAATCTTGTTTCACTTCTATCAATGGCCCCCTTGGAATAATGTTCGCCTGTGAATGGCCATTTATAGGGGGGTTTCTCATTGCTATCTTTGATTCCCAGAGGGTAAGCCTAAAAAATAGACCTGGTTCATCCGTATCTCACGCTGGCTCCTGCTGAGTGGACACTGCCATGGTCGCAAGGACCAACTTGAGGTCAGGGGTTGCCAGAAATCGCCACACCTATCCTTTAAATTGATTGAAAGAGTGCTATATGTTATGTGTATATAGATATGTGTAGATAGGAAACTACCCTTGAATCACCCTGCAAGGGCCTCACCAGAAACCATAAGTAGAAATGATGAGTAGCAACAATCATCCGAAGACAATCATCGCCAAATTATTGTAGTTTTTCTCCCTCGATAATGATTTCATTCTGCACAACTAGATGTCCAGATTTCAAGACTTCAAGACTTTCCCACTGCTAAGCTGCGTTTGGTCGCAAGATCCTGCCTGTGATCTCATTCCGGTTCACGGCGGGTAGGTCGCAGAGACGTGGTAAAAACAGGTGCCGCGGTGCCATTGTAAAAACAATTTACGCCGCGGCCGCAGTGCTGGAGCTATGAGTATCATCCCAGTATAGTGCTGGTGGAGAAGTCCCGGATTTGTGGGCTTGTCCAATAGACCAAAAAGTATATATATAACCATTTATAAGTATAAGCCCAACTACATTATATAATATATATAGATATAGAATGATATAGATATAGAATGATATAGATATAGATTTAGATATACATATAGATATAGGTATGATATAGATATAGGTATAGATATATATATATATGGATATATAGATATCTAATCGGACTTGATTATTGGTAACCAGTTAGTAAGTAGGATGGTCCTGGTAGAGGGCTGCTGGGATTTGGTCTGTTGAAAGTCGAAGGTCGTCAGGCCGTGGTCAAAAAAACACCAGTCCAGAGTGAAACACCCCACTGTTTTAAGGTTTTGTGACCGGCCCCGGTTCTATTTATATAGCCTTTGATTATTTAAATCTATTTAACATAGCTGTGGAAGATGATCCATGGATGATTCATGATGGCTTACTGTACCTAGTAACGATGGTGATGTCCATAGTTACGTTGTATTGCCAGAGGGCGCACTTTTTCTTGGAGTGGTTGGAGTCAGCCCACAGCTTTGGATACGCGATCATGGTATTGGGATGTATTGGGAGTGATGTTTGCTGATGATTGAGCCTTCATGACAAGAGGTTTGCACTATGTGGGTATCCTTGGTATTCCTTGGTGTAAGTGACCATGCCAAAGGGGTTCTTTCAAAGTGACAGTGTAGATCACATGTTAATTTCCTGTTTCAATTTGGCGATTGTCCCCCTCATATTTCCACGTGGTATTTTCTATCACCAACTTGTTACAATACAACAATCAAAAGGTGCCAGCCCCACAAGTTGTCGGCTACCCTCTGGTAAACCAACAGTTTGCGGTGTAAAATCACAATTTTTAGACACCGTAAATCATCGAACTAAACTGTCAGATTACCACAGGGTAGTGCACTAAGTGGGTGACAACCATAGTATATCTTCCAGTTATGGAATATACCCAAAGGAAAAAACAACTTTAGAAACCAATAAAAACACGTTAAATCAATTTTTAAAAAGTCATGTTTTAAGATTAATAAGAACCTTCAAGAACCATCAAGAACCACTACGAGTTTGTTTTTTAAACAGATCTTGCCATTCTTCCCCCCAGTGTTTTCGCTTTCACGGCACCTTCATGGCGCTGGAATCTCCAGCGCCCTGGCTCAACGCAGTCCTCCCGCACGTTGGGCCGGCCAGCTGTCAGGGGTCCAAGACATGGGTGGTGCTATCCAGACTGCAGGGATGATTACTACATTTTGGGGATTATATAGTAAGTAGTCATTATTTTTACTAGGTAACTACTATTAAGGGATGAATTGCTGATTAGTAAGTAGTACTTATTAGTAGATATAGCCATTATATAATTGGGGATGGATTACTTTTTTACTATATTGGGGATGAACCACGAAGTATCAGCCTATGATTTTGTTGGGTATTATATGGTTCGTATGGATATTTTCTGGGTGATGCGTACTAATTGGTTTTGAATCACTTCTTTGGGGCATTAATTGCTATTTGTCAGAGTGTTTGGAGGATTAGTTGTTGTTTTTGGGGGGTGGCATCAGGTCCTTTTTTTTTTTCCAATGGGCCTCAGGTGAGTGTGCATGAATTTGCTACTCTTTCGATGAACGGTTTTGATGGTGAGTCTCACCCTGTTTTTTGGCCTAGATTGTTTTTGAAACGATATACAGATGTGTGACTGGGCTGCGCATCTTTTGAATGCATATCTATATATATATATATTATCTTATATGTATATATACTGTATGCATACTTGTTTCTATATGTCTGTAGGTTCTGCAAGGTACATCCCACTTTTGATGGTTAAAATATGGGTTGTTCCGCAAGGGAAAATACGATGAACACCCCAAAAACATCACGGAATTTACCGAAAAAAAAACAAAACCATCCAAAACTACATGTTCTCCCCATTTCTTTAAAAGGTGATGATCCATGATGCCACAACTCCCCAGGTGATGGGGAACAGTGCAGCCCAAGTCTGCTGCTACTTGGTCGACGACAGTGCAGCTCTGGGCAACCCCTGCGGCCGGGAGAATTGGAGTGAGAGGTTTGGAGTTGTGGGGCGTGTTCTTTCTTTTGTCATGCACGTTCTTTCTTTATCTGTTCCTTTGTATTTCTCTTGTAATTTAAATATATACATTCAGTCATATATTTTATAGTGTATGAAAGCGTATAATAGTGTATATGTATATGTATGTGGTTCATATCACCTTTCAAAGTATATATATATATATTATATTATCATCTAATAGTGTAATTATGTTTGGGGGTATGTCTAATGACATGCACTTGTGTAACATCCCTTTCTGCCGGAGCTCAGGTTGCGAGCGCCGACCCGAAACCCCCAACCGCCGCAGGTGTTGATTGGTCATTGGTTGGCTATGGGAATCCCTTCGGAAAGCCGTGGAAGGGTCCGTTGGTAGGTGAAACTTGGTGGATTTTCAGTATACTCTCTGGTGATCAAACGTGGGAAATCCTGTTCAAATGGGTAAATCATGTTTAACGAAATGGGGGATTTCCTTTGCCATGTTTGATTACCAGTGGGTAAATGAAGTATGTCGACATAAATGCCATACACCTCATTGTTTCCGAAGGCGTGTTCAAGACTAGACATGACCTAGCTATGGGAATTCTAAAGTTTATCAAACTTAAATGGTGGTTTCCATAAATGGGGGTACCCCCATAGCTGGATGGTTTATTTCATGGAAAATCCAATTAAGATGGATGATTTAGGGGCATCCCTATTTCAGGAAACCTCCAAATGATTGTATAAACCAAAAGCCAACAGAGTTTTTTAACCCGTAAAAATAGGGATTGAGCCAAAGTTGTGGTCAAACTTGAAGGCTTGCTGCGACGGCATGGTATGGATGAAGCTTAGGAACCGGAGCAACAAAAGAGGTTCGCAACGAATCAAAGCTCAAGGTCACAAGGTGTGTGCTTGGAGGTGCAGTTCCAGATATAAGTGAATATACAATCTGGTTGGTGGTTTGGAACATTTTTTAATTTTCCATATATTGCGAATAATCATCCCATTTGACTAATATTTTTCAGAGGGGTTGAAACCACCAACTAGTAATGGTATGTATAATTATGTGTATATATATATAATTATATAATTATATAACCAGACATTTGTTGGGGTGCTTTGAAATCGTTGGGGAGTTATATGCATAACAATGACCTAAGTTGCACCCCCAGGTGTAGTTGTTTTTCTTCCAGGAAGGTGGATCTGCAAAGCAGCTGGGCATGACCTGATAACCCAACTGCATTTATCAAATCTAGGGCCAGGGAAACCAAAAAATCAGGCGGCAAGCCCACCCCATAAACCATGGTTTAGTAGGGGATTTACACACCTTTGGGACCTTAGAATGGTGTTGAATATTAGGGGAATGGGATTAGTAAACCATCTTTAATTTCTACCAGAAAGTCGTAAAAACAAATTGAGATCAAAATTGGTCATGGCATTTGGCGAATCCCACACTACAAACAATGGAAAGGTGCCAGCTTGTGAGTTGCATATCCAAGTCGTTGATTTCCTCCTGACATGTCAGGGGCGAGGGCCAGCGATCTCCGCACCTGCAGGTGGGGTCTCCAGAAACAAATCCAGGGGGATGGGTTTACTGGATCTATGGGTCATGGGGGATGGGACGCCTGAAAAAAAAAATGCTGAGAATAATGCAGATGGCTCGAGAAATGATCATGTTGAAGTTTTGAAAAACCCATGGCGAGTCATGAGCGCTCCCATCCAGATGCAGGGATGGGATGAAGCCATCGAAAACCAATAGTTAAGGAGGGCTATTTGTTTGGCGATTTTTTGATGTTTGGGTGATTTTTTTTTGTTTTCCAGCCTGGCTTTTGTGGCTTCTGTGGCTTTTTGGCTTTACCATGCTTTGCCTATCTATCTATCCATCTATCTATCTATCTATCGATCTATCGATCTATCGATCTATCTATCTATATATCTATCTATCTAACCTAATCTTATCTTATCTAACCTTATCTTATCTGTCTATCTATCTAAACTATCTGTCTATCTATCTATCTATCGATCTATCTATCTATCTGTCTATCTATCTATCTATCTAACCTAATCTTATCTTATCTAACCTTATCTTATCTATCTATCTATCTATCTATCTATCTATCTATCTATCTCTCTCTCTATCTATCTATCTATCTATCTATCTATCTATCTATCTATCTATCTATCTATCTATCTATCTATCTATCTATCTATCTATCTATCTATCTAATCTATCTATCTATCTATCTATCTAGTCTAATCTATCTAATCTAATCTAATCTAATCTAATCTAATCTATATAATCTAATCTAGTCTAAATCTAAATCTAATCTAATCTAATCCAATCTAATCCATTCTAATCTAATCTAATCTAACTATCTATTCTCACCTACTAATCTACTAATCTACTTATCTATCTAATCTAATCTAATCTAATCTAATCTAATCTAATCTAATCTAATCTATCTAATCTAATCTTATCTAACCTAATCTAATCTAATTTAACCTAACCTAATCTAATCTAATCTAATCTATCTATCTATCTTTATATACACACCTTGCATCTCTACATGTACCTGAATCCAACCCTCAACAGACTTTAAATAGGCCCTAAACCAACCCAACATAACCAACCCTAAATAAATCTAAGCCAACCCTAAATAACCCTGAATAAACCCTAAATCAACCCTAAACCATCCCTAAATAACTCTGAATAGACCCTAAGCCAACACAAAATAAACCTTAAACCAACCCTAAACCAACCCCAAATAAACCCTAAACCAACCCTAAACCAATCCTAAAGTACCCTAAACCAACCCTAAATAAACCCTAAACCAACCAACGCTATGATAGCATCCAATGCCACTATTTAGGCCCAACAGGGTTGTGCTTCAACCTATATTCTACATGTTCACCGGGTGCATGTTATGCATGGAAAAATCGATTGATCGATGAAAACTTTGGGTAAATCAATGAACACCATGGAAAAATCGATGAACAGTGCAGATGGCAAATTTTAGTTCCAAAATTCAGCAAAGTACAGGTTTTTGCCAAAATGTAGCCAACCGCAAGGAAAAGTCGCAGGGATGCACCAGCCTAGTCCTACCCTGCAAGTTGGATGGTTGTGCCGGCCAAGCGCCGCTTGGAAAAACCACCAGCAATAGTTCTTTCTGATTTTTCCCACTAAAACAATCTAAATCACGGATGGGATTTGCAAGTGCCAGGTTTGATTACCGCATGGTAATGTTACCTCTAGTATCCTCTTTATGTTATGTTATCCCAAAAAGGTCGAAATAATTTATCCCAAAGTACGAAAATATAAGCATCCCTATACCAACAAGTATATAGATCCCTATGGGTCAATATGAATAATTTATAGATACTATATATCTTCCTATGGTATACTTATAGTATCCCAAAGAATTGGGCCACCTTTCGCCAGGTCAGCCAAGCGCCGTGGACCCAGTGGACGAAAGTTACAATGTTTGTTGACCCGGCTGTAGCCTCTGGTTATTTGAAATAGCTATGGAGAATCACCATTTTGAATAGGTAAATCATCATGTTTATCATATACTGTATATAGATGGGCGATTTTAACTTCTCGACCAAAACCGGGGATGGTTACCATCTGGTGTCATCCGACATAGCTAGTTGTGCTAGTTGCAAATTCCCCGAACTCAATGGAGGTTTATTTGGCAAGATGATCTATAGATATTATAAATGGGGATTGTCCATTGCTATGTTTGATTACAAGCGGGCGCTTGGATGTGCATCCCAGTTTGCAAATGACTTAAAACCCTATATAACCGGGAGTCTCCTATATATGATTGAGGTATTTCATATGGTTGTACTTCCACTTAAACTAAAAGTGGAACCGCGCTCCCAGGTAGATGTGTTTTCTCTTAGCCTGATACAATCCCTATGTAACCTATATAAATGGGTGCTTCATATGGTTCTTACCCAGTTACTAACTGGGGACATGTATGATTTGACTGTTAAAATACGAGGATATCACGGGAATATCATGAAGATTTAAGTTGGATGTATCAACCATCATAAAAATAACATGTGGATATCATGAGATTTTAATGGAATATGCCCTTCAGTACTCAAACACGGGCAATGGGAAATCCGGTACAAATATGGGGGTTTCAATTGGGAAATTTATCGGACTAAAGTTTCCATTGTTCATGGCCATGTTTGATTACCCGAAGGTACCCACAAATTTGAAAACTCCTTTTTGTCAGATTTACATAGACTTCAATTGTATCATCGCCTATTTTCAACCAAAATTCGCATATGTTATTTTTGTACTTGTTTGTCGGCTCTAGCATTCCAAATTATACTATATATAATTTTGTTTAATTATACTATAGATATTATACTATATATATATATATATATATAGGATTTATAATGATTTATATAATGCTTTGTTATTTTTGTACTTGTTTGTCGGGATATTGCAAAGCATTGGGCCCCATCCCAAAGCCACAAAACGCCAAGAAATCTTGGCGTGGTTTTCGCCAAGAAATCCAGGTCCAAGAGTTCGTCGTCCAGTTGGCCCTTCGACTTTGAAAGTTGCCCAGCAGCGGGAAAACCAGGGTCTGCTGCAGTAAAGGCCACCCAATGGTGCTTTTTTTAACCAGCCATCAATGGGGATTGTTAGCGATATTTAGCCATATAACAAAGGGATGAACGAAGATTAATGGTTCCTACAAGGACTGGTTAATGGTTTGATTTTTGCCACACATGATGGAATGTGATGGAATGGTATGGAATGTATACTCTAGAATGTTGCTTTTGTATCGGGCATTTGACAAATTTGAGACTGGCCATGATGTGGGGCTATTTTCAAGTTTAGATGCAGCTTGTCCTGTGTGAAGTTCCTCAAAGAGGATCCGAAGCTTGGAAGAGACTTTGACCGAGCTCGGGTTTCCTGGCGAGTCGATGGCAGTCAGCTCACCAGGGGTTGCAAGATGCCTAACTGGCAAAGCCCGGCCGCTGCATAAGGCCTATACTTCTGGCTGGAGTTCAGGAGCAGCAGCAGATCAGATCTCGCTCGAAGAATGGCCATGCTTCTGGGAGTCCAAGAATTGCAGAAGCCAAAAACAAACCCAGACCTGAGGCGGAAGCAGAGTGATGCGGCGCTCCCTAGTCATCCTTCTTGATTTTGGTTCACCCCATTAACTAGTTTGATATACCTTTCATAATCCCAACAGAAAGATAGCAGTTATAAAACCAGATTAGCTATTTAACTATATAAATCCCATTAGATCCTTGTTTAATCCCCTTGAAATGTATGTAAAACCCCATTGAGCTTCCATTAGACTTTGTTTAAATCCCGTTGAACCACATTAGATCCCCTTAAATCCCATTAGCCCCATTAACCAACCATGAAATCCCATTAAACCACCATTTTTGCAGGTAGGGACGAAACCTTTGGTGGTGCTGGTTGACAGGTTCTGGCGAGGCAGAGGGGCCGAAGAAACAGCCACTGGCGCAGCAGGCAGCAGATGAGGCGCGCTGGTTCCACGGCCCATGATCGGTGGAGAGACAGGTGTACCAGTCATGGTTTTTAGGCTCTAGGTGTTTTTCTAATGTTTACTCTTAATTATGCGTTTAGAATCGTGCAATGGTTGATTCGTTGTATTTTTTAGTAATGTTATATATTGGCTTGTATAATGTTTTATGCAATGGAGATTTGCTGTTTTGCTGTTTTGGTACTTTAGCCAGCAAACAAACATCGGAGATGCCCATGGATGTCCCAATCTTTTATGTTCAGTGGCAATTAGATATGGTTTTTAATGGTTGACATGTGCTTATTTTCAAACACAAATATCACCATTAGATCCACATTGTATCCTTACTACATCCCCATGTAATGATTGATTTCAAGTAAATGTATATATCGCTTCTCTATCCTAATAATATACAGAGTATATCCTAGTCACATTTAGATTATCAACCTATTACCGTTCCTGGGATGCGCTTCGCACTTCCCCAACTAACTATAGTATCCCCTCAAAAAGATGTCGGAAAACATGTCCACGATTGTAGTTCGATGATGTATTCCATGATGTCCAGGGTTCCAACTTGTTCCATCTTCTGGTTACGGTTATTCTATATAAGTGGTAAACGTATTGGTCCCTAGATGTTTTTATAGAACTTATTTTGGTTCAATATGTTCAGTCATGCTCCTCTTTTGGTGGGAAACATATGATATAGCACTTTGTATATAATGATAATCAGCTTGGTGGTGAATGGTTGGTATATCATTGGTTTATATGTGTTGTCCATGCTTCTTTTGCGTGGGGACAACATGGTCTGATATATGTATTTTTTCCAGTTCGAAGGTGTTGCTTCCCCATGTTGCTCGGAATATGATATCTATGTATATGTGTGTGTTGACGTCATAAAATATGTTTTGCCTAATTTGCTGGTTTGAGGCGAGGTATTGACAGAATAGGCCCAGGTATAGACGGGTGACTAAGTGACACCGATTTTTAGGGGTCGGCAATCATGATATGGCCATTGTTTGGTCCAAGTGAAAACTGACATGCTAGATTCCTATAGATTCCTACTAGAAGGGAGGAGCTGGCGTCTTTTAAGGACTCCAGTATCCAGACGCAGTACCAGGATGAGGCAACCAGCAGACAGATGGTGGCAAATAGCATGCCGAACAACCCCCTTTAAACTGTTGCTGTTTGCAAAAGGACTTCATTGCCACCAACCATATACTCACGTAGCAATGGCAAGCATTAGTGTCAAAGATTTTTCCTCTTGAGCGACCTCAGGGTCATCCCCGACACGAAAAAAACTATAGTTCCTCACTGCGACCGAACCGTGGAAATGATGGTTAGAGGGGATAACTATGCCAAAATAATCCATTCTTAATGAGTATGATTTTCATACTGTAATCATTTTGATGAGTACCATTAACGGATCATTGTCATCATCATTATTGTTATGAATCATTGATTATTCTGAGCGATATCGTTCTTATTATCCATGCGGCAAGCCCTAAACCCAAGATCATGCCCAATATCACCAGAAATGTTGGAGGTCTATTACTCCCTGGTCATTTAACAGTTGGCTATGGAAAGCAACCCATTTAGTTCAATGAATTTACATACCAAAAATGGATAAAAACGGTGGCTTTTCCATAGCACACTGCTAAATTACTACAGGGTAGCTGCATTCTGCTAGGTATATCATATCCCCATCCTCCGTAAATCCCAATCTTACCCAGTTAGACACACTCTTTCGCTTTGCCGTGCAAAACCAATAGTTCCCCAGAGCCAGGCTGAAGAGAAGGTCAAGGCGCCGCAGTGCACAGTATCAACCAGTGGTGCTGAGCATTTTGTTAGCTTTAAATATGATGGAAACATAACGGGAACATTGGGGAATAATATCCATCAACAAAGTTTATTTCAAACTATGAAGATTTTTCGGGTTGGACATGGGTCCAGTGTAATGTAAATTGGACGAGCTAATTTTCGTAAACAATTGTTATTCCAGATTGATTTGGGATTTTGGGACTGTTCCCTCTACAATCATAGGTAGAACGTACCTTCCTGGTGTTCCCTTCAGTTCCAGCATGATGAATGGGTTGGCAAATTCAACCAACCCATCTCATAATGATTGATTATGATTTAAGTTGGCGAATCACCCCAGAATGACCCAACAATGATCTCAGGCTCGTGAATTACTATTACAAGTTCGCCAGATTAATGATGGTGATATGAACCAACAGGAATGGGAATGTACACACCTTCATCTCTTTACATGCTGCTCATGATCATGCTGGCCCAGGGCATGTTGTCAGGTGCCCAAGGTCACCAAATAGCAGTGGCTGCCAAGAAGGACTTAGAGGGATCTGCATCTGGTCACACCTTCAGTGATTTAGAAAGGTTAGCTCAACTTCAGCGAGGTCCCAGGAGTGGAAGAAACTGCGGAGGCCGCAGGTGAAGGTGACCAAAGAAGAGCCGCAGCCGAAGACCGTGGTATGGAGATTCTGGAGGACCTTGACCTGGGGCAAGACCGGTTCACAAATAAATGTTGTAGCTAGCTAACTCAGTCACGAACCCACTAACTCACCAATCAAGTCACTAACTAAAGGGCAGGTTTCCTAAAATAGGGGATCCCCAAGTCACCATGGATCTCTTGCCGTAAATGAAGGCATGTGCGCTCGTTCATTTTTTTCAGGGATTTGCTTGGACAATCCCATCGTTCTAAGATTCCTAACGCTCTCTGGTAATTTATATATATCATGGCAATGGAAACCCCGACTTTTAAACGGAAAATGCGGGATAATCGTTGAACTGAATGAGATGATGTTCCATGTCCAGGGTTTTTGGAGGGTATGATACATGCATTAACTACTCGAAATAAGGAGCCCCAATTCATGAACAATCCCTTCCCCCTAAAATTCAACACCCCCAAGCCATCATTTATAGAGATTTACACATGTTTGGGACCATGCAGGGCATCCCCAAAATTACCATTTAAAAAAAAAAAAACGCAAAATGGTTGGTATAAACCATCAATCCATATGGGTGGTGTACTACTTGCTTTACTAACATTAGATCCACTACAATGTGGGACCCCCAGTGATAAATGGGTTTTTAAACCCCATTATATAACTATAGTCATCGGCGTATCATAAACCATAGTGAAATTGGAGTTATTGGCACCAACTTAGCTATCGTTCAGGGGATTAATATCCATTAACTCATTAACTATAGTTATATGGAGGTTTCCTAAAATGGGTGTACCCCAGTCATCATCCATTTTTTGTAGGATGTTCCATTATAAACCCTCGGATCAACATCCATTAACATCCATTAGATAAAGTTATATCTACCATAACTAATGCTATAGGGTAATCTTATGGATATAATGCCCTATTAATGCCATAAACCATAAATCAACATCCATGAACATACCATTAACTATAGTTATATCGACCATAAACCATTGAATTCAGCCACCACAGTTTCGTTTCGCAAGCAACAGAGCTCTGCTCTGCGGCCCAGATCCTGGAGATATCCGCTGGACGCCCTGGTGGGCTGGCGAGCCTTGAAACGTTTGCTGATGCTATGGATCTTGAGGAGATGAACGGCATAGAACAAGTACATGTACATAGATATACCTACATATATGTGTATATCTAGATCTACATATATATATATACACTGTATATGCGCGTATTGGTTTTTAATGGGATATGTTGATATGATGTTGGTATTGACCCAGAGCAGGCGAAGGTTTTGAATACTTAAACATGTGTGGGTTCCCGGGGCGCTGTCCTCCATCTCAGTTGGCTTAGAAGATTTCCTTTGATTGCAGGACAAGCATGCGCATCTATCAGAGCTCAGAAAGACCACTTAATTTTACTTGTTTTCAATCCATTTGGTGACCCGCCCAAGTAGCGCAGAATCATTCAGTGTCCGTTACCTTGACTTCCCGGGAGAAGAACCAGTGTTGGTTAGCAAGCGGTGATTTACTTCCGCCAGAGGGGATGTTTATATGCAATCGTATTTGCAGTCAGACATAATCTAGCGAAAGTTGCCGAACTTGGGTAGGGGAAGGTACGGTAACGCCCACTCTGGTTAATGATAGGTGAAGTTAGGCTGGTGTTTTAACACATATAGACATCTCGCATCATATCACTTCTGCATACTTTTTCAACACGATCTGCGGATGTTGTAGCCCCAAGCATGTCATTCTACAGTTATTTAAATGACCAAAACTCAAAGACGATAAGAGTAGAAATCATGATCCTGATAGTAGTCTACAATAGATTCTGGTTGGTGGCTTCATACATTTGGATGATTTTTCCATTCAGTTGGGAATGTCATCCTCCCAACTGACGAACTCATGTTTTTCAGAGGGGTAGGTCAACCACCAACCAGGATTGATTTTGGATTTAAAAAATGGGTCGAGACCACGACACGGAACGACACGGAGCCATGAGGCCCTGAAAGTCATGGGCAAGTTGAGGATGCGTCCTGGTGGGTGATTGGTGGGTGCATTGTTGGATGGACAAACATGTTGTAAGTTTATGTAAGTTTGGTATTAGTTTGGTGCTATACCGTTATACCATGTTATACCACCATAAATTTGAGAACAAGTATAAGGTAAAAACCGTGCAAACCCTTGGAAATAGCATGTAATTAATAACCCCATAAATCTCCCTATAGTTGTGGCCTCACATAGCTATTTCTTGAGTGGAACTGCAGTGAACTGCACCCCCACGTACTGCACTGCGCCAGGAAGCAAATGGAGACATGAAACTGCAGAAAATAGGTTGTTTTCTATCGGACATGATCTTTGTTTTAGTTCTATGGCTGTTTTCAATTGGTTTTGTCGACATTACCCTTCATGAAGGATTGATGGCACAGGCCACTGAACCAGATTGCCCAGGCATAGGATCCACGTTGGAACATTGCCGGCTACAAGCCTCCCAATATATTTCTCATTGTTCAAGCTGAATGTTGGAGGGTTCTCTTTTAACAGGGGATCCCCAAGTCACCACTGGGCCACTGGGTTTCAATAAGTCATCCATGGCTTGGGAAACCTCCAACGGGCCAGCTGGTCCCTGGAGTCCCTGCGCAAGAAGTTTCCCACCAGTGGTATGGGTTGGGGCTCTGGCTGGTCCGCAAAGGAGCACGTGTGCCGAGTGGTTACGGTAATAAAACGGTGGCAAGCGTTCAACATTGAGGTGAAGCTTCGCGAATGGTTGGCATAGTCAGTATTCATGCCTTGTGTTTCTTAAAATGTGTGTTGTTTCAGATGTCGGATCCCACCAACCTTATTTCTTTGGTTGGGGGATGTCAGGGGGACATGTCAAGGAGATCCACAGTGAACCAAGGCCACTTTTTTTGCGCCTATTTTTGCGCCTAGCTCTTTTTAGCACCTTTTCAAAGAGCTGACGCTGGTTATGAGAACAAGATTCAAGATGCACTCCCAAAATGTCACGTATGTGACTCTCCCAGATCGGAAAGAAACAAAGAAAGACAGAGAGAGAGAGAGAGAGATAGATAGATAGAGGGCAAGCGACTCGTGAAAGGTCGGTGAAAATCATCAAATCCAATGCCCATACTCGCTGCAGGAGCGATTTTTTGCCGCTCTGCCAGCCAAGGTTCCACACTCCTGGGGTGGATTTGAAGGGGGTCCAAGCAAGAAACAGGGGTTGTTTAATTGGATGCGTTCAAACATTTTTATTTTCCCTAATATATGGGATGTCATCTTTCCCATTGACGAACTCCATCATTTTTCAGAGGGGTAAGGCTCAACCACCAACAAGTACCAGTTTGGTAGCAGATTATCTCTATTCTGGAGGAACCCAGAGGGTGTGGCAAAAAAACTCTTGCCTGCGATGGTTAAACCTGCTGTCCAGCCCTCCATGGTCGCCCCACAAAGCCGGCCCCCACTGGGCTTGTGATTTTTAAAACCAACCAAACTGTCGATAGATGGGCGCGTGTGAAAATAGAATATCCATGATTGCCCCAAAATTAATGTGTCCCATTGAAATTCTCATTCTGGCGGCATACCTGATTCTCACGCGCACACACACACACGTCTATCACTATTGTTGATTTTTGAAGCCCGGTTTTTGTTGGCGATATTGTCAGGCAATCCTGATAATATACCTAAAGAGTCAGATGAATTGGTGAGTTACTCTATATCCGATATTGTCCCAATGATACCCTCATCAGATGATTGCAATATGCCATTATATTCACCATAAACCTCGGTTTGCTTACTTGGAAGTGCAGTTCCAGTTAAACAAATTATAAGTGGATATAGGGCCATGGTATGCCAATAGTTATAGGTGTTATATGCCAACTTATAGAGGCTATAACCATGGTTATACCCATTTGTACCTCAACTGCGCCCCCAAGTCGTGATTTTTTCTCAACATCCAGAGCTGTCAACAGAGCCGTCGCTAGGCACACCTAAAGCCACCGAGCAAGCCAGGGGAGCCCAGCAGGTGTTTGCAAACATTATTAGTTTAGATCTATATATTATATTATTATTAGTTTAGATCTATATATGATAATATAATAATATATGATATTTGGCTGGTTTGAGTGTCTGAAAATTCGGGATTTACCCCCAAACCAGCCAAAGTTTAGATTTCACCAGACAAATTTGAGATTTAACCCATTGGTACTGCTACTTGGAAGAGTTCCCATGACTCGTAACTGATAACCCCCACAAATCAAACATGGAAACATGGCCCGGAAAAGCATGTTGACAGGGCTGCAACTGGGAGGATTATTTACCGACACCTCACTCGGATGAGCCTCGAAGTGCCCCATTGTGTCAGATGGGGAAACCATCTATAATGTTCCATTTCAAATTCCAAAGGTCATAAACGTCATATACCAGGTCCTATCAAAACCAGGCTGGTGCTTTCAATTTGTTTGAAAAGTGGGGGAATTCATGAGCCGCTTAGAAGAACCAGGGTTACCTTATTGGAGCCCTACGGTTGAACTCCCAATATACTCGGGGGGTAAACGCCAACATTTTTTGTGGAACAGCTTTCCTCATTGGAACAGCCAATTCTCCCAGACTCCTTGGTGTGAAGGAAAGAGGCGACCCACCAGTTCGTCTATGAGATCGAGCAGGCAGTGCTGATCGCTGTTGGTGCAGCTGGCACCCCAAATAGATGTAGAAAACTGCTGGATCCATTTGCATCCTATGCCTGCAATATCCTGCACTTGTATTTCAAGCAAGGTTCTCAATGTCAGGATATTTCTCAATGTCCTGTTTCCTGCCTGAAATTATGGAAATTATGTTCAGGCCATCGAAACCCAAGCGTCTTCATGGTCTTCTGTTTGCTTACTTCAGCCCCTGTCTTGACCGGGAGCAAGGTGTCAACATGTGTTTCCTTGCGTCTCTAAATTTCAATGGTCAAAGATGCTCCCCACGTTGCAGCACGAATGGTTCAGTGTTCAAAGTCTGGTGACAGAATCCAGCTGGAAGAACTTGCATCATGGGCTGATAATTGCTCGCTCACTTCGGCAATTGTTGACCTCTGGGTGCAACAATGCCCCCTCGCTGGCTAACTGGGATGCTGTTCAACTGCTATTGCCGGCCTTCCTTCTTTCCAGGAGAATGTTCCAGGCAGTTGAACCCTGGGCCACCTACAGTTGATCCATATCGCTCGCGCGTACCCCCTATAAGATGACAGACTGATACACCGAAACGCGGGGAGATGGCTTGACTTTATGTAGAGGTGTTGTAGGATGTGATGTTGTCATGGCCCATGATCCACTGGTTGAATTGACTTTCATGTATTCATATATGGTAGATGTTCATGGTACTTATCTGGTTGGTGGCTTGATTTTTCCCATTCAGTTGGGAATGTCATCATCCCAACTGACGAACTCCATCATTTTTCAGAGGGGTAGGTTGAAACCACCAACCAGTTATATAAATCCAAGAAAAGACATCAACATCCTCAATGTTTGTCGCTTTTCGCTTCCGCCATTTTGCCAGGGCGCAGGATCACGCCGCTGGGCAGCAGATCTTCTAAATGCGAAGGCATCTAATGAGGGCTCAACCGGCTCAATAAAACGATGATATGTCCCATTGAAGTCATGGGAACGTCCTACGGAAGAGTGTTTAGAGTGATTTGTTTCCCTATGATTGCTTTGACGGATAGATTACCATCTGGTTATTTAACATAGCCATGGAAAATCACCATTTTTTCAATAGGTAAACCATCTATAAATGGGCCATTTTCCATGGCTATGTTAGTCATAACCAGGGTAATATGGATAACTTAGAACGATGTCACTGTGACGCAACTGGAATGATGGTGACGCAATTGGGGTAGCGATTCCGAAATAGCCAAACTTACGTCAGGCGAAGTGTTACAATTCAGCGACATACATGGGACTATGGAATATGAAGGAAAGTATTACCATCACTATGTATCGGGTTCAAAGCAGGATATTTGGTAACTGCGTAATGATAGTAATATTAAAATGTTGGAAACTACTAATCTTAGTTTGTAATAAAAACGTAAATAACCATCATGTACAACATAGATGGTAAATTAGGAATTACGGTACAGAATTTCTGCTGATCTGATAGGCTCATTGGAGTACATAACCATCATACCATCAACATTAGGGGAAATGTCTATTGGCTGGTGGTTTGAACTTGTTTTCCCAGCCTAGAAAAAGGGGATGATGACTCCTGAGGACCTACTTACTAGCTGGTTGGTGGTTTGGAACATTTTTTATTTGTCCAGTCAGTTGGGAATGTCATCATCCCAACTGACGAACTCCATCATTTTTCAGAGGGGTAGGTTGAAACCACCAACCAGTACTGGCAATCATGGTTTTATTCATATCCCATGACCAGTAATGGTATGATAAATACTGGTTTTATTCATATCCCATGACCAGTATATATCCAGTCTTGTGAATCCAAGAAAAGGACATCAACATCCTCAATGATCGTATTATTCATATCCCATACCCTCTGGTTATGACTAACATAGCCATGGTATAGATGACCCATAGAAAAAGATGAATTACCTATTAAAAATGGATGGATTTCCATGGCAAACCCTTAGTCATAACCAGATTTTATTATGATAGTGTGGGATAGTTATATATATATCCAGCTATATATCCAGTTATTATGGGATAGTTTTATTCATATCCCATGATATAATACCCGAACCAGGACCTACCCAGGTAATTGATGGTCGAATCCTGAGGATCCAAAAAAACAACGACCTCACGTCACGTCACCAAAAAAAAGGTTGGTTAATGTTGGTTAGTACGGGTAGCAACACGAAAAGGTGAAAAACTTTTCAGCTTGGTGAATTTCTTCTGATTTAGATTCAAATCGTGTTTCAACCCACCTGGTTCGGTGACACTCTCGTTGCCGGTGAAGCCCTTGTAAGCGTGCTTGTTCGTGGGTGAGAACCGTGCAAAATCGTGCAAATATTTCCAATACCACCATTCGTCTCAAACATGTGTAAAATCCCTACTAAACCATGTTTTTTGAGGGTTGCTCAGGGATTAAAAGCCCATAAATCCTCATCAGAAAGCCCTTGGCAGCCATAGCAGAAACCAACAACTTGTGATCAGGAGGCAAAAAAAAATGTATTATATATTCCATTCGTATTCCATGAATGTCATGAAATTTCACGACTATTTCATTGATATATCAGTAACATCCCGGGAATATCATGGAATATCCCAGTGAATTAAACCCCAGTTACTATATATGGATATTGATTTGGATTGTTACTATATATGGTTCAATCCCCATTTTGGTTGGTTAAACATGGAATATCCCACTTGTTGATGGTTTTAATCAACGCCTCCCGCACCGAGGCGGATCCATTGATCGCTTGCGGTGCTGGCGATCAGGCAGTCACTTGGCGGTGAGTTCAGGCAGAAAAATATGGAGATTTTCAGCCATGATTCAGCCATGAAAGATTGGTGGTAGCCATTTATCCATGGTTAATGGTAACATTAAACCATGAAAAATGGAGATTAACCAAGATTTTGATGGTTTTTTTCAATGTTTTTTTCTCATGGTTTTGGTGGTCGTATCCTCTTATGGAAGTGGCATGGCTGCAAATCCAGTTCTTGAAATGAGAAAATGATCTGCGAATGTATATACAAAAAAAGGCGCGTTTTCCAATGCCATACTACATTAGCGTGCACAAAAAATGAGGAACGCCCTAAAATCGCACCAGTTGGTGTGAATCAGTGCAGGAAACCCATGGTGGTAATCAGCATAACCCATGTTCATCCTTTGCAAATTGTAGACAAATATGATTGGGAAATGTCAACCTCCACTGAAGCGGCATCTCCTGTAGCTTCAAGCCGCGCCGGAGCCACGACACGGAGGATCCACCTGAACAGCAGTGTCCGGAACAGTCACCATCCAGTGATTCTTCAGGCAAAAGAAATCCTTGATCTTCGAACTTCATGGCTTGAATGTTTGAATCATTCCAGGCTTGGCTATGAAGGAATTGACATGTTTTGGTGACCAAACAAAATGAACAAGATGAACAAGGAACCCAAGCCATTTCAAACCCGTGCGTTTTCAGGGTGCATCTTTCACTGTTGCGTTGTTATCAAAGATAAAATCACAAGGCCATACCTTCCTGAAGAGCAGGTGTTGCTGAATGATAGCTGAACATGTCTGTTATATGATATTATATTTATATCCATCTTATTCCAACATATTTCCCCATTAATATCCCATTAATATCTCAGCTGAACCGATACGGGCCTTCGCCAACAGAGCGCCATGGGCACCTAAGTGGCCAAAGGCTTAGAACAGAGCGCCGCTGATGCATGGCTGTTCGAGTGTGGTATTCTGGGCAGACCCCAGCCCATTGCCTTGGAGTTGCGAGGCCGGATGAGCGCCATTGATATTTGTGATTCAGATGAGGACAGGAATGTTGTGTTGGCATGATGGTCAATGATGGTCAATGGATTAAGGGAATTATCCTAGAATCACCATGTCGGCTTCGTGAATATTATTGAATTATTAAAATTCACCCAAAATGTTGAGTTTGCTTTGCAGGCTTTCCTGCCAGTGGTGTTTTGACATATTTTAAATATGTATTACCCTCTGGTAAACTAGCCTAGCTATTGAAAATGGCCATTTATAGTGGATCTACCCATTAAAAATGGAGATTTTCCATAGTTACCTTAGTTTAGAGTAACCATATTCAAGCTACCCATAATCCCTGGGTGCTCCCGGGTTTTTCAGCACCGTCGGGACCCATGGCGTTTCTGTTTCCAGGACGAGGCGCTGGCGCGCAAGCGCGAGGCCATCCGTCGCCGCCGTCAAGCCGCGACCGGCTCGGAGCTTCCGAGCAGCGAGGAGGTGTGACCGAGGGTGACCATGGCGGCTGGGAGATGGGGATATAACATGATAGGGATATAGATCTATAGTCAACATAATATTTAATATATATATATATAATATGTTGAACCGGTTTATATAAATAGATTTAAACAGGCATGTTGCAGATATATATATATATATATTTATTTATTTAAATATATATATATATATTTAAATATATATATATATAGCCATTAACCAACATATATTTAACCAGCAAGAGTTATCAACAACAGTTGCTATATATTGTTTAATGACGGGGACATAGATATGTTTATTATTTAACCATCAATACTATGTACTATATCCAGTAATTGACTAGTATTGGTGAATATAGACAAAGTTATGTTTACCCATCAAGAGCTAGCTATTGACTATTATCAACCATGATTACCAGTAAAACTAACATGATAGGTAAATAACATTATAACTGACAATAGGGATATAGAGATATATACAACAAGTAACCACCAGTAGAAAGCATGGATATGATACCTACCATGGGATATGCATATCATATAGCCAACAACCGACAACGAAAGGGAGATGAATCGTAGGAGTGTATATAGGTTTGCTTTGTATGATGATGCGTATGTTTGTTGGACACGCATCTGCACCCCAAGACCTTGGTCAAGATCACCAGGATCGTCGTAATCTACGTGATCCTATACTATTCCACGCCCATATGATCTAACCTCCAATTTCGACTGTCGAACGCAATTTTCAAACGCGCAATCCCATGTGTTTCTTAAAACTTAGTTACTTTTTCTACAAGTCTGCAAGTTGTTTCACCATTTTCGGAAAAGAAATAATCCCAATTTGTGAAGCTTGAATACCCATTATATCCCATTCTCTCACCAGTTCGGTTAGTTTATCCATTCAACTGGCCATTAATCGCCTTGACCTGTTGATGGGCGCTGTGATGCCCAGGTGCCAGCGGCAAAACCCCCTGTGGAGTTGCCCACGGGGCCCTGGGAGTGCCCTGCGTGTGGGGAAAGCAACGGGGAAAAACGACGCTGGGATTTGGAATTCAATGGGCCATGGGAGGTTAACCTGGGTTAGCCAGTCAAGATGATGCTTGAGTTCCATCAACAAGTGGGATAGTTAATGACATTGATGAGATATGGATGGGACATCAATGGGATGTATAACCAACCTCCCAGCTAGCAAACATTAGCAAACCGAACCGATCCTGAAATTTCTAGAGGCAAGTATTATAATTGTCCAACTGGATAAACCACTTTATAGGACTTTTAGGGGCATTGCATGAGAGGGGGCACAGATGATATGACCATTTCAGCTGGTTCCAAGGGTGGTCCTGGGGTGTAAAATTACCAGAAAATGTGGGATAAAGTGCATTCAACCAACTGGGTATAGCCAGCACATTAGTTGGTTTTTGGAAGCGTTTGGATTCAAACCCCTGGATGATCTTGGAAATCGGGATTGGATGACATGCTTCCGGGTGCAGTTCCACTTATTAAGTGGGCATGCATGTAGCTACAGGCTCTGCCGGTTATCTCCTAGCTATTCTGCATGGATTAATCCGTAAACATCCGTAAACTATGCCCATTACAATCCCATCATGATACCACGATTTTTCTTGGTTCAAGTCATCATGTCTGGTGATTCATAGGTATCCCAATTCTCATGGGTCCTAATTCTCATAGGAATTTCCCATGTTTTCTCCACGTTTCCCACCCCGAAATCCACGGTTGCTCGCGCTCCCGCGGCACGAGGCCTGAAGTGCAACAACTGCACCAGAGTACGGCCTGGGGCGGAGGAGATAGTGGGGAGATACCATCATGGAACCATATGATTCTTGGCATTTTTTTCACGACCTCACTGCGACCTCAATCGTGGTTAATACGGGGAATCATCCCAAAATGACCGCAAGTTTCAGGTTAGTGAATTATTATAGTTTGCCCAGATATTGGGAACATGACAGTAAGGAACCATTGGATTACCATCATTAAATTGGCAGACGATTTTGGGAGATATTTTTTGGATTTTTTGGGATATTAATGTGATATGATCAAACGACCAATCGGCAAGGAATGGATTGGTTTTGTAGGGAAGATGTTTAACCACCAAATATAAGGTTGTCTGCCAAATGTTCCCCAAACCGATACCACGAAAGGTTATTTACAGTTTCTTTTCTGTTGTTTTCAACATCCTTATTATGCTGAAAACCAAGGTATAACTTGGTCAACCTTGTTTCTGACGGACTTATTTTGCGACCTGGTTTTTTGAAAGCGTGCGCAAGGGTACCTTTTCAACTGTAGGACTTCAGCACCCCATACCTGTAAAACTGGCTGGTTGTTTCCACCACTAGCGTGAGATTGCGGAAACGCTGCATGTGGCAAATGAGAAACCACAAAAACAAGCATGTTTCCTGAGAAACCACCCACATCAATCCATGTACAAGGTAAGCACCGAGTGTGCCATGGATTGTTCAGGACAGTGTTATATAGCTTGGGATTTGGGGCAGAATGGTTTGCAAGGAGCTGGTTGCTACTCCCACTTCCACTGCGCCTGCAGCCACGGGGGCCGCTTGGCAGACGGAGGTTCAAATACGAGTTACTTTCAACATCTTTCAGCCATGGGCATGGGATTTTCCACAAATGACGAATATCTTTCAGATGGGTTGGCACTAGAAACCACCAATCAGCTCATGTTTTTCCTTTGAACTTCAAGCCGGTGGGCTCAAATCGGTATTATTTGGTCCGCAAAGTTGGAGTGGTGATCCCCAACACTATTCTATCGGATTTTTCAACCACCAATCAGATGAGGCGCCATGCCTTTTTTGGGCACCGCAGATTCACCTGAAATGGCCCCTGATATTGCCATTCTTACAGACCCATTTCTTGGATCAGATACCACGACTCGCGCTTTGATGTGAACGGGATACATGTCTTGACCCTGAAAAGCACGCTGTTTTCTTTCTGGGTCCTTTGGCCTCTACCAGTTGGGCCTGCTCAATTTCACCCCTGGGAGCCGAGGACGCAACAAAGGACGAAAGCAGGTGGGCATATGTTGCTGCAGGTTTTTTTTCACAGTGCGAAGTCCCTTTTTTAGCCAAGGATGTTGTTCATGCAACTTGTAGAACCCGGAACCGAGGGTTGGGTCCAAACTGTCCCAAAGTATTGTTTTTCATTTCATGTTTCCTGTTGTCATGTGTCTTGCTCTTGGGATACGTGTCCCAAAAATCGGCGGTTCTACTCGGCCACAAAGTTTTCCAATTGCAGCGAACTAGGGTGGCGATGGACCGTCTTCAGCTGCTAAAGCAATCATTGGATTTGTTGTGTTTCTTTTCAAGTGATCATGGATCATCAAATATCTACCATCTGGTAATTTAACATAGCTGTGGAATCTTGGTGAAAAAAGGCACGTTTAGTTCAATGATTTACCTATTTAGAATGATGATTTCCATAGCAAACAGTTATAATTTGCCAGAGGGCATCGATTATATCCAATATCAGTTGTATGATTATATGGGTTTGTCTGAAAATAAGGAACCCATAAATCCATTGATCAATTATCATTAAACTAGTACCTATAAAAAGTGCGATTTGTGGGGCATACCTCATTTCAGACACACCCATACCTAGAGATTGTTGGTGTTGTATTGTCCATTGTATTGTGTTCCAGCATGTTCCACACTGTTTCAGTATATCCCATCATCCTCCATCGTATTCCACCACATATTTCTATATATAAACATATATACATATATATATGCATTCATTTATTTATTTATCTATGTATTGATTTATCCATCTATTGAGAGACCCACTGCCTGCTAAACATCTGGAAGAGCAAACCGGTACCAAAACCTATGATGGTGCAGGAAGGGTGGCGGAACAGGGTGGCAGGACATTAAGTAAGGCTACTGATTTGTGGTGCAGGAAGGGTGGCTGAAAGGAGTGGGGAGGTGTATCAAGGCTATTGATTTGTGGTGCAGGACGGGTGGCAGAAAAGAGTAGCACCCGTTCGCATCTCACTTGCCAAAATCATTTATTTATTATTGTTTTGATTTACATTATATGCGCGCGTGTGTTTCAAAAATTTCCCGTATCCTCCCATACATTCCAGTATAATTTCAACATCTTCCAGTAAATTCCATCCATTCCCCATGTACCTATTACAACATCATTCGATGGTCACGTTCGCAGGCGCAAACGCCGGCGAGGTTGGGACGACTGGGAGGAACAAGCGAAGCAGGCGGCGGCCAAAGCCAGCACGCAGAACGCCAGCATTATGCGTCTTGGGCGCCATTCGTGGTGAAGACGCGTTAGACGCGGGCATGGGTCAAAATTTTATAAGATGGCCCGCTGATTTTGTCATTGCTTACCATCAACCATCCAATTTCACGGATACATTTTTTCTGCTCATACCCATGTATGAATACATAAAAGCATGGTTGTTTGGCTGGAAAAAGTGGGCATAGTGCCCACCCTCAATAGGTCAGCAGTGGATGAAACGGTTGACGTTCAACCCAGAACTGCAAAATGTTGTCGTGGAAGATGTTGTTCCCTTCATGCCCTTTTCCCATTATTGGATAGACAGACTGAGCGGATATTCGAAGATGTCATCCAATTTTCTCACATTGCTGTACTGTAAGTATATTATGTTAGTTGCATGATACCCTCATAGTATCCCTATTTGGTGCTTTTCATGTAAGTTTTGACACCACATAACCATCGAACGCCGACGAAACACATCAGCTGAGGAAAGATGTGATTAACAGTGTCTTGGCCTGTTTGCCACAACTGCAGGTACTTGTCGCCAGGGGTTCCCCAAAAATGTGATGTATTTAATTTAGCAACAACTGGTCGGGTGGGCTGCATGTGCTTTAAGGCCGTTGCCTAGGTATGTATCCTGTGAATCCTGTGTGCATGTTGTTTGTTGTGTCGGGAATTGGAGAAGATGTGATGTGAAAGCCTGAGCATACCGTGCAAAAATCCATTGAAGAAGTATTATCTTCAGCTTCAGAGCCCCCTTAGCAGGCTTTATTCAGAACCACGCTTCCAAAACAGGTCCCTACGCCCAACAGTTTTGAGGGTGAGGATCGCTGTCAGAATGAAGACCTTGGCACATACAGTTTCCAACGCAAGAACACAATACCGTTTCGATAACAAGGGAGCCTGGTGAGGCCGTTGCGCTTCCACCTGTGCGAGTTCCAGTGAACCATGACTGGCTGATGGTTTGATAGCTACCATCTGGTTATTTAACGGTTTGCCATGGAAAATCACCATTTTTAATAGGTAAACCATCTATAAATGGGCCATCTATACCATGGCTATGTTAGTCATAACCAGAGGGTAGTTCTTATTTTCCATCCAAACCATGGGATGATGATACCGTTGAATCTTGGTCCGTATCCATTGGTGTGTTTGAACCACAATGACATGATTAATGGGGAAGATAATTCATGAAAAGCCATGACAAATCCATTGGAGTTTGGGATGCCTTTGTTTTCTCAGAGGAACCAATATGAAAGTGCCACGCCTTCGCCTGAGTGAGTTTATCGGTTGGCAGTCCGTTGGAGCTTTGAAGCAAGGGCTGGGTTGCCATGTCAATTAGTGGGTAAAAAAAAACACCATACACCATTTACCCAATCGAACAGTCGAACAACTTGTTTTTTTATAAAAATGAAAGTGTTTTTACGGACCACACCCTAGCTCATCCCCTTAACTGCAGGGGTCGGGTAGCGGCCCGCCCGTCCGCCTAGTGTTGCACCCAGGTATTGAACCCGGGTCTGACGCATGAGGGATGCGTCTTATCCACTGGACCATACTGGCCCTCTTGTTTTTTTTACGAAAAACAATTCCCGCATATTCCAGTGACATTGTTTGTTTTGCTGGGTTGACAGCATGGCCTGGGTTGCCATTACGCCATTCCGGGAACCTTAACAAAGGGATAGCTTCACTTGGTAGACTGACATGGACAGTGATTTCCAAAGAAGCCCTACTCTTCCCATCACTGCCAAACGAGATGTAGTAAGCACCACTGTGTGCTTGGGGGGGTTGTTTTGCACTTTGGATGCCATGGTTTTGGTATGTTTAGGGCTGACATGGGTGAGCCCTCGCTTTCTCACAAGTCGAGCCCAAAAAGGACACTGGAGACAAGGCATGGTGATTTGTTGGGGTAAAACCGAAATAGATTGAGATAAAAGACAGCTTTTGGGCTTAATTATTCTAATTTGTTTCTCCTGGTCAGAAGCTGAAATATGAGGTAGAAAGCCACGCTGTAAGATAAAAGAGGGGTTTTGACCTCTAGCTAACTTTGGGAACATCGAAGCCTTCAAGAACATGTAGCAATGCAATTGCCGGTTGAAGGTCTCAGGGGGGAGCTGATCAGGGGACACATGGCAGCCTGAAGTAAGTAGTGGCTGCCGCGTCCAACACATTAAAGCGTTAAAGATCATTTGACAAGCCACGGAGCGGCAATTCAGCGACGCAATGTTTGACGCCAACCAAAAAACACAGGCGTGGATTGAATCACCTGTCGATATAGCGGATTCAACGGCTGCCTCGTGCTGTCTCCATGCCTGCCTTTCCATGCGGAAATTGTGGGTGGGCAACTCAGGCGAACTGGATATCAGCAAGCAGACATCTTAACGGCAACGGCTAAGAAGCAGAATGCGGCCGCTGGCGGGGAGGAAGGGGAACGAAAGTCTTTATGCCAGCACCGGCTCAGACACTTCATCCTCCGAAGCCTTCTGATCTTGTGGTATCTCTTGTGCGCCGCCTCAGAAAAAACAAAGGTTGGAAACCCACAGTGGATCAGCTCAAGGCCATGACTGTGACCTGGCTGGGGGGTTATGTCGTTGTGTGTTCGGGTGAAAATGATGGGACACACCGATAGATATTTGTCACAGGCGTGTGATCCACCACCCTCGCGGTAGGTTTGACTTAAATTACTCATTATTGTTTATTGGGCAGGATGTTTTCTGGACCTGGACATGTTTTGTGGACCCGGCCATATTTGTTTCCGACCTGGGGGCACGAAAAATGCGTGGGACGTGCATGTGTGTTTTCTGCTCCCTGTGGGGATATTTTTTTTTTGGACCTGCATGTATTTGTGCTGGACCCAGGGATTTTTGTTTCCAGCCCCAAATTATTTGGTTTCTGTTTTTTGGACCCGTGCACCTGCTTTGTGGACCTTGGCTCCATAGGGTGGGGGGGAACTCCATTGTTATATGCGCTCACATTGGGCTTGATGTTTTTGGACCTTGGCGCCTTTTTTTTACCTGCACATGTTTTTTTTGACATGGCACAGGGCGGGGGGAATTTAGATATTGAGCCAAGATGCATGCAAGAAGTTGTTGATGGAGGGGAAGTTCGGATATTGAAACAACATAAATGTAAGAAGAGGTGGAGAGGCCGGCGGGGGGGAAGTCTACGTATGAAGCGACATGGATGTAAGAAATTGAGAGGCACATGTGGGGAAGAGAAAGTTAGATATTGAAACAAGATGAGCGCAACAAGTTGTTGAGAGATGAGGGATGAAGCCTAGACATTAGACTTGCCTGACGAAGCATGCAAGAAGTTGTGGAGAGACGAGGGGGAGAAGCCTGATATAGAAACTAGATGCATGTAAGAAGATGTGGAGAGGCAACGCGGGAACCAGATATCAAACCAAATGAATGCAGGAAGTTGCTGAGGGGCACCGGAGGAAGTTTAGATTGCGAAACAAGATGAATGCAGGAAGTTGTTGAGGGACACCGGGGAGGAAGTTCAGATATTGAAACAAGATGATCGCAAGAAGTTTGTGGAGAGGCTAGGGCCGGGGGGGAGTATATATATATATATATATATATGAGCGCAAAGATATTGAACCCAAATGACGATGTATGCAAGAAGTTGTGGAGAGACGAGGGGGGGAAGCCTAGATATTGAAACCGCATGACCGCAGGAAGTTGCTCAGAGACACAGGTGTGGGAGAGCTTTAGATATTGAAACATGATGCTTGCAAGACATTGTGGGGGAGGCCACGGGGGAACCACATATGAAACCAAATGAATGCAGGAAGTTGTTGAGGGTAGAGATTATAGATATTGAAACCCAATGAATGCAGGAAGTTTAGGAAGTTTGATTAGAGGCACAAGGGGGGGAAGTTTAGATATTGAAACCAGATGAATACCCCAAGCGAGGCACTTTCACCCAAGCTGACACCAAGTTGAGCCCCTGCATAACTGAGAATTCCCGGAAGAGGTGTGACAAGTAGAAATTGAGAAGAAGGCAGAATGTGAAGGAGGCACTGAGGCACTGAGGCACTGAAACCACACAATGTACTGAAATGCTTCCTGCCATGTTGCATTGCATGGTAGCGCAGCTCTAGCCCCCTCCTGTCTGAAGAATTGCGATCAAGACGCGGCTGGAGAATCTATCCACAGGGGGTATGGTGTGGGGAAGGGCCAGGTCCAGCAGGAGGGCGCACAGGTCCAGCAAAGAATTATAGTAAGGTCCATGAAAAGTGTCCAGGCCCAAAAGAAATGGAACGAGGTCGAGTTGAATTCAATTTAGGGTGACTTGCCTGGCTCTTGGCGAAGCCATGGCCATTGCCGCCGCCGTAAGGTTGCTGAGCTAGGCCCCGTGTGCAAGAGTTGGAAGATCTCCATTGAGCCAAAGGAGAAAAACCATACAGTCCACCGGTGGTGCCCCTACGTATACGGATTTTCGGGTGATAATTTCATCTACGCTTAAACAAGTGGATAGGCTGTAAGACCCAGTTTCGATTGGGAATTGGGCGCGGGAGAACCAAGAGCTGGGAAACCATTTGTGATCAAACGATTGGAAACTGGTGAAGAAAATCATGCAATGAGAACCCAACTAGGATTCCACATCCCGAATATTAACCTAGGATTTGTTTGAAAACGTGCGCCGAAAAATTCCGCGGTTGATCATTATCATTTTCTCCATTAGAATTACCTATGTTGAGGTACCTCTCACTACCCAAAATCCCATTATTCATTGGTGCGATCTTTGTTGGGCGTTTATGTAGTATTGATCATGGTTGGTTCAATCCCTATGTTTTGGCACGATCTTGCCGCATTTTGGGTGGTTAACCCTGCGATTACTGGTGAATTTGGCCCATATCAGCAGCGCTTCTAGGAGTACATGCGCGATGTGATGCTGAGCAAAGCGCTCAAGGCATGGGAATGGGGAGGGTATGGCCCGCGCCCCCAGGAACCACCAAATACTTGGGGATGCAGCTGGAGGTTTCATTTTTGATGGTTTAACCATGGTAAGTTCACCGTAAGTTGGGATATAGCCCTTTTAATTTTGGTTTTATATGGTTATATCTATTCAGAATTGGAAATGCGCCCCAAGTAGCATCTGCACATTCTTGGATCGGTTTTTTTCGGGTGATTTTGTTGGAAAATTGTCATCTGTTTTTGAAATTAAGTCGTGTGGGGGTCACAGTAGGGTCCCCTAATTTTTTTCCGTTCGAGCTGGCAACTTATCCACAGCAGGAGTAATATGCGCGTTTGGGTTTGTGCACTAGGGTTGTGACTCTCATCCCAGGCTCGCAACAGTTGCAAGGAACAAACCAGTATATGGGGGTGTCCTAAAATGGTGGTACCCCTAAATCATCCTAAATCATCCAAACTTAGAGTTTTTTAGAAAATGGGGATCCCCCCATGGCTTAAGAACCCCCAATGTGAAACATTCCACGTCGCAGCTGCCACCAGGTGATACATGGAGTTGACCCATGAGGTCGCGCTGGCAGATTGTGGACGAAGCACTGCAGTTCGGAAGTGCACACATGTTTATTGTTGATTGGTATTTGCTATATGGTTACACAAATTGATGTTTGGGACATTCAGAATTGTGTATTCCCTGTTTTTCTTGGACATGCTCATGGGATTTGATGTGTGTAACTTGTATAACTGGTACGGGCCCATCGTTGCAGCAACCAGACACGGCGCCTCCAACAGGTCATTCAGAAGGATGGTTCGCTACCGTACTACCGTCGGAAGAAAAATGGAAGTCAACGTTCGCCGCGCCGAATGTTCGCTGTGAGGATTGCTGGGATTATCAATTTCATATAATTTCATTTATAATGAGGCTATGTGGGGTAATCTTAGAGCCGATTTCCACGTCTGCTAGCGTCACCCCAATGATTACTGCAACAGGAAGGGTCCCTGAGATGTACAGTGGATATATAGCAATATAGCAATATAGCCATGAGTCCAAACCTGGCACTCTTGCCCCGAGGTGCTTTCGTCCTGTTCACAGCTGCAACGTCGATTGGTTAATTACAGGCCTTTTAAGATTTTTAAGCCCATTCCATTGTTTATTCCGTCATGTTTGTTGTTTATCAGCACATTCCTTGCGGACGTGTCCTCAATTTCTGTCTGGTGTTTGGTGCCCTGAAACCACTCATCTACCCCATATTTATCGGTGACATGCCCCGTTTCTCCTGGGGACCCGAGCCATGCAGCTTCACCACCGAGGCCTGCAGTATTGGGACAGCCAAGCAGCCTTTGAGAAGAAGGAGCCCCCAAAGGCGGGGAAAGACACATTAGACTTTAAAGAGAGGCGGTGTTTCACCAATTAACTCTTGAAAATCAGCATACAACAGCAAAACGCTGTGTTTTTTTTGTCCTTACGTGGTGTCATAAACTCATTACTGAATGGCTCGATGGTGGTCGAACGATTAGTTTCATGATGGCCGAAAAAAGATGCAGCACACCAACTGAATCCATGATCACGGTTTCCACCTGCCTTGTCTCAACACAGTCGAATGGTTTGAACCCAACTTCAGTACCAAATCACAATAAGGGCTTGTCTGAAACAGGCCATGATATAGTTGGAAAAATTATAAGGAGGCTGTCATTTTTGCAGAAGTTGTTGATGTTTTTGGTCATACATGATTGGATGCAGATTAGGATAGTTGAAAAACATGTCTACAGTTAGTAAAGCAATGCCATAAACTATCCATATAAATTGATGGTTTCAATCCCAATTGAGGATGGTGGACCCTTTTTTTTGAACTAACATTATTATCATTTTCCCATGACATTGCCATGAAGCAGGTGTGTAAACCCACCCTACTTTAGAGAGAGCCATTGCTGGCACCTCCAGGGGAGCATCCCATTGCTTGGCATCACTCGGGTCTTCATCGAGCCTCGGCATGCTGTCGACTTTGGGATGCGACTTTTGGATACCTTTGGAGGCTTATACCATCTGGCGAAATTATAACAACTTCACTGTGACCTCACTGGAATTACGGTGAGTGCAAGGGGTGGCCTCATTTCGGTTTGTGAATCCTTATCGTTTGCACGGATACTATCTATTTCTGGTGAAATTGGGGATGTTTTATTGTTGTGTTTGCTACATTACATGCATGTTTCCGGTAGATGCAGACCAAAAGAATAAAACCAATAAAGCTTACAGATATATGATCATCCCGGAGTAGATGACTTCCTCCAAATTCACTTGTTTGAGACGTTTTGCAAGACATGGGGATGCTCCCGATTGAGTGGCTGGAGAATTCGCTTGCAAAACAGTATATCTTGCGCTGGTCAAGCGCAAAGTGGTAAACCATGATAAACCCTCCGTGAGCAAGCGGGATCCATGGAGCTACCTTATAAGTTGATTTTAATGTATGGTAATCCAGGGTGTTTTGATCCGAATCCAAGGATGAGCAGAACAAGAACGAAGTCGTGGCCACGCACTCAGAGGGCCAATTCGGATGATGGCTTGGGGGTGAAGCTATCATTGATTGAAGTAACTGTTGTTCACATGACAGGACTGAAGGATGTTTTTCTTGGTGACTGTTGGGTTCTTGACTTGAACTGTTACGGTAAATTTTCCAGAATTGGGTTTGATGGTGGATTTTTTCTTGACGAACATGGTTTCTTGTAGATGCTCCCTTCGACCAACCCATTTGGAAACAGGAGGCATGAAGGTATAAATTTTAAATTGGTGACGAGTGGTTGTTGAGTTCTCCTCATTTCTGGTCGTTCTATTGTTATGATCATTTTTCAATTTAAACATGGAATTAAACATCATTAAACCACATTAAACCCAACATCATCCCGGCCCAAGTTGTGTTGATTTATCTTCCTTTCCCATCAAATTTCCCCATCAAAGCGAAACTTCGACATGGCTCCCGTCCGCCAGGTGAAATACGCGAACGGCGCCGCCTCTGAGCCGGTGGGCGGGGGATGGATGGATAGATAGGTAGACAGGCACGTAGGTAATTACATATAGATGTTTTAGATACATGGGTTAAGTCACAGTTGCCGGCTCGGTCGAAAACTCCACTGGGATTGGATGAATCATCGTTTTTGGGACTTGTCCAATGTGCATTGAGTATTCACTCCACTTTTTTTCAGGCATTTGGTTTCCAAGACGCTTGCCACTTGAATAATGAACCCCACCCCTTCCAGCGAACTCAGAAGTGAAAGGGGTGGTGGATTCTTCCATTCTGTCCTCAGCACCCAGACTGAACCAGTAGGTCTTGCTACGACTTCACTTTCCGAGCCATATGACTGCGGAGCAGTGGCGCAAGGACAGCGGGGCCATAGGCCAAAAAGGCTCCAAAGTATTCCAAGGTGGGTTTACAACTGGGTCCATATTCAGGAGAATCTTCGATGTTCCAGGAATGCCTAAGCTTGAAATGATTCGTCACATAATACACGCATTGAAATCTTAATTTTGCAGTTGAACATGCACCCATACAAACCCCAATTGCCGTAATCAGCCAGAAAGCAAGGGGCAATGGATCATGTTTTGTTCAACTACTGTAGCACATTTCACTTCATGTATATACCGTATACGTGGGCATCGATATGCACATACAAAGCCTTCATGGGCAGGGTTCATCATGCCGGGCCGTTTCTTCCAGCACTTGCGGCCATTCCAGGAGCTACGTGAAATCCGTGCCACGCTATGAGGGCGTAGACGGCGATGCTCCATGTAGAAATGGATCGTTTCCACCTTACCTGCAGTGAGCGCAAAGAGACTCCTAGAAAAGCTGGGTATAGCTGAGTGGCTGCGGTGGTAGATCCTGGTAGATGGTTTCTGAAGTGGGGGTTCTTTCTTAGCGTTCTTTGGTATGCTCAGGGTTTCTTGGCACAGTTCCCCAGCCACTGCTGAGATGTGGGCTGATCAACCGCACTCCATCAGACCAAATAATGGTTTCAATCTTACTTACTGTCCGTTCTTGTGAAAAATGGCCATCTCCAATTTGAATCAATTTATATACCACCAAAGTTCTCAAGCGTTTTCTTTCCCATTATTCTTTGCTAGGTTTCTTGTCCTTCGCCACCGGGCATTCCAACTTACAGGGAACCGGGCGCACATGCACAGCAGCCTACAAGACATATGCAAACACCCACGGAAGCTGCAAACAGATTGTCTTCAGAGATGCGACCCATCAAAACTGCCACGATATGCCCAAATCTGATCAAGCAAAAGTTCAAAGGTCATGTCGCCAACAAAACCCCCTAATGAATTACAACAGAGTTGCGGTATCTCATGATGTCACCCAATGAACCCAGCTTAACCAATACTTTCATCACATATCCAGAGCTCTTCTATCACCTGCCGTGCATCTTTGTGCCTCTTTGTGACCATAAAATGAGCAGCATTTATCAGGCGCGAGACGTCAACATCTCCCAGTGACAGGGGGCCGATTCCAGTGCAGCATGCTCCTCAGGTTTCTAGTGAGCTCGATTGGGTTCCATCGAATCTCCTACGCAGCTATTTTTTGGAAACCCTCTGAGTTTCTTGCTGTTTGCCTGGTCAGGGATCTCAACTTGACGTAAGACGCCAACATGGAAGACGACTACTTGAGAGGTTGACCAACTCAATCCAACAAACCTTCCGAGGCAATTTCAAGTTGTATGTCCTTTACATGTCATCTGCCAACATCATCCTGTCTCGTGGCTGGTGGTTCTGGATTGGTGTGATCTGACATATGATGAACCACAATTGACTGGCGAATAGTTTGGAGCAGTTGAAAATGATCTATCAGTTCATGAAAAGGCTGAAGTTGAAGGTTCAGGATTTTCTCCGCAGCACCAATAGGTGGCCGTGGCCAGGGTAAGGTGTCATCGTTTTCCATAGCCTTTGCAAACATCGCGATGGAATAAACGTGGAAAATCCACATGTACAACTGGGGAACATCCCATTTCAGCCACCCCCCCAGATCTCTGGGATTTCCCATTGCCCTCGTTGCCAGCAGGCCGTAGCCGCTGACTTGCGCGGTGGCCGGCCCAGTCGCGGCAATCCCATCGTGCAGACGCTTGCCTCGAAGGGCAAAGTTGGGGCAAAGTCGTCATTGCACGACAGTACCCATTTAGGATGATTAATATCAATCAATGGGCATGATATAAGAATGATTACCTTCCAGTGAATTAACATAGACCCTGCCAGATAGGGGTTGGAAGATTGGTTTCCACTAAAAATAGATTGTTTTTAGGGTCTACGTTAATTTACCAGAGGGCAATATCATCAATATCTATTTAGAATGGTTAGTATCCATTGATAATGCCAATATAGTACTGTAATGTTTAATGACAGTTACTACTAGTGGTCAATAGTTGGAGAATTGACAATCCCATCGTATGATCCAAAATGTGTATAATTCCCCTACTAGACCATAGTCTCTAGGGGTGTTCAGATTAGGTGGAAAGGAATACTTAAGATGAATAGACGCTACTAAAGATTTAAGTCCTAGTTCTAGGGTTGAACATGGGACATGGAGCCAGATAAATGATGGGAACTGTGACGGGGATTCTTCCAAGACTGCCAAAACTGTTGCTTCTGTCAGGTTTGATCTGGTTTATTTGGATTATGGTCATTATCATAAATGATGGAAAGCAAACGGTGTTCTTCCGGAGTGTGGCAATTTACTCAAGTAAGTTGTTCCTTAAGGGCTACTAGTCTTGATACTTTTCTTGTTGTGATTTTTGCGCATCATGGATTCGGACTGATTGTTGATAGCATGTTCGAATCTACGACTCCTGGGCTCACAAATGATTAAATTGTTGATAGTCATGAGAATTCATCATCGCGATTTGGCTCAACAAATCGGGGGGTTAGATTTTCAGATCTGAAGCAAAGTGGGGAACACCATCCGCACAAGTAAGATAAATGTCCGAAAGATTCGTTCACTTCATGGGATCAATGGTTTCCCCGGTGAATTCACACTATTCGTTGGATCACGCAAGATATGTATGTATGCATGTGTGTATACGTGTGTGTGTGTGTGCGTACATACATATAAGTCACCTAATCCCAGCACCCTAGATATGAAACACCAACCTTCCCAAACATGTGGTTTCATCCCCTCCTAAACCATGATTGATACTCGGGGCAAGCGATTACTTAACGGGACAATGAAAAATCACTCAGCATCCGGCTCTCCTGGACTTGCTTTGTAAGCATGCTGAGTTCATTTATACATGAATTATTTTATTCATGTATAGGATGTGATATCCCTTAGGGTAGTGGATGGTAGTGGTAGTTTAATGTGATTTATATATGGGATATATTTCTTCAAGTAGTGATGAAATGATCACCACCAACCACTATAACAGTGGGCATATCACCGTTTCCGGTGACGTACCCCTCAAAAATCCCCTATTTTTTGTCACTAAAATATGCCCATTGTTGTGGTGAAATCATGTGAAATCCCTATATAAATAAAATGCGCATCCAAGCGTTGAGCACACAATTTTAGCATACTTTCTAATATATTATAATATTTCAGTGGACAAACCTTCGTTTACATCCATTTGAGTTTTCAGATTCCACTGGGTTTCATCTTCCCGGCCTTTCCAAGAAATGATCGCAGCTTTCGAGACGATGGCAACATCAATGCGGACATCGAGAAGCATCTTGGTCGTGGGAGTTCACCGTACGAAAGTTGGCCATGGTGATTTCATAGCCATTCCATCACCATTTTTCTGGGATGGAAACATGATCCAGAAATGGTAGATTTATGGCAGAGGTTGCCCACATGAATCAGTTGATCAAAAACAGATAACTTAGGGAAGAGAGCGACACAAGCAGAAACGATGATTTGAGCAGCAAAATTGACCAATAGCTGTAAGTACACAACCCAGATATCAGTGTTTTTTACGGTTGAGAATTTAGAATAGCGAAAAAAAAAGATAAGCGGTGTGTTACGCAAAGAGGTTCCAGTTTATGTTATATAGATTGTCAGGCAGTCGTCCCAGCGCATTTTGAGGATTGCTGTGTGGCAACCCAACCCAATGTAGAGCGGTTTGGAGTTGAAGTTTTTGCTTGCCCGAGGGTGTCCACACCCTGGGTGGATTTGAATGGCATGAAAATTTCCTGACCACAAGTGATGGTTGGCAAGGTGGAAATTCATTTAAAGTTTTGAATACGTTTAGTTGCCCATCCCTATTTGAGACCACCTTCTGCCTATCCAGTCGCTTTCCCACAGGGAAGCACCTTCATTACCTTCTCTCTTAATCATTCGTTTATATTTTTACATATACATGCATATACGAATATACGCATACACGAATGTATGCATACAGATAATGATATGTGGGTAGTATACATTTTTGCGTATAAGAATTACTTATATATATATTATATTATTATGTTCTTTATCTACACAACAACCCCAACATATATGACTATATATATATAAATAAAAACTCATATGTATACCCTCTGGTAATCAAACACGGCCTTGGAAAATCTCACCATTTGTTGCAGGCAACGGCAAACGGAAGCCCTGATTCGGAAGCAGGCGCGGATGCAGGAAGGAGGACGTGGAGGCGCAGCCCTGGTGGACTGGGGGTATTGGAAGATTATAGCCATTTAATATGGCATATGCTAATGGGAATATGAATTTGATAATTAAGTATATAACATAATAAAACTCACTATTTTTTTATGAAATCGATATGTAACATTATTATACATTATTAATCAACAACATCCAGCAACATTTACCTGTTTGGATTTTGTTGTTTGAAAATTTGGTGCCTGCTTAGGTTAAATGCAAAAATTACGTTGCAACCACATTTTTTTGAAAGGCCTGACCATAGTCAGCATTTGAATTTCTACTCAGTTTCATTGACAGAGCCATAGAATTTCTTGCAATGAACACGTCACTCAAGGGATAAGCCAGTCTATCACAGATCTATTTGGCTGAAATATCACGATGAAAGTTAGATAAAAATCTGTGAATAGTGATGGCATTGCGTCAGAATCATATGTTATATTATGTTATTCTACATCCCACCGAAGCCCGAAACCGTTTTAATCCAGATATATCCAACATCTTGGGACGCTGTGTGAAAACCTCGGTAACGGCAACTCATGGTTGATGCTCAAGTGTGGTGATCCAACCACCTCTTTATCAGGGCCGTTGACTTGAAGTCATTCAACGCGTTCGGTGCCATGGCAACCTCAGCGGATCACTTCGCCCACCCCTTCGCTGTCCTCGCCGGCGAGTCAGTGAAAGATCTTGTACCCACCAACGGTAAGGTGAACTGATGGGAAAAATGGTGTCTGGTGGCACAAACTGAGCTTAGTATGGTTTAAAGATGGGCAAGGTTGAAATGGTCATGTGAAATTTCAAGAGATGCTTGCCTTCATACCCTCAGAATGACATAGCTATGGAAAATGGCGCATTTAGTTTGAGTTTCCCATCTTTCAAAACCTCCATTTATATCCAGAAGATTTCCCACCAAGCCATGTTTGATTACCAAAGAGTCTCCGAATTCAAAAGGGGTTTTGGAATGTTTCACATATTTGAAGTGCATGTGTTTTCATTTGAAGCATCCATTGAGTTCAATTTGTCCATAGTTGTCTTAAAGATGACCGGCTGTTTCTGTTCTCATTTCAGATCTCTAGGCTCGGTGGCACCTGTGGAACCGGAATCGTTCGAATCGTTCCGAGATCCGAGGCATTTCGGAAATGGACCCAGCAGAATGAGCAGGATGCATTGGACGAATTTCTGGAAGCGCCTCGGCCTGACTCTGGGCGTGGCAGTAGCCTTTTTTTTTATTGGGATGCCGAAGTTTGATACATCATATTAAATACATGGTTCTGCTATTTTTTTCGTCACTGAAGTGTTGATTTGACTTCTTGGGTGTCTCGATTTGCTCAGCAGCAACTGAAGGCTACTGACCCCAGCACTGTCCCCAAGCCAAAAAACCTGTTCTAGAGAACCAGGGCAGGTGAATCCGATGGATTTGTCACCCCCGGGTTTTGTTCAAAGCCCGGATTTGATCAGTGGGTTATCAAAATGAGGTACCATGAATTGACTAAAATCGAGTTTCTTTTCAGACATGTTCAAACCAAGGTTTAGTTTCATCCGGGGTTGACATGATATTTACCCAACTTGGACACCCTTGGTGTGGCAATTTCTTGCGTGATATTCATGGCGATCTTCTTGCAAAAACGCTAAGTTCAGCCATAGAAGGGGCCCCACCACCTTCTTTGAAACACCATAAGTTGGCTTTATCCCACCATTTTTGGACAAACCCATATGGCCCATATCCATTTTTTGGGGCTGAAGCTGCTTATAATTAAAAATCATGTTAGTTACTGCCCCATGTGCTGGTTAAATCCCAATCTTGCACCGGCAGATTGCAGCATGTTACCCAATTTTCCTACATGCAGCCTGGCATTTTGTAACTTTCCTTCGGACACACCCCAGTCATCACAGCCACACGGGATATGCCAGGAGCATAAGCGCCTTGGAACGGAAGAAAGTTATGGGGCTCGGCCGTTGACTTTTTGGACGTTGGTTCGTTGATGTTCGTTGATAAATAATTATGGGCCATCAGCAACACTCCGGTAAACTAGCAGCTTGCTATTGAAGATGGCCATTTACAGTTGATTTACCCCTAAAAAATGGTGATGTTCTATAGTTATGTTATGTTAGTTTACAAAAGGGTAGTGGTAGTGGCACGGGTAAGATGTGAGGAGTTCCCGCAGATCGGCAGTCTTCATGTTTGTTCATAGTTGTCATTGTGGGAGTGGGTGTGTGTGTGTGTGTGATGTGCCCTCTGTTAATTTAACATAATTTAACAATATTTCGCATAGCCGTGGAAAATCACCATTTTTAATAGGTACATCCTGTATACATATGTGTAAATGTATATTATATAGATGGGTCATTTTCCATGGCCAACTGTTAATTTGCCTGTTGGTATGTAGGTGCTGAAGAATTTTCTCCACATGCTGGTGATCTCCCTGAGGTTCAAGCGCGGCATTTGTGCCCCTCGATCAAAGCGCAGTGGGTGGATTCCCTTCATGCACAAGGTCGTGTCGTTGACGGATGGGTCATCTTGGATCTTGACTTCATGTTGGGACATCAACAAAGGAATATATGGCCCCACCACATGTTTTTTTTTGTGGTGTATCTAAAGTTTACCAGTTTTGTCCCTGTTTCCTGTAAGGGCCAAACCTGATCTTGATACTGGCCACATGTGTGCCATAACCAGTGGTCGCAATGGCCCCACAAGTTGGATGTTCCCTGGTGATGTCCAGCTATGATTGCTAACCACTCACTAGCCCGGGGATGATCCTCCAAGATGCCTGGGAACTTTCAAAGAGACTTTGTGCAGGAGAAGATCTACCCCATCCACGTTGCCGCCAAGTTGGGGAAATGTGACATCCTTCGTATTTGGGGCGGCAATTGCTGCAGTGACTTCAGGAATATTGTTCACCAGTAAAGCATACGGGTGTAATGGGCTGGTCTTGAAGGAAAATCTACAGGAAACCCTTGGTTGTCCCACTTAAAAGTTGGATTTTCTATAGATTTTCCCTTCATCCAAGTCAGGGAAGTGGAGCGCATTTGACATGGCACGAATACCTAGCCAGTTGCTGTGCCTTTTCGGGAGCTAGTTTTGGGTCAGAATCACCCCAGGTCTCATGTTTTCTGAGCCGGTTTTTGATTTTGAAGGGTCCCCTGAAGCCCAAGCATTGAAGATTTCAAAATTTCCAAATTTCACCCGCAGCCATTTCCCTCAAGTTGTCAGAATGGCTGTCCTTCGAAACTTTTGAAGATTAGAATTGGAGAGGCAGATGGCTCAGATGACTAAAATCACGGCCTTTTAGGTTCAACGCTTAGGTAAAATGTGGCATTTTCAGAATGCCGCAATGTGCCAGAGCACAATTTTTGGAGGACTGATGCCTAGAGCATCCACGACCCGAGGTATCCTTTTACGAGCCCAAGTCGATTCAAATCAGAAGACCTCGGATGGTACCCCGGACACGGCTGAGTCAACGATGGATTGTCTAGTGCTCTAATCTTTTGCATTTAAGGGGGGCATGTCAGCCTAGCAAACAAAATATGCTGAGTATCTAAGATTGGCCATCAACATGGCATTGAAATCAAGATGTTCATGGGGGAAAAACGGGAAGCCGTATTGTTCTTTACTTGTATGGTTAAAACAGTTTTCAAAGTGCAACAAAGATACCATATCCCATTCCATGCTCTTGTGATCTTCTTTTTGGACTTTATGATTGTTTTATCAGATCATCTGTGGATAGAGTCCAACCACCGCGGTTTGTACCAGCCTGCATCTCCCACCATGCATGTCATAGTTCATGTCAACCCGGCATTCAGAAACTCTGCTGGTTGATTGGGAAGGCTACCCCAATAACAGTGCAAGAATATTATGTTAGATTTGGTAACCACCCTATTAGCAAACTAGGGTATACATTGAGTCCCTATTATCCTCTTTTTATCCTCAACATATCGCCAGGTTCCATATCATAGATTCATAGTAAGCCCCAAGCAGAGGGAGAAAAGGTTCAATTTACCTTTGGCCATTATATATTTGAATCAGGTTTTGCGTTTCTATATGTTTCTTTTTTGGGGGTTCGACATTGATTGGCTATGGCTGTTATATCCCGTCATTAGTTTTCACAGCTCATAGCCCATATTATCTCCCCGTATTATCCATCATATCCATATCCTATCATATTCCTATCAAATGTATTTTACCAGTATTCTACTATTGAAGTGAAAAACTACTTGTGTTCTGTTATTTTGTTGGAGGATCATCCCACGAATCGTAAGTGGTTAATAATCCTGGTGAACGCAAGTCTCCAAGTGGGTTATCCCCAGGTATACTAGCCTCTGGTAAACTAACAACGACCATGAAAATCATCATTTTTTTAGTGGAAACTAGTCTTCCAACCCTTATCTGGCAGGGTCTATGTCAATTTACTGGCGGGTAGTCATTGTTAATGTCCATTGATGTTAGTGAATATTGACAGTTATTATATAATAGATATTGATGGATGTTACCCGTTATTAACGAGTATCAACCATAGCTGTAACCCCAGTTGCTAACCGCCACCATGGGTTATGGCCATTGGTTCACTGCAACTGTTGTGCTCCTGGAGAAGTTGCAGGTCGTTCCGCCCTGGACATGGCGCGTGAAGCAGACGTAAATGGATCTCACCGTGCAGCCGGCGGGTTGGGCTTTGCCCAGAAAAAAATGGTGGATTTTACCATAGATAAATAGTTTTAAACCGTCAAGAAATGATGATTTATATAATGGGATTCAATGGGACAATAGTGATTAATACTGATAAATAGTGGGAAACCATGGATATTCGACGTAGCTTTGGAAAATGACCAATTGATAGATGATAAACTGATAAACATTATGATTTGCAAAACTTAAAATTGTGGTTTCCGTAAATAACCAGAGGGTAACCAGAAAAAATGGGCCGTGAACCGTGCCAGGTAAGGAGCTCACGAATGAAGAATAGATTGTTGGTCCAGACATGGGAACAGTTGAGATATCCATATAGTTTCTTAGTTATTAGGACTATATGTGTTTTTCTGATGGGTGATATATGGTGATATAAAGTTATTTCAATATGTGTTTCTGTCCAAAACCGGGGGTCACACCCAACATTGAAACCGTTTGCATGTTGGGGCATCCGATTTTGTGGAGACACGCATGCTGATGTGTCAAAGGTGTTATATACTGTTGCTGGCTTTTTCCATGCCAGTTGGGATAGGGACCAGGCGTTAACCCATGGCAGGGCTGATGGTTTCGGCACCAGGTTTGGAAGGAAAGACGTTCCAATTTTTTGAAAGTCGTAGTTGATCTAATGGGATTCCAAGTCGGGTTGTGCCGTTTGATTTTGAGGAGTTTGCAGGGTGCCAAGAATGTGCAAGAATTAGTTTGGCCAGGTTTAGTCAAGTTTCCGTTTGCATTGTATACCCTCTGGAAAATCGTTTTTTTGCGGAAAAACATGTCTAAAATGGAGAGAAGTCCACCAGCCTGGACTGATTGAGGGAGCCCTGCCTTTCCAGTTACCATTGGATATGTTGATGGGCTCTAAAAACCCACAGCTGGCATTAGCTGCACCTTGATGTACCGGGTTTTAGCTCCCACTACCTTCATTTCCAAATGGCTGGCCCCCCAGCCAGGCAACGTGATCGCGCTGCTGCAGCAGCCTGTGATGTTCCTCGGGGTACGTGAGTTGATGGCCATGAAATGATCACAAGCTGCGTCAGCCAGGCACAGCCTGGCGCTTGGGATTTCCAGGTCATTTGGTGGGAAATTAGTGGTGTTTGATGTCGTGCACAGGAGATCGTAACATATAAATTGTAACACATTAACCAGATTGAACCAGGCATATTTTTGAAACCTATCCAGGCATGAAATCTATGATCCTATACCTTTTTGATGAGAAAACCGATTCTCCAGGTGGCTAGGGAGGGCATCATGCCAACAGGCTTCCCCACGGTGGTCAATCAGCATTTTTTCAACCCTGCTCCAGGGCGCGTGCCTCGGGGGAACATCATCCCAAGAAGGGAAGACAAAAACATCACCGCAAAATGAGGATGGCCACTACCCTTTGGTACATTATTTGACATAGCTATCGGATTTTTCCCATTAAACCTCTTCTATAGTTGTGAACACACCCGTCAATGAATTCTCATTTACGTATTAAAGATGTTGATTTTCCATCTCACACGGTTACCAGAGCGGATCCAAAAACAGCGAATCGAGCCCTTAGCCGATGCTAAGGCACGGTGACCTGGTGGCGGGAGTTGTCACCTCCAGGGCCGTGACGATGCAGCGATGATCGAACATGATCGAACCTTATCTGGTTGGTGGTTTCGAACATGAATGGATTATTTTTCCATGGGAATAATGATCCCAACTGACGAACTCATATGTTTCAGAGGGGTAGGTAAACCACCAACCAGTTTTTTCCTCGCCTTGGAGTTGGATGGAGTCCGCTGCCAGGGCACGGTCAGCCGGACCTTTCGGTGAGCCGATTTTCCCGGGAAATCCAGGAAGATACTTGGGAAAAGTGTTCAGAAAAGTCGGATTACCTGGCTCATAGTACCACAAAAAGTGTTCAGAAAAGTGAACTCAAGATTTTTTGCGGTATTATTAGCCGGGCGGCTTTTGATATTATCACCCAGCATTGGGCTACTCAAGGGCAGAAACGTGTGGAAACGGGCAGGAAGCGTTGGAAACCTGGAAGTTTTTTTACGTATTCTCGATTGATTCGGGTTTTACAAAGACAAAGAACGTGTTGAAAAGTGATTCTGTAATAGGTATTTCATAATATATACGATATATAAAAATCAATATGGGTGATTCTTGATGACATTTCAAGTGGGTTCTTCTGTGTGCAGCACGGATCAAATGTGACGATGAAGTCCGTGGATTACCCGGTCCGTTTTGCCCTTGGTCGCCCAATCCACCCGATAATGCAGGTGACCACCGGCCCGGAAACGTTGTAACTGCCGGGTGGATTGGACTTTGCTAGTCGTAGGCCATGCTCTTATCATTCTTTGTGAAATCACAAAAGTTTACGAATGGATACAAGAATATGTATATAATGTAATGATATATATTTTTTATATTTATATTTATTCAATTTCTGGGGTACAGGTACGCGCACACATGCAGGTATCTATCTCTCTATCTAACCTAAACTTATCCAATCCAATCTAATCTATATGGTCTAATCTAATCTCATCGAATCTAGTCTGTCTATCCATCTATCCATCTATCTTTCTTTCTATCTGTGTGTGTGTGATATGCTATGTCCCCCAAAGTTCCAAAGCGATGGAAAAGGTTGAGTTTACTTCGCTTCTGCGGAGTTTGCCGCCCTGATCGGAGCTGAATCCAACCGCCCAATAGATTATTCAGCCACCAGTGTTTTCCAGTCTGCCCGTGCCAGCAGGATGCTTTTGTTGAAAGTAAATGCCCAAGAAATGCCTTAAGAATGAAGGTTTTTATCATCAAAAAATACCTTTAGCCATCAAAAACTTGGATCTAAGCACTACAAGTGGCGATTTCACCAGCAAGTGATGGATGGTTTGCCAAAAAAATGTCTACAGTCCCTCAATGGAAATTGACTTCGAAAAATGATGATAAACAATCAAATTTGATGCTCCATTATTTTCAGAGAACTCCATACACAATGATCAGCATATATTAGCATTGTTTTGAGAGAAACAATCACAAGATGAAACCAGAAGTGAATGGTCGGTTTCCTTGCGTTTCCGGATGTTTCCAGTATGGCATCTCTTTAACCTAGTAGATAGCTTCCTGAAGTGCACTTTCTGCAGGCCTCAATTGATTTGAGCCAATCTCTGGTGTTTTTGCCACCGGCGTCTGCGTGCAGCAATGTCCCACGTCGACATAATGCAGACGCACGTCCTCGTATCAAAAGGGAGGATGCTGTCTGGGTGGGTTTTCCACGACGTGCGGTGTCTGGTCAGTAACTCCTGTATTAGCCCATGAAAGCCCAATTTGAAGGCAGTATTGTCTGGCTTCTCCTTTCTTGCAGATGATGATCCAATTTAATCGTACTTGACTCAATTGTTTCGGTAGGGTTGGGAACCCCCCATAGGCATCCCATAGCCCAGCAAACCCACATGAAATCGGCTAAGTGCGCCATGTCAACTTTGACCCTTTCTGGTGCTTCTTGTGTTAATCCCACATGCTTCTCATACTTGCATATAGGCACATCAATTCCCAGTTTGTTTTGGGCATCTCAGTATCTCCATTTTGTTTAGAGCCCAATTTGTGTCTTTGCTTGGCCTTCTTGGTAGTGGAACATGACCATGAAAAATCACATCTGCTTTTGATAGGTGCAAATTGGTAGAACATGCAAAAACCATTCAGTGTTTTTCCAGCCTGCCAAGTTAGACCATCAGAGGGGAATCAGAGTTTTCAGCTGATAACATCCTCCAAGCGCGATATTTCATGCGTTTAGAGCTCAGTTCTGTGCCACCAATTGCTCCAAGATCATCCAATGGTAGGTATACCCAATCATGCCCCACTTGCAACCCTGAAGGCATACATGCAATCCCAAAATTGCCATGTCTCAGGATAGGAAAATCATCTTCCACCATTTTAGGGGGGTTCTGGTTCCAGCTGACTTTTCAAGATGGTACATCCCATGAAACCTATTGTAAACGCTGAAAAGTCGCATCAAAAAAGCTTTCAAGATCCCATAAAATCCCACCTACCAACTCACATGAAGTCCCAAAAAAGGTGCATTGAAAAACCCAAAAAGATCCATTAGAATCCATCCAAAAGCTTTACGAAAGCCCCATGAAAACTGCCACCGCAGGTGGCTACAACGATCGTCAGGACATCGCCACGCGGGACAAGCGCGCGGCAGAGGCGGAGCACGGCTATGACGACGCCTGGCAGATCGGGGTGGTTTGCCATAGGAAAACCATAGGAAAATTGGAGGGAAACCATGGGAAAATGGTGACTTAACCCAAGGAAAATTGTGATTTAAGAAAAATTTGGATTTAATGGGTAGCTGATTTGTTTACTGTTTTCCAGGGATATAACTGTAGTCAATGGGGTGAACAAACCGACAAAAATCACTGGGGGGACTCACCTGGTAGCTAGAGATATTCCATTGATTATATATTGATTTGGAATGATGTTTCTTGTGCTTAAGCATCAGTTATGAATAGTTATGCTGGTTTTGGAGGGACTGATTATGGGATTTAAAACCGAGATTTTGCCCCCATCAATGACCAAATGCGATGCCGTGATGCCCCGTAGTGGGCTCACGGGGGCTTATTTCGGAAAAACACATCATATCTCTATGGGTAGATGGGTGAAACTAGGCACAATGAGGTGATGATATTTAAAAATCGTCTAGGTTGACTGGCAAAGAGACTTTCGATCGGGAAAATCTATGGTTTCCTATGGGTTTTCCCTTAAACCATCCAATGATTCTAGAAATTCTGCGGTCAGCCGAGGATTTTGGCCGACGTGTGGTCAAGCGCGAAGGGGACAAGAAACAACGGGCCCAGGTGCGATCCATTTGGTGAAGGCTGAAACCACCAAGTCATTTCAGCTGGATTTTTAGCCAAAAACGTCCAAGGTGTTTAGATGATTTTAGATGGTTTATTTGTTTAGTTTTGTTTAGGTTGTTTGGTACTTTAGTTTCATCTGTTGGAACCTTTGGTTGGATTAATTGTCTTTGATTGTTCATGTTTTTCTGTACATTGCATTAACTGTTCGACTTGAGCAGCTAGGAATGAACACACCACTGGTCGTCTGCATAAACCACAAGTTCTTAATCTGTTGGCTTGCCATTTGATTTAGACAAGAAATGGCCTACAAAATGGGATGTTACCTCAGTTGGCACAAGCAGTCATCATCAGCAAGATGACAAATTACACGTAACAAGGTGACGACTTTACAAACAGACTTAGTGACATAGTGACATAGGTAACTGCAACACTTACGTACAGTTGCATGCTGGCAGGTGGTCTCAGCGGCAAGGTCTTTCATGAAGCTTGTGATGCCGCTGCCAAACATGGAATCATTGGACGCTTGGAGCCCCCTTGGAGTGATCTAGAGGGCGCAGAGAAGGTCTGTGGACGTGCAGAAGCTTTTAAGCTGCAAGGCCTGCTCTTCACAGGGCTTGTGAATGGCAAAGGACCCACCAAGAGCGAACGTCAAATGGGCCAAAGATCTTGTGCGCCGATCTTTGGGCGAGGCTTCCAAGGGCATCATAGTTGAAGAAGTTTTCTTCCGGTTATTCTTCGTCATGGACCCCACCATCCCCGTCGATTTTCAGTTGTGCCTCCAAATCATTCAAAACCTGCCCAGTACAAAGCATACTGAAGCATCCAAGATTAAGCTAGGGTTATGTTTACGAAGCCTGTTGGATCAAAATGTCTTTCAGCGGTACTTCATGGTTTATCTAACAGTTACCCTCTGGTTATGACTAACAGTTTGCAATGGTATAGATGGTCCATAGAAATAGATGGTTTAGCTATTAAAAATTGTGAGTTTCCATGGCTATGTTAAATAACCAGAGGGTATATAGTACAGTAACTAAGTTGTAGCATGTTGTAACCCCAGCTGCAGGGAAAGCAGGGCTATTCCAGTTCTTTCACTCGGGTTACGAGCAACTTACTCAATGGTACGAACCACCAAGTATACCAGGAAGCCCCTCATTTTCAAACTAAGCTGGCTGGCTTTAGTAGATTCTAATAGTACATACATACCCATGGTTCTCCAGCACATACCATCGGAAATATTCCTGGATGAATTATAATAACGACCTCACCGCGACGTCACTGGAATGATGGTTTGCGCATCCCGAAACGCCCTGATTTCAGGTTCGTGAATCGTGAACAATTTATCCAACCCCATGAATCAAAAAGCCCTTTGATAACTTCATAGAATCCCATCATGTATAACCGTATAACCTAGTTGGAACTTATGCCGAATTTAATTCCACCATTTACATGGCATTTCCCATAAAACCACCATTAAGCTCATCATTTACCCATCATGGATCCATCATTTACCCAAAATTTGCGTTCCAGGCCGCCTTGGATCGCTTGCGGAAGAAGACGGCCGGTGCCGAGGAGGAGATGACCGAAAAAATGGGTGGGTTGACCATATGCCATGGAAAAATGAAGGGCTTCTGATCGTGTTCCAGGAAAAAACGTTTTTGTTAAATTAAAAATGATGGTTTCACGTGGTTTTACCATAGTTTCCCATGAAAAATTGGATGATTGTTCCATCAAGCATCGTGACAAAAGGGTTTGCCGTTTCCAGACTGGATCAGCAGAGAACCACAGTCAACTCCCAGTAGCAAACCTGTTGCGGACACCCGCAGTTTGTTCACCCACAAAGATCTCTGATAGTTCTTTACCATCACTGATTCCGTTAAAACCGAGTCTGGAGGCAGGGCCCTCATGGAACTCTAAAACCATCGTGGGGTGGGAGGAGCTTCCCCAACTACGTGCTGACTAAAATCACTGCCCCATTTGATGTAGCACCCTTTCTTAGTTTCAATCCCAGTTTTCGTCACTTGCATGCACATCCCACTTGGCAACCGGTCAACAACCATAGCATCACAATATGTCATATGGAATACACCCAGTTATTGATTGATTATTTACCATTGACGGAGCCATGTGCTAGCCAATTACGACGGGTTTACCACCGACTGTATCCCATTTTATCGCATCCCGCATTCATATCAAACACCCACCTTTTTTGTTGGTCCCAGTCATGCGGTTTCATCCATAAGTCACCATCATGGTGACTCTGGGGTTTTGTCTGGTCAAATCTACCAGATTGACTCCCATCAAAGATCATCAAGGCATCGGCCCTTGGCTCAGGAGGTGAAGTTGCCAGAGACCGATGAAAAAAAGTCCGGAGACCCGCGACAGAGTCGTGGGCTTTAACTGGAAAGAAAATTGCAAATTCAGTCGGAAACAAACATGGGATTGACCAGCTACAGGAAATGTATGGAAATGTGGGGTCAAACGTTTCACCGGACACGCAAGTGTTGGAGCTGTGAGTTGAAACACGCCATTAGCCATTTCACATCAGTCTATAGATGTTGTGACAAATGCTTGTTCGATAAAAGTGAGGGAAATCCCATTGCCAGGTTTGACTAACGAAGTGCATTTGGATTCGGTTGGATTGTTAAGAATCAAAGAATACACAAAAAGTAAAAAGTGCAAAGCAATCAAGGCGAAACATGTGGCTTCTTAACAGGCACCATTTTGCTGCTTGAAGCTGGCTTGGACTTTACCTGTCAGGATCACAGTAGCCCCCAATCCAAAAGCAGATTGTTGGACACGAAGTAGCCATATACGTATTAATGACCATACGGTGGTGCCTTGTTGGCGATATCTATACTTATGCAAAACCAACTTACAACTGCACCACGTTGCACATGGTATATGGGTAGATGATTGCGCTGGAGCATGGAGATGTTCGTTTCTGTCTTCAACTCCCTCCATCGATACTCATTGACTCATTGACTTCGAGGATTTTCCCATCAAAGATATGGATACATATGGTCTCATCATGCCTTATCCATGAAATCAATTGAAATCAAAGGGTGTTTATCCGTGAAAATAAAATGGCATTTTCCGGTGAAAACGTTAAACCTCACGGAATTTCCATGTTTTCCATGTTGAAAATGCTGCTTTACCATCGGCTAACCGAGGCCGCCCCGGGAAGAGACCGCACCGGGACGGCCGCGGGGTTCACCGCGCGGTGAACGGTCGAGGTCCCGGCGCCGGCGGTCGCCCTCGCGGCGAAGGCTCAATGCCCAATGCGAACGGTGTTTTTTTGGGCATATATATATATATATATATGTGTGTGTGCTGGTGATGATGATGATGATGATGGTGATGATGATGATGATACGCATGTTCTGATGGTTTCTTGTGCCCCGGAACTGGTGATTTTGTTTTAATTCCGCGTGTATACAACCCTTCTACATGGCGGCTCTGCCTGTGTCTATTTTGTTGTTCTACATATCCTCGTCTACTTACTGTTTGGCTCACATCCTGCGTTATTATATTTTGTTGCTACAAATCCCTCTTAAACCCCCTTCTTCTTGCGTAACTCATGCTAAAATCCCAGTTTTTGCTAGTAAGATCTACCATTTTTCGGGCCCAAACAGATCCCAAAACCACGGGTTTTCCTCATGGGCGACCCTGGTGTTCAGGTCGCGGTCGCGCTCGCGGCGGCGAAAACGACGACGCTCTAGCTCCTCCAGCAGTTCCAGGCAGTGGGTTATGAGTGGACGATAAAGACCCCCAGTTATGGCCATGAAATGGTGGAAATGGTGGGAAGATATGGGAAGATATGAGAAGATCAAATATAGGGGTACCCTATTTCAGAAGAAAACACTTGGAAAAAGATGTTGATTTCTTGTCATCATTGTGGAAAAACATTGGGGAAAAACAAGTGGACAGATTGAGAAAAGCATGGGAAAACTATCAGAACTGTTATAAATATTGATGATGTATGTTGACTTTTGAACTTTTGCAGGACAATGAACTACCCAGCTTTTCTTTTTTTGTCCGCATCCGCTGCGCAGGTCATGAGCATTCGTGAGAGGTCCCAGCATCAGCAGCCAGAAATTAGGAAACATCAGGACTAGTCTACAGTTGGGAATGGGTCGCGTAATTTCGCGTATACCAAAAAGTTGGATGACTTCATACAATGATAAGTTGGGGGGTTCCTGTAAGACTAATTCTTTATGTTTTTTACAACCACCCCTCAGCAGGTTTTTTTTTGGTAACACCTTAGTAGTGATATATTGAGGCAACCCCTACACAATAAGTGACCAGAACCATCCAAAACCTGTTGGTGCCTTTGCATCTTAGATGTTGACCCTTACCCAGCTGACGAGCCAACCATGAAGTCAGAGACACCCCACATGAACTGAGCCAAAGACATTGCCTTAGGATGTGCTGGGCATCTAGAATTTGTTAATTATTTCTGTAAACCTTTTGGGGCCCACAATCAGCCAGTCATGACTGATGTTTGATCATGAGTTGGCCGGTGAAACCCCATATCTGGCTGTGTGCGCACCTAACATTACACTGTGAGACGGCCCTGATGGAGAGTCAGAAAGATTCGGGCTGAGCACTTGGGCACCATGGCATGGCTAGATTTGGCCAGTGGCATTCCCAAAATGGTCTAACCGGGAAAGATCAGGTTTTAAGCGGATGTGGGCAAAACTTATTTTCAGACAAACCATGGCAAACATGATTCCTGTTTTCCCCTCCAATCTACCTATATATATATATATGCTAATTGTATAGATAGATTTGTCAATATAGATTTTTTGATATATGCGCATAGATATATAATAGATATTTACATGTATACGCTCGAATCATACTAGTAACTTACAAGCTTGTGCCCCATATCCATTGCTTGATTAAGCTGTTCCTTCAATGGGATTCGCGGAGGGATCGGCCAAATTCACCAGGGAAGTGGCTGGCTGCGGTTTGTTTGTTTCACATGTGTTCCAGTTTTTTTTTTCGGAGCATGGCTGGTCGTATGTCGGGAAGGAATGAAACTGAAACATTAACCAGGAAAACGGATGAAGTGGGATATCGGAATATCGGATCAAGCCATGACATGGGGATGAGCCTCAGACTTTTTAGTTCTGTGCCATGCTCTGTGGTGAATTGTTCTATCCATGCATTCGGGGATGACCATCCCGCAGTGTTCATGGAACCCCTGATAAATCCATTTTAGCAGCAGCTTATCATTGTATTGGAAATATCCTCTGCTAAACTAATATAGCTATTGAAAATGGTCCATTTATAGCTGATTTACCTATTAAAGAGGTGATTTTTCATAATTAAGTTAGTTTACCAGAGGGCAACCTCCCTATAATCATAGTAACGTATGCAACCACATAAAAGCCACCTTAGCCATAGCGTCAAGTCGTGATATTCGAGCATTCAGTGCGCTTCAACGGCTGCCCCTTTCAACGTTACGAACGAATGAAGTCTTTTTGATGGGGGTGCTTCTTCTTGGGCAGAAGATCCATTTTTGACCCCCTTCCCGGTTGACTTCAGGGATAAGAGGGCTGCAAGAGAACGGGGCATAAACGATTTTTTTTGTGAGCTTATGATATGTTTAATCCAGATGGATTATAGCCACACACACACTTTGGTTCGTACTTTCTTGGGATTAGATAGGTTTGCATCAATTCCGCTACGTCGAGTGTTTTTTATCGATCAGCACACCACCATGGACCAAGGATGATCCTACCCTGGATCTCAAAGATCCACCATTGTTCAGCAGTTCTGCATGCTTGTTCTTGGCTCAATGGTTTCTCATTCTCATGCTCCTGTCCAACCACCTTGGATAGAGTGCAACCAAAAAGCAGGTTCATCAGCCATTCATACTAAGTTAGCCATGATGGGTTGAGCAGAAAGCATACAGAGCACCATGAGTGACAAAAGTTTGAGCAAGTTCCAGCCCTACAGATCTTAACTGAATATTGGATAAACGGTGTTTTTATTGGGGGGGTTGAAAAAATGAGCCACATATGGAGAAACATAATATGCACTCGCACAACTCTCAAAAAAGAATGTTGCGTTTGTATCATACTTGAGGTTTGCTATATTTCCCTCCAGGTCTTCAACTCCACATAGAGACATCGCCTGTTTTAACCTGAACGCCCCTGCGCGGCTGCGCCACCATGACCATCGGAGATATCAACATCCATGACTACTTCACTGCGGAACTCCAGACTCAGCTGAGGCAGCCGAGATCCAGCTGGGGCATAGGAACCCCGAAAATTTGGTGGGTTTATGTCCCAGAATTGGGTGCTATGTCTCGGTGAATTTTCCATTTTGGGGAGCCTCATGTAGCCATTTCTATCATAATCATATTGTTATCTCATTATATGAAGAATAGATTCCAATCAATTTCTGACCCCAAACCAATCATACAAACGAATACCCTTTCAAAATCCCCAATTGTTCATGGCTAAATCGGTCAAATATCAATACTTTGTGGTGCTACAGCGCTACATCATCTCATTAAGGACCGTAAAAAAATGCTCCAACCTATAGGTAAATCATGATCACAAGTAAATTCCAGCATAAAAAGCACCATTAAATCGCCATTACTTCCCATTAAATCCTTTGAAATTCCAGTAAAACCACCCTTGAATCACCAAACTGTGGATGGTTGCGAAATCACTAGTTGATAGATGGTGAACATCCCATTCTTAGGGTTTCAACATGTTTCAACCATCCCAAATTTGTGGTTTATCGGATTTCGCAACGGCCCATCCACAGAATCTCACCATCCGGCCCTCCCCGTCCTTGTCCGAAACGTCAGGGACGCCTTCAGGGAGTTTGACACCAGCGGCGACGGCTTCATCGGCAAGGTTGTGATTTTGGGGATATATATATATATATATCTGGTTGGTGCTTTGGAAATGATTTACGGGATAGGATTTCACCACTTTTTGGTGGTTGCCCTCTGGTAATTTGTTACATTTTGCTATTGAAAATGATCATTTACAGTTGATTTACCCTTTATAAATGGTGATTTCCTATAGCTGTGTTAGTTTACCAGAGGTGTGTATATATATATATATATACAACCATCAAATGGAAAGATATATCCATATGTATTGGTAACATTAACATCAATAGATATACCCATATATATATATACATATTGGTTGGATGAATATATATATATATAACTATACTAACACGGACAACGCATACAATTAGTGATTTAATTGTGATTTAATGGTATGTGATGATGTTTGGTTAGCTAAGTTAGTTTAACCTTCACGAAATGGGGGTTTGACCACGGGGATGCTGATTCATGACAGGTAAGCAGGTTTTTACCGCGGCTAATTAGGACCATTTGGATCTAATGGGTAAGCCAACTTCTAAGAGGGCCTGGTGACGACATTTTTGGAGCGGCCGCTTCTGTCCAATCTTCGAACTCCATGACAATGATAACATGCCGGATTCTGCTTTAGCAGAAAAAATGGAAGAAGTTGAGAAAGGAAAACCCTGATTTTCTGATGGGATTTGATGGGTTTTAACAGACTCCCAGATAATCTGCGGTCGTGTAGCATGTCGTAACATTTTTTTTAATGCCAGCAATGTAGGAATAATTGTGCAGTGCACTATGCAGCAACAAGTTGACCTTGTCGCTTAGGGGTCAATAGGATAGATCCCACGTCTGAACCTGAAGAAAAAACACGAAAAGGAAAACAATCAGCCTTGGGGCATGCTTACATATAATGATGTGGGGTTAAGATCCTGAAAATGTATGAAAATCAACGTGTCAAATATTATGTTTGATCCTGTTTCGTTCCTTCTCGTCAATACTCCCACGCATGTTGGCAAGTCGTGTGAAAGGTTTTGAGCGATACAGTACTCCACAACAATGGCCTGCATACACCAAAAGAACTGTCAATCGTCGTTTAGAAATAGTGTTTCCCTTTTTCCAATTTTTCCAGCGAAGATCGCCAGAACTAAAGTAAGTGCTGTTTCTTCCACAAAATCTTCCAAAATCCGGCCTTTCCCTGTGCTTTTCCTAGGAACACTTACCCCACACGTCGCCAGGATGAACTCTGCGAACTCTTCGCCAAGTTGGGCAAGAGCCTCACCAAGAAACAGGCCGACATCATCCTCCGAGAGGTGCCAAGCCGGGCCCCCTTCGAAACGACATGTGCAACGTACCTATAGTATGAACATAGATGTAGTATGATTTATGCCGATACATATTTATCACTATTTATCTGTGATCTATTTTTAATCTATTCTATATTTATCTAATGCATACATATATGTGTATGTATATATATATATAGTTTATTAGTTGGGAATGACTTTGTTTTAGGTCATCAAACTTTGGCGACAGGGGCTCGGTCAGGCACTGCTTGAACCTTCTTCCATCATGCGGGGCTGCCTTCTCTGTCAACCAACATGTGGCAACGGAAACTTTTTGATTTGCGAAGTACTGATCGATTTCAATGTTAGGTTGCCAGAGGTTATACCCCGCTCTGATCACAATTACATAGAACCCTCAAAACCAAAAGCTGACATCGACCGGAAATAAACAAATATACATATATACATATATAATTATATATATAACGGTTAGTGTTTCATGTCATAAATGTTGTGAATTATGGCAGTGGGTTTCCCACAGTTGTTCTTCCATCATCCATCATGTGAAGTTTAGATAAGTTTAGAGCGACAGGAAAAACTACTGGTGGCAGTGATTTCCCACAGCTGAAGATCCGGCCCCTGCATCTCACATCAGCCGGTCTTGTACCAATGGGATGACTATTCTCTGGTGTTCCCTGTGTCTGAACTATTGCGGAAAATAGCCAACCCCTACTGTAATCACTGTGAAATATCACCCTATATAACAAAACCTTAGTTTAGAAACTACCGGCTCTCAGCAAACTTCGGGTCCCAAAATTGATGGCATCCAGATCTTGAGCCTGGAATCCCCACACAATCCAGGTTGATGCTGATGGCAATGGTGAAATTGCCCCTTGGCATGATTTCTCACGTTGATCCAAATCAGAAGGCCTCGGTGAGTGCTGGTGATGACCCACAGCTTAAAACGGAGAAACCAAAAACTATGGCCCAAGCCTAGGGCCTAGCAAAACATGGCAAGGGAAATCACCCTTTGGTAGATGAGTAGATGAGTGACCTATCGATTAATACTGATTCTCAACAGTCATGTTGCGTAAAACCGGAGGATTGTAAATTGCTTAAACATGTTTAAACGCCGTTTTTTGGAGTAAGTTTCATAGTCCAGTTCCACTTTGATTGATTTTATTGGTTACCATTCCCCATTCTTAGTTAACCTCCGTACTCGTGTCAGTTTGTTGATATCATGCTTTATTTGGTTCACCCCCCTTTTTTTTCAGACCCACAATATTTGATGTTCAAAACCAGACTGCATCAGTGAAGCGGAGCCAAGGACTTTGAAGAACTGTGTTATTTGGAGATTGGGATGTCCGGGGCAACTTGTCGTGCCCCACAACGGGTAAACCTGGGTGACCCGGGTTGGGAGAAAGTTGTGTCAATTGGACAGAAGAATACAACATCCTGCTACGGTTTTCGTGGTCCCACGTGGAAATCCCGCGCATTTTGGGGTTCTTTCAAAGTCTTGCGGTTTGTGGAAGTTTTGGCTATCGGCTCGAAACACTGCAAATTACAGAGGATGTCTTTAAGATACTCTTCAACAGGTAATTTTGGCACCGTCTTAGGTAAGCGCAAAAATGCAAGGAGGCGCAGGTAAAAACAATATCTTGCATGTTCGCAGTGTTCCGCGGAAACAACTCAGCAAATTGAATTGCAGTCCCGCATCGAATTCGGATGCATTTCGGGCAAACGTCAGCCCCCTAGCGGTATATGTATAATGTATCCCCGTTGGGGTCCCCTGGCGAAAAAAACTAGAGGCCGAAGCCTCATGATTTTCGCCCAATAACATGGGCGAAGAACCTATCCAGCTTCATATCAAAATATATATGCTATCCAGTGCCCTAGTTTTTTTCTTTTGGGAAGTTGTATATCTTACATCTTGGGTTCTAGGGTTTAAGCCCAGGAACATGGTGATTATAAAAAATCATGGTATTGTAGTGACCCAAGTTCTTCGTTTTGTGCCTAGGTTTTGACCGCAGGTGATACAAGAATAGAAAACAACACAAGCATGAGAAAAACTTGCCAAAAAAAAAGAATTTCACAACCGGGGGCAGTAGCCCGAAATTTGGCCAGATTTGACTTACATTGAGCCACAGAAAAGGTGAGGCCTGCCTATGCTGTTTCTTTTTTAGTGACATAATGAACTTTGCAGCCCATGGTTTTCATCCCAGGTGACAATTCGTGACAGCTTTATTGCAATAGGTTGAACACATGTACCTGCAGCCATTGAAGCTTGTTCGGGACATTTCGGGACCACATTTGGCATTAATTGTTTGTTTTTTTTACGCAAAATAAAATCTTGCTGTAATGTTTTGGAAACCTTAAAGTGCAAAAAATGATGTTTATTTTGCGAGATGAGCATCCTGAGTGGTTTTGAATAATTTTTGCGGTATGATAGTCATGGCTAGATAACGAATGGTGTAGCATGGAGAGCTACTCCGGCAAAGTTGAGACATGCGAGATGAAATCTTAGGGTCTGAGGTTTTGTGGTTCATCTTGGGATGTTGGTTCAGGATGGGTTTGCCATGGAGAGCTGTTCAGGCAAAATTCCAAACAGGGATATGTGAGATGAAATCTTAGGGTCTGAGGTTTTGTGGTTTATTTTGGGATGTTTATGTTTTGAGCTCTCCAGGATTAATTACAGTAGCAATTGTAAAAACCTATAGCTGATCAGAACCTGCAGATCAGAGGTAAGCCATAAATAACATAATAACGATAAAAATGTAATAGCCATTAATAACAGTAAAAATCTTAGATCAGAGATGGAGTGGGATATACGCATTCAGCGCTCTGAGGCCAAGCCCCGAGCCGATCTCATCGACTACACCACCTATCTCTATGACCGTGGCAGGGTTGAGTTCACCGAATGGGGCAGCTGTATCATATTATGACATTGAGTTAAGAAGGTGGGTGGATTAGGGTACCTAAGGACAAGTCTGTTTTTGTTTTTGCTATTTGTGTTGATGATTTCGTTTTCATTGACTTTTCTCAGTGTGGGATGGTGCACCCAGCAAAATGATGTGCAACTGACGAGTGTTTTTCACGAGCGGTGGCAGCTGCAAACCATGAAGATGTTTCGCAACACGTCACATGCACATTTGGAGGTGTGCGTGTCCATGCATGTGTATGTATGCAGTAGAGACTTTCACATGTCGTGGATCTAATCCCATCCCCCTAACATTTAAACATCCCCCATTCTATGGTGCGAATGATGTGGAAATTCCGCGCACCATAGTTTCTCAAGTGTTTAATATGACCCGGGGGACCTGTCCAAGGGACCTGTCCAAACCTCGGAGGACGACGTGGTGAAGCAGTTGCAGCAGTGGTTCTCCCTGCACGACATGGGTGAAGAAGGGCAGATCACCGTGGAAGCCGCGCAGATGCCGGGCACGATGGTCGATGTCTATGCTGTAGGTTGGCCAACAAATATGACAATCATAGTACCCTCTGGTAAACTAACATAGCTACAGAAAATCACTATTTTTAATGGGTAAATCCACTATAGGCCATTTTCAATAGCTATGTTAGTTTACCAGAGGGCAATAGTAATGATAGTAATATCATGTAATATCCAATATTGACAAAACTAAGAATCATGATGATGATCATCATGATCATGATCCGGAGATTGATGACATACTGTCCAATATTGCTGGATAGTCTATGTGGGCACCTTCTTTCGGGTATAGTTTGTCAAGCCACGTGGGAATTCGATCGTTTCGGTTAAGGGTGCACATGGAAAAGCCACCAAGTAATACCACTTCTATCTACTTTAATTTCTAGCTACCCTCTGGTAATTTAACGTAGCTACTGATTCTATTAATAATGGCAATTTAAGGTTGATGTACCTATTATTAATGCTGGTTTTCCATAGCAAAAATATGTTTACCAGAGGCTATATGAATTTGCTGGAGAACATGAGGATTCTCCAACCAGGGCCGTGTTTGATTCCACTTCGTCACGTAGGCTGAGAGCATGGGGATGGCAAGGCTTTGGTGCCATGAATGCAGATATGAATTTAACAGCTCAAAAGGTTTGAAATGGTGTGTAGCATCTAAGATGCATGTTTTTGGGGGGGTTCCCAATGGGAAATGTCCAGCTTTCACCGGAGAAATTCGGAAATTCATGGCGTCTACCGAACAACGCTGAGGAACATTGCAGAACAGCAGGAGGTCCGAGCTTCAGTGGAAGAGATCCAAGACGTTCTGGCACAGGTGGGGCTGGATGTGCGGGACAGCATCGTGAATGGGGTTTCTACTATAATCCTTTTATAGTTGCGCAGTTTATTTATATATATATGTGTGTAAAGATGTCTGTGATATATTTACATATATATATGTGTGTGTGCGTGCCTATGGGATATTTATATATATATATACATATATATATATATATTGTGTGTATGTATATGTTACGATCGTTCTTACATATACATATGTTTGTGCATGTGATATATATATAATACATATAGGTGTCAAGAAACATGACAAGAAAAGGACTGGTCAAGGTCTGAAGAGCTGAATTGACTGATCGCGGTTTGCCCATTATTCCAAGAAACACCAAAGGTTCAATTCCAAGTGGTTTTCATATGCTTATACCAAACCTGGTTCAGAAACTTCCCGGCGCCTTGTCTACCAAGTATCCGTTTTTCTCGGAGTGGGACAATATATAGTGATGTATTTTCCAGTGTTTTTCTCTGTTTTTTAGATATGTCATGGACATTCTGGAAGGCGGAAATTTCTATGTCAGGAGGGGCCTGGCTAAAAATCTAAAATTCTTTGGTCGACTACCTCTCCTTATAGAAACGCTTTGAAATGCCAAAGTAACATCACTTGACTAGTGTATCTAGGTTTCAGGTTCCAAGAAACGAATCAAATTCATCAAACAAATGTTACTGTTCTAGATGATTCTAGATGTTTTTTTCTAGCGTCCTGGCAAGAAATCACACCCGCATGTGGTTTTGGTGCCATTGGAGCACGAAGGCTTCTCCATTTCATGCATCGTCCAACTCGCGCGAGGTGGCACTGGAGGGAAAAGTGAGTTTCTTGGCCGATCGTGTCGCAGCTCTATACTGGTTGAGAGTTTAGTGTTAGCAAGCATTCATCAATGGATTGGTTTAAGGGAAAATGTTACAGGAAAACCCCATGTTGAATGGGAAAATCGACAGTTTCCGGTTAAGATTTTACCTTAAACCAATCCATTGAATTTAGAAACTCAAAAGACTAAACCTTAGTTTCCTTTGAGTTGCATTGATTATCAGAAACGGCTGTTCCCCAGGTGATTTTTTTCGGCATCTCGAGTTGCCTTGGATGGCCTTGGCTCCATGTTTCGATGCATGCGTTTGGTTCCAAAATGTCACACGTCTAAAGGTGTGAAACTGGTTAATCCATTGGCTAGGAATCTAGGCCATGTATGCATGTGGTCCCTCCATGTAATATGTTTTTGAGGGCCCATTTGAAGCCTTGAAATTCCATCCTTACCAGGGATGAGAATCCTCAATGACTCCTACTTTTTCGGGTGGCCTCTGAACAGACATGTTTTTTTGTGTTTCACATTCCCATGTTTTGCTGGGCATAGACCCCCATGATATTCCTTTTCGATCCTTTTGGGCTTTCATTTCTAGTGCCGAACACCTTACTTTCGGGCGGGGGAAAACCATTGTTTGTTTTGCATTGCTTAAAACCCATGTTTGTTGGCCAAATGTTCGGTTGGTTAAATCCATATTCATCATATTCATCTTCATTTTTTGGTTGCTTAAATTCCCGGCGATTTTGGGGAGCTGGTTCCACGCCCCAGCCTGAGATTTTCCGCGCTTCGCCGCCTTCTGGGCTGTGGTGAGTGGCAGTCACCGAAAGCTCAACTACCGAGAGCCTTTTGGCAGACTCCAGGGATCCTGGCAGCCCTGAAACGCGAGAAGTCCCTGAAAGAAAGGAAGTGGAAGGTGATGGTTTTGGCTGGCAAGTTTCTTTGCTGGGATTTGCAAAGTAATGGGATGAAAGATGATGGTTTCCGGGATGTCCAGCATGTCGAGGTGAAAGATGTTGAATTTATGAATTTCTGTTGGTATTCTCTTGGAATTCCAACAATTCCTGCTTCCCGATGGGTGAAGTTGAAACCATCTTACACATGGTGGGTCTGTATTAATACAAAGGAAACGCCTTCAGGCCTTCAGATGCACTGGTGACAGGCATGTGCAATATTAAGGTTTTCCCCGGATGGTTTTTACGCCCAAAATTGCCCGTATATGTAGGTAAATGTCTTTGGCACGCAGACCCTACAATGAAAAGTGTGGGTGCTTTGAGAATCGTTCATAACTTCTCCGTAACAATAGTTCAGAGTTCAACCCATTTAAGGGTATGGACCTGGATCAAAACCTATTGTTTTCCACATCTTTCAGGGATATCTCCCACATTTTTTCATGAGATCCAGATCTGATCATCATCAGAAAAGAATCACAACATCATGATAACATACCATTTTATCCAGATAAGACCCATCCATTTTACCAGGTGTGAGCAACCGGTGAAGCGGCCGAGGTATTTGAGTAATGACGAGGTTCAGCACTGTCGGCAGATCTTTCAGGTTGGGAACGGCATCGTTCAGGTCTGAAAATGGGTTGGATGACCCCAATTCATGGCATGTCATTGAGAAAATCCACGGTGCTAATGTTTTTCCAAGCAGAATCCTCCTCTTCAAGCCACCTGCCATCTTTCGCTTCAGCTCCAGGAAGCTGCTGGTGACAAGAAGCACCTGTCCCGGAAGCAGGTGCCAATGGGCGATGAAGCCAATGGTGTTGGAGAAGCATTCGAGACAACTAGAGACATTCATGCGCATATGTAAGTATATTGTGTAAGTATATTATGTTACGCTTTATATATATATATATATTTGTTGCTATATAATATGTATACATACACTTATATGCATATTCAATTGTTCTATGCAAGCGGGTATATATACATATATAATAGTTATTGCTGTGTTTGTTTATTTGTTCAGTTTTGTGTACATACAAACACACGCATATACATATATACATATATATAATCGCTTTTATTTATTTGCATGCGTAGAGAGAGCGAGAACGTGACAGAGTGAGAGAGAGAGAGAGGGAAGCCTTCGCGAGGTCGTCGCAGCATTTGCTTCCCAGGTCCAAGACGTTTTGAAAGAGAAGAATTTCGTTCGGGCCAGGCGGCATCTCAATAGGTGACCCGTTTCCAGATGAGATGGGCTTTCAATCACCATTTCGGGCATGGATTGGGTAGGGTGTAAGAGTACCAGGATCTTCACTATCCACTCTTGGTGGGCGGGATGGCTGGGTGCTTGGCCCAAATTCGACAGCTTCCATTGGGCAGGGCTGTTCAAGGGGGATAGTAGGGTTATTCTAGTTAGGAGTGGGTTTGTTTGTTAACTGTAGATATATCTAGCATAACCCCTAGTCAAACTATGTCGAAGCTTAGTGAACTATGCGGCACCACCTGGTACTTACCACTCCAGTGAGCCATGCAAGCAGCGGCCTCGCGTGCAAGTCGTCACCGCTGAGGATATTGGATAATTTTGGTATTGACAAGAAGACCGATATAGCCCCTCGGCCGCCTTGGTCGGTCGCCCGCGTTCTAGCAGAAAAAGCCTGCGGATTGACCGGATTGATGATGATTGATGGCCAGAAAATGGTCATTTTGAAAGGTGAATCAGATCAAAAAAAACGGACCAAATATGATTCGCCAGAGGTTACATAGGTATGATTTCAGCCGCAATGTGCAGCAAAGCTTGGGTCGCCTTGCGGACTTTGCCGCAGGGCCACATGAAGCTGCGACTAGCATGGCCTTGTGTACCCGATGCTTTCAGGTATTTTTTTAAGATCCATCAAGATGTCCGTGTTTGGGTCCATCCTTCACTTTAGATTTTGAAGCCATAATTACAACGGTAGTGCAGCCTGGAAATGACCTGAAACTAGGCTTCCCGCGCCAATAGGACTAGGATGACAAGTGCCATGGTCAAAAGTTGGATTAGGTGTGAATATACGAATGATAAGGAATCCGCAATGATGGTGGGATGACCATAACCCATACACCATGTTTTGACTCTGGCACAGATGACCAGGGGCCTCTTTTTCACGTTTGGCATCTCTCAAGTCAACCGTGCTAGAGGTCCAATAAAGCCTTAACAATCCTCAGTTATTAGGTTCAATAAAGCCTTACCTCCATAATTAAATCATTATGTCGATGAACATTCTCAACAAAGATAATGAAGGGATGCCTTTAGATTTTCCACCTCAGCAGTTGTGTTTTCTTTCCTCAGCTGCTCACCGCGCGGAGGATTTCAAGATGTTCTGCAATGCCATAGTGAAGCTCTCGCGGCGGCGGAAACTCTTTGAGCTCTCTCCACAGAGCCTTGGAGCGTCCTGTGATCGCTGTTTCGATCGGAGCATTGGAGCTATGGTTGTAATGTGGGAAACCCAATGCCATAAACCGACTATTTGTGGTTGTTATCACCCATGAAAATGGTGATGTTTGGGATGGTTTAGTATTGGGTTTACCTACCATTACTCAGTTTCTTGGCGGTTCACCCCAGGACTTGTCCAGTCACTGGGAAAAATACTCGAACAGTTCCTGGGGCGAACCGCCAACTGTAAACTTTTCTGGCAGCTGGTTTTTGTAATTTCACTATGTTTCAGCTGTTTCTTGTTTTCCTCTTGGATTTATATATTCATGTTGGGGTCCTCTTGAGACAAACGGTTTGATACATATCATTATGTTGGCTGATCTTTGGCTTTGTGTAGTGGCAATATGTGGTGATATTCAAACCCTGATGTAGGAAGGACGAATTTCTTCGGTGCGGAGCTGTACCAAATTGTATCCAATCAAGTATGGTACATGCTTTACAGAAACCACGTTTAACATTGTACAACCTGTTTGACTCCTTTTTTTGTGGATTACATTGCCGGTGTTGTTTTAGGACCTCCTGCTGCTCCAAGCTCTTTGCAGATGGTTTCACGGTCCCTGAACTTCAGATGCCTCTTGGTGGAGCGAGACGAGCTCATCGACTTGGGGAGGTGTTTTAGGGAGGTATATTACAAAATAGAAACACGAGAAGAATCAGGTTCAAAATGGTTCAAACCTGCCGAGGTGGGGGGAAAATCAACAAGAAACAGGTTCAAAGCCACAAAACTTGGGGTTGAAACCCACCAAAAAATGGGTTGAAACCCACTAGACGTCATCAAATTTGCAGTATTGAGGGAGATAAAATGGTTGCCAAACCTTGGCTAGGAGATCTCCAACTGTCCCCGCCCCTAGCTGAGAGTTCTTCGAATGGCATATTGGCTGACCATTCCACATGAATATCACCTTGCAAAAGGGGCCTCATGTCAAAAAGCTGTCTATGTGAGAAACATTTTGTCAAGATGAGAAATGGGAGAGCGGAATGGAACCATGTTTGAGGCATTAACCCTGTAGCATTGGTGATAACTGGCGCGACGTGATGCCAGCACTACTACTTTTATCTTGCGACATTCTGTCCACAAAATGCTCTGTCCTCTTCTCAATGCACATCATATCCCAGAAGCTGCTTACGCATGTTTAAGTGCTGTGCTTAATCAAAGCCCTGGAAAACCATGGTTTTTCCCCTGCCACACCTTCAAGAGGGACAGAGGGTAATAAGCAGAGATTGTGCTCATGGAAGGCCATCATCCGCTGAATTTCATCTGGAACATCAGAGGTCTTTAACATTCTTTAACCCCTTCTCATGTTCAACCTCACCAGCTTGCTCTGAATGAGCGCCCCCCCAGGTGTGGTTTTGGACTTGTCGATTTCAGAGAAACGCGGATCCCAGCCAAACGACTCTATCAGGATTCATCCAGGGTTTGCATAGCCAATGATCTTTGATATTTTCCCAATGGGAAACCAATCAAAATGGGGATTTAACCAACAAAAATTATGTTAGTGGGATGATATTGGGATAATCCACAATTTGGGAAATCTAGAGTGAATATATGTATATATATATATATATGTATATACATGTGTGTGTGTTTTTTGCCTGTTGTCTTGGGGATAAATCTCGGATATCCAAACAAATAGGAGAGAGGATCAAGAATGCCGAGGATATTTGGGGATATATGGCCAGTAACACTGGGGATGTGACTGACTGACTGACTGACTGACTGACTGACTGACTGGTGGTGTCAAACATAGTTTGGGGATGGGTTGAAACCACCGTGCCCAGAATTGTGTGACATCGTTTGCACGATCCCTGCATTGGCCGGCTCATCGTTTTTCAACTTGCTTGGGAAGCGAGAAAATGATGAAATATATGTCCCAGTATGTCCCAGTCGATTTCCCAAAATGGTTCATTTCCCATCTGATATATATATATATATGTATATATATGTATATGTACACATTATAGATATACACATGTAGATGCACTTATTCCCATACATTCCCGATCATTCCCAGATTCCCTTGATGAACATCAGGGAAACACCCAATCTTCACCACAACTCAGCCGCACAGGAGGGCCACTTTTCGGCCTTGGATTTGCGGCGGGCAGGCAGAGAGATACGGGAGTGGTGCATGGGTAGAGTGGCATGGCGTTATAACCCCCATAAGTTAGGATAGAATCCCCATACTAAATGGAAGTTAAATGATGTAAAATTTGTGATTTTCTAGCCATGCTTGATTACCAAAGGGTAAGCCGTTCCATGCAGCCGTTGTCTCATTGGAGGTAGCGGAACTGCACATGGCACAAAGCAACAATTGTGTTGAAAAGGCAATGAATGGGACAGAAATGTGGGCAGATACCATACTAAACCAGGTGTGGTTTGGGAGGTTATTGAGTATTTTTTGGCTATGTCTACTGTCTACTTCATTTTGGCATGTGTCATTTCATTGAGCCAAGTGGGGCAGACTCAGTTTCATATTCCGCTTGCTCCTGAATGGTGAATGACACTGCAATCGGCCAGATTCCAGTGCCCAAAGACACTTTTAGGACCCGATTGCTTTTTACGTGTTTGTTAAACTACAAAGGTCTTTTCCTACATTAAATGCTTTTAGACCGTCATGTGAAAAATTTGAAGCATCATTCAATGCTACATTAACGGATGTAAATGAGTTCGAGATGATAGGATGTGTCTTTGTAAGACGTCATTTGGATTCCCTCAACCAATCAGCTTCTCTTAGGACTTGCCAGAGTCCATGGTCTATTTCAGGCGTAGTTGGAGTCGCCAATGTCCCATGCAGCTATTTATATGTCTCAACTGAAGGTATTTTGGAGTGATACATGCATGCATGCGTGCATGCATGCATCCATGCATGCATGCATCTATGCATCCATACATCCATACATCCATACATCCATACATCCATACATCCATACATCTATACATCCATACATCCATACATCTATACATCCATACATCCATACATCCATACATCCATACATCTATACATCCATACATCCATACATCCATACATCCATACATCTATACATCCATACATCCATACATCCATCCATCCATCCATCGATGAATCCATCCATACATCCATACATCCACGCATCCATACATCCATACATCCATACATCCATCCATACATACATCCATAAATCCATTCATCCATACATCCATACATCCATCCATCCATCCATACATCCATACATCCATACATCCATACATCCACACATCCACACATCCATACATCCATACATCCATCCATCCATCCATCCATCCCTCCATCCATCCATCCATCCATACATCCACACATCCACACATCCATACATCCATACATCCACACATCGATACAACCATACATCCATACATCCATACATACATCCATACATCCATACAACCATACATCCATACATCCATCCATACATACATCCACACATCCATACATCCATACATCCATACATCCATCCATCCACGCATCCATACATCCATACATCCATACATCCATCCATATATACATCCATCAATCCATTCACCCATACATCCATACATCCATACATCCACACATCCATACATCCATACATCCATACATCCACACATCCATACATACACACATCCATACATCCATACATCCATACATCCACACATCCATACATCCATACATCCACGCATCGCTACATCCATACATCCATACATACATCAATCCACACATCCATACATCCATACATCCATACATCCACACATCCATACATACACACATCCATACATCCATACATCCATACATCCACACATCCATACATCCATACATCCACGCATCGCTACATCCATACATACATCCATACATCCATACAACCATACATCCATCCATACATCCATAAATCCATACACACATCCACACATCCAGACATCCATACATCCATCCACCCATACATCCATAAATCCATTCACCCATACATCCATACATCCACACATCCATCCATCCATCCATCCATCCATCCATCCAGCCATCCATCCATCCATCCATCCATCCATGCATACATAGAGAGATATATATATATATTTATATTTATATATATATATTTATGTAGATATAGATATATTCAGGACAACCTGTCCATGCATCTTCCATGCACATTGCCTAAGTCAGGCACCTCCAACGTAGGTCGGCACAGCCAAGGCTATTCTGCTGGTGATTTGCGCCGTGCTGGTATGGGTTTAGTTGAGCTGAGGCCTGAACCGGCTGAATGATCCACTTAGGGGGCCAGATTTGGGACCAAAAAGTGATGCACCAAGTTATGGGGTTTCCATGTGTTTCCAGCAAATTGCTACACATTCTTGTTTCCTGGGGTTTCATATAGTTTGAAGACAAAGCACCATTAGAAAGCCCCATTGAAAAGGATCTTGGAAAAAGCCGATGGAAGAAACAAAATCGACTAGCTCAAGAAAACCCGCAACTCCCGTAACCCCGCTTTCGTTGTGTTTCTTTGAAAAACATAAACTTCAGAAAACCAGGGTTTTCCATCATTCTATGACGTGTTGATGGGTCCCAAAGTCGAGAACCATCTCAGAAACAAGAAACTTTCACGTTTTCACCTAGAGATCCCAGATTGTTGGCCTTTTACTTTCAGATGTTTTTTTTTCCCCACCTGCCAGGTGAGGGTTGTTAGATTTTATCACAGTTGTTCTCCTCCTCCGCCTCCTCCGCCTCCTCCTCCTCCTCATCCTCCACCTCCTTCTCCTCCTCCTCCCTCTCCTCCAGCTTCTCCTCCACCACCTGTGCATCCACTCCCATGTTCACTTCCGCCTTGCCAACTCTTCGCCAACCTCTTCGCCAAACTCTTAACCAACTTCCGCACGCAATGTTGGACCTCAACCTGAGGCCCTCCGAGCTCAGTGAGCACCGCTTGACCTCAACCTGGGACCCTCCGAGCTCAAGATATGCCAGATAAAATGCCAGAAGATATGTCAGATAAAATGCCAGAAGATATGCCAGATAGAATGCCAGAAGGTATGCCAGATAGAATGTCAGATAGAATGCCAGAATGTTTGCCAGATAGAACGCCAGAAGATTTGCCAGATAGAATGCCAGATAGAATGTCAGAAGATTTGCCAGATAGAATGCCAGATAGAATGTCACAAGATATGCCGGAAGATATGCCAGATAGAGTGCCAGAAGATTTGCCAGATAGAACGCCAGATAGAATGTCAGAAAGAATGCCAGAAGATATGTCAGATAAAATGCCAGAAGATATGCCAGATAGAATGCCAGAAGGTATGCCAGATAGAATGTCAGATAGAATGCCAGAATGTTTGCCAGATAGAACGCCAGAAGATTTGCCAGATAGAATGTCAGAAGATTTGCCAGATAGAATGCCAGATAGAATGTCAGAAGATATGCTAGAAGATATGCCCGATAGAGTGCCAGAAGATATGCCAGAACATATGCCAGAAGATATGCCAGGTAGAATGCCAGAAGATATGCCAGATAGAATGCCAGAAGATATGCCAGATGAAATGCCAGAAGATATGCCAGAACATATTGCAGAAGATATGCCAGGTAGAATGCCAGAAGATATGCCAGATAAAATGCCAGAAGATATGCCAGATAGAATGCCATAAGGTATGCCGGATAGAATGCCAGATAGAATGCCATAAGGTATGCCAGATAAAGTGCCAGAATGTTTGCCAGAACATATGCCAGAAGATTTGCCAGATAGAATGCCAGATAGAATGTCAGAAGATATGCCAGATGATATGCCACAACATATTGCAGAAGATATGCCAGGTAGAATGCCAGAAGATATGCCAGATAGAATGCCAGAAGGTATGCCAGATAGAATGTCAGATAGAATGGCAGAATGTATGCCAGATAAAGTGCCAGAATGTTTGCCAGATAGAACGCCAGAAGATTTGCCAGATAGAATGCCAGATAGAATGTCAGAAGATATGCCAGAAGATATGCCAGATAGAGTGCCAGAAGATATGCCAGAACATATGCCAGAAGATATGCCAGGTAGAATGCCAGAAGATATGCCAGATAGAATGCCAGAAGATATGCCAGATAAAATGCCACAAGATATGCCAGAACATATTGCAGAAGATACGCCAGGTAGAATGCCAGAAGATATGCCAGATAGAATGTCAGATAGAATGCCAGAAGGTATGCCAGACAAAGTGCCAGAATGTTTGCCAGAAGATTTGCCAGATAGAATGCCAGATAGAATGTCAGAAGATATGCCAGAAGATATGCCAGATAGAGTGCCAGAAGATATGCCAGAACATATTGCAGAAGATATGCCAGGTAGAATGCCAGAAGATATGCCAGATAGAATGCCAGAAGATATGCCAGATAAAATGCCAGAAGATATGCCAGATAGAATGCCAGAAGGTATGCCAGATAGAATGTCAGATAGAATGCCAGAAGGTATGCCAGATAAAGTGCCAGAATGTTTGCCAGAACATATGCCAGAAGATTTGCCAGATAGAATGCCAGATAGAACGCCAGAAGGTATGCCAGAAGATATGTCAGATAGAATGCCAGAAGATTTGCCAGTAACAGAACGTATAGATGTCATGGTGGGGACAACTCGAAGTAAAGTTATTTCAAGTCATACAATTAAAAAAGCGCAGATTCTTCCACCTTTTGTTGGGGTGTCCCATACATATGGGTGTTTCTTAAAATGCGTGTACCCCTAAATCATCCATTTCTTGGCTGTGATTTTCCATGAAATAAACCATCCAGCTATTGGAGACCCCCAAATGACCATGGAAATTTCCCCAGATGCTGCCACTCCCCAGGAGTTCAGGCTTCAGCTTAACAGAGCTTCGTACCGCAGGCTTTTCTGCAGCGGGGCTGCGGGAGGCAAACCGATTCCGGGATGCGATGGGGATGCCAGGGATGCCGGGGACTTTTTTGGGAATTCACCATCAACAAATACGGATGGTTTCATGTGATTTCGCCAGAAAAAATGTGATTTTATGGGATTTAATGGCGATATACCAAAGATGGTTGGGTTAAAATCAGGATCCATGATTTGTTGGCAATGGAGGGTTATTATAGTATCTATTTTAGGTGTTTGGATAATACCTGGATTTTGATGGTTTCTGATGGCTTTAAGCCCATCCAGATCTTGATGCTTGGTGAAACTTTGCAGAAATAATGAACTTTGAAGCATCAAAATGGGGGCAAGCCTTGCAACTTTCTTCGGTACACTCTTCAAGGTTCTTAAACCAACCGCGGGAAGATTTGGAAATTCGAATTTGCTCAAATGCGCTGGGATGATGCTTCTGGGTATGGAAACTAATGGATGAGCTGGGCAAACCCGTTGGTGAAGGGTAGGTGACTAGCTGACTTTTGATTTCTTGATGAAGGAACCCATTCTCCTGCTAGAAACTAACTTGTTTGAAGGATGTTGAACTAACTTTTTTGTTGGAAGAAGCATTTTCATATTGGACACATTGGATGTTGTCATCAGATTCCACAGCCCAGGTGGGTCTCATGTCAACCCTTGTCGTGGGTTGACAGTTTGTAAAAAGTAGCTAACATGCGCCAGTGGCAAATTTCACCGACTCTTTTCCTACAGCGTCTTAGTGTATAGGTTTCTCCTTTTTTCATGGGGTCAAGGACCCAAAAAAAGATGAAAACAAAAAATGTCTGCTTACCTGGTTGCGTAGCCTAGGAAAGATGCACGGCTGCTTGAGCATGGGAGACTTTACACTCCTGCCACAGATCACCAAAGGCCGGGACAGGATCGCAATACCTTTGCTAATCACACATGGCACATGAAAGTCCCCAGCTGGTTGGTGGTTTGGAACATGTTTATTTTTCCATATTATTTTTCCATATATTGGGAATGTCGTCTCATCCCAACTGACGAACTCCATCATTTTTCAGAGGGGTAGGGCTCAACCACCAACCCGGTATTTTTCCATTGCCCGTGTGCCGGAAGGCAACCCGATTTTTTCTGTGATCCAAGACCTTCCACCAGGGTTTTTGATCAGGGAAAAATCCACGATGTTTGCAGGGTGAACGGTGAATGGTTTTTGTATGTAGAGATCTTCCCTGCATAGTGGCGGCAGTTTTTGTTTTGCCCATTCACCTCTAAGTTGGTGACAATCCTTTTTCGCAGCCAGTTCCAATGGCCTATCTGTTCATTTACTGAACTTTAGTTCCACCAGCTGTGAATACCCCCAAACTGAATTTATTTTTGTTGAAGTACCGGTATCCCAACAACATCCACTTCCTCATCTTTTTGTCGATGCACCCTCGACGGCACAGGAACTTTAAAGACGTGGACCACGGAGAAATCGCAGGACGCCGCGCTGGGAGTTGGACCTGGGTTCCATCAGAACTGCCGCGATTTTCACGCGAAGAAGCCACAGGAGATGCTGAACATCCAGCGTCTCACAATGACTCCCCTGATCCGCGAAGCCACCGATGGACGTGGCACTGCGAAGTTTGCGCCCCTGTGCCGCCTGGCTGTTGAGGATGTCGTCTTTGTGTGCCCCGAAACCATGGTGAAATGTCTCGAAATGGTGATTTGAGCGGTATTATATAGATAAGAGAATAATAACAATAAAAATAGCGATAATGCAATAATAATGGTAATAATAAGAGTAATAAGAGTTACACTCATACATGTTAATTTGTGTTACCTGTCATGTTAACCTCATGGAAAAGGTATAACAACTTATCCAAGTGATCTAACTTATGGCATTGGTGACCAACCATTGTTGATGGCAATGAGGTGTCAATGTGATATAACTTATAGCCAGCAATCATGGAAATTGTGTCAAACTGGAAGTCTTGATCAGGATGATTTTGATCACTACCTCACCGACATATCACTGGAACGCTGGGGATTGTAAGGGAAATCATCTCCAAAATGACCTTACTTCAGGCTGGTGAAGTACTTAAATTCAGCCGTTTTAGTGCAGCTGCGATACTCCATGGGATTTTTTAGGGGCTATCGATGCGATATCATCAGCAATAAACATGTTGTCCAAACCATTGGATGGTGCCTGAGAAAGTCACCCCACTGCCCCGCTGGAGCACCGGAGTTTGTTGTTTCAAATTTCAAATCTTTCAAGCCATTGATTCTATTGGAGTGGTTCTGATTTTTAGATTGTCTGAGATTCATTTCTTAGATGGTTTTAAAGTCAGTAGCTGTCAGTATCTGACTTGTGTGCACCACACCATGTTTTAGTATGTTTTAACACGCGTACAGTTGTCCCCAAAAAGATGGAAGTACGCAAAATCCCATTGAAATGGTGATGAATCATGATGAATCGAACCTTTTCTGCATCAAAATGGTGGTTTTTTAATACGCTCCAGGTCGAGCCTTTAGCCGAAGTATGCCATCCTTCAAGGGGGAGATCGCCTGGTAGACTGAGGCTGGTGATGATTTTTTCGTTGGTTGCTGGTGTTTTCCCCTGTACTGTCACAGTTTGCGAACTGGAAAATCACCATTTAAACAAGGTACATCATCGAAATACATGGGCCATAGTGAACTGCTAGTATACTGGGGGGTAGGTGATTTCTTGTAAAATAATGTTGGCCCTACAATATTGAATGTTGCGATGGTGATCCAGAAGTTTGCAAACAGTTGGTTTTGTGATATGAGCTTGTTCCAAAATCTACAATCTGGCATACCCCGATGTGTGTTGGCCATCAAACAATGGGATGAATGGTTTTTGGGAATGGATATGTTTGGACAAATCGTGACAAAGCAACAAGTCCTTAGTGGTAACCAACCAGAAATACTGGGCTTTTCCGACTGGATTTTTGTGGTAGGTACAACCAGGAATATCGGAATATCTAAGTAAATCCGCTGGTGAGGGGCAGTTGAACAAGTTTTTTCTATGTTGACAATGATATCGTTCATACCCAGCTATTTTCGCCGCTTGGAATCTCAAGAAATTGGCACCGCCTTTGGGTTGCTCAGATTTAGGGCTTCTGCTCGGTGCTGTGCCATAAATGGAGGAATAGATAAAGATACCCTCCCAAAATTAAGGTAGACCCTCAAAAAAAACATTTTTTAGTAGAAACTAATCTTCCAACCCCAATTTGAGATTGTACAATTTTTGTCAGACAATTTCTGTTTGGAATCTTATATGATCTGTGTTAGCATCAACATGGGAGCGTGCAAAAGCTTATATCAATTTGAAATGGAAATGGCCCCAAGGTCTACAAAGGAATGACTTGTCGCTGTCATGCTCAAATCCTCATTGGTGTTTCGATTGGAGCCCGTACATCCGCTGCACAGGAACTGGCTTGGGAACCTGCCGTGCAGGGCACAGATGGGTGCAGGGTGCAGGTGTTTTTGCTTTAACTTTTTCTGCCTGGGTGCATCTCAGCCTGGCTGTTGGTTTCAGATTGTTTTTCTGCGCAGTTGTTGTGTTTTTGATTGAATCCCTCTCAACTGCATGGGCTCCAAATGTTTTGTTTTACCGCGAAGTGGAAAACCTGCGAGTTCTAGGGGTCAATATGGTCAATCCGACTGTAATGTGTAATAATTACATAAAATGATTATAATATGTGTCATTTGTCATTTATGGTCGCTTTGCGGGACCACCAGCCAGCAAGCTGAAGCCCCTCCAACTCCAGCAACTGACCTGGAACTTCGTGGAGGGCCACTTTTGAAACCCAAAGGCACGGTATGGCACGGTTACAATCCCAAAGGGCTGCCCAAGCATCCCAATCTGTGAATGCAGATAGTCAAGGATAGTCAATTGTTTGATTCATTTTGTTTGTAACACTGCTTTACCAACATGATGAAGTTGGTGCAGTATGGTGCATTGTTGACTTTGGGAAACCTTGGGATCGTTTTCCATCTGCAAGTTCCGCAACACGATGGTCCCATAAAAATTGGGAACAGACAGGGCCGGGTGGTAGCTCCACACATTCAGGGAAGCCAAGAGGGCAAGGTCGAACTTGCAGCATTGCGATCTAGAAGATTATCTGGTGACATGTGCATGCATGCATGCATGCATACATACCTACATACATTGCATTGCATCGCATTGCATTACATTGCATTGCGTTACATTACATACTTACATAAATACATTATATATATATATATATTATATATATATATTATATTATATATATACCCATGCATTGAGTTTGGCAGGCTTGGGTGTGCATGTATTATCTTTAAGTGAGCCAATGAATGCTATCATTTTGGCTCAAGTGGGGTTGAACCAAATTAGCATTCATTGTTTTTCTTTCTCGGTCTGGTAAGGGGTGACCTTCCTAGACCTTGATTGTTTCCAGGGGTGACCTGGTGGGTAGCAAGGGGTGACCTTGCATGCAGCGTAAGCTCCCAGGGATTGACATCCCGGCGGCCACTGAGGCGAAGATCCTTCATGCCGCTGCTTTCCTGGAGTTCAAGAAGCACGTTGAGAGGCTGGCAAGGGAAGGGTCAGATCTGGCAGCCTACACTTGCTGGATGCATGGGGTCGAAGTTTGTCACTCCCCCTATGTTATGGCCACAGGGACCGATTCTGACCTGTTTCCCCCTTTGCCCAAGATGCCCTGTTGCGTGGAGAACTGCGAACGCTGCGCAGCCCACTTTAGAGGTTCAAGTTCCCCTGGCTCGGGCTTTGCAACAGCCGAGGCGTCGTGTTGCCGCCAGATGTGGCTCCCAACGAAGCTTAGGACTATACTACAGGCATCAGGAGAAGATGGACCTGCTGTTGTTGGTGGCGGCCTACACCAACTTTACGACAGGCAGCCGACTTGGTGCCACAGGAGCTCTATGCCTTGCAGCTCAGGTGCTCAGCGGGTGACGCTGGGCAGCTGTGCATGAGTGAACTCTTCGACCAATGGCGAACCTGGCTGGCTTGCATCGGCAGTGGCCAATTTTGTGGAGCCGCGATCTTACCCGACTGCTCCCAGGGGGCGACCCTGGCCAGCCTGGGGGCAAGCAGGAGCTCGAGCTCATCGGGCGCTCTGCAGCTAATTGGCGCTCGCATTTTGCAGTTGGGGACGGCCTGCACTGACTGCGGTGATCCCACAAGGCGCGTCTGCTGGGCATGCTGCGTGGGATTGTGTAGCACCTGCTTCACTTGGAGGCAGCCCTGTGGGCATTGTGGAGAGCGTCGGAAGATGCTTTCAGACTATGGCAGCCTGCTGAAACCCACATCGCCCAGTTGGAGCTCTCTATGGTGTTGTATGCCTTGGTCGACGAGCCCAGGGTTACTGGGAGTACGTTCAGAGCAAGAGCAACTGGGCCGATAACATCAGTAGACTAGGTGTCAATGATCCTTCGTGGCGCTGCCATGGATTCAATTTTTATTCGTCGTACCTTCCCACTATCCTTTTCCAGCTGCCTTTCGCAGCAGTCATCCTCACCTTTGAATTCCTTTAGTGCTTTGGGAGTTTTAGTGCGCTGGGTGATACCTGCAAGAGCAGGTTCCAACCTGGGGTGACCAGGTAGCTGACTAGTGGTGAAACTGGTCTGGGGACCCAAAGCAAACCTGAGGATTGCAGGTGAAACTGACTTACACTGGCAGAGCTGGGTAAAAAGGGATGCGAGTGTCCGTGCGGTACGGAGTTCATATGTCACTTTGAGATGTACCCATGCATTGAGTTTGGCAGGCTTGTGTGTGTGTGCATGAATCATGGGGTTAAGTGAGCCAATGAATGCTATCATTTTGGCTCAAGTGGAGTTAAACCAAAATAGCATTCATTGTTTTTCTTTCCCCACCCACCCAACCCTAAGAGCCGACCTCCCGTGGAGATGTCCGCCTAGGTAAGGGTGCCTGCTTGGCAGGCGAGTACATAGCCTCTTTTTGGGGACACTCTCTTGGGGTGACCAAGAGAGTGCTAGCCCCCCTTAGGTTAAGGGATGGGTGATACCTGCAAGAGCAGGCTCCAACCTGGGGTGACCAGGTAGCTGACCAGTTGTGAAATTGCTCTGGGGCTATGTACGTGTCACACAGTGACGACCCAAAGCAAACCTGAGGATTGCAGGTGAAACTGACTTACACTGGCAGAGCTGGGTAAAAAGGGATGCGAGTGTCAGTGCGGTACGGAGTTCATATGTCACTTTGAGATGTATGTATATATATATATATATATCATGTACATATTCATGCACATATACATTTACATTTGCATATACATATACATATACAGTATTTACATATACATATGCATGCACATATGCACGTTCATATTGATGTTTCAGGATCCTGTTTCTAAATGTTAATGTCACGGGGCTAGCCGCATCGACAGAAATTGCAGATGGCTGGTGAACCAAAGCTGGTGCCGAGAAACGCCCCACGTGGCGCGCTGTTCGAAGCTACAAGCACCTGGCAAACTAATCAGGCAAAAGAAATTCTCATTTATGATCATTTATGTAACTTGATGATGTTCCCACAAAAACACGGAAAAACATCGGATTACTGTATATTGTTCTATTCTTTCGATGTATATTGCTTGGGATTCTCCAGAGTTTGGAAAAAGGAGGAAGCTGATCAACAGGTATCAACCACATGGAACTTCGCACCAGGAAGCCCAGGGAGCCTCACAACCCAAAATCTGCCAAGCAGTCGCTTGGGTTGTGAGGCTCGGGAACGCGCAGCGATGGCGGAAATTTCGGAAAGCCATCCTGACTGGTTGGTGGTTTCCAGCACTGAGCAGAGTCCAGTAGATTTGCAGGTCAAGGATTTCACTGCCAACCAGCTGGTTTGGTGCCCTTGGACCTATCCGATTGGGCGCAACTTGACTCAAACCATTGTGCCACAGCTGATGGGCTGGCAATGGTTGGGCAAATTAGAGAAGCAGGACACGGAAAGCCCGCAGCACGTCGTCCTCAGCCGAAGTGGAGGTGGCTGGCACCACTTACTTTGGAGAGTGACCTCGTAGTTTTGTTCATATCTTGTTGAAGGGATTGACCCCTTGGATTTCATGGTGATGAATCTGCAACGGCTCACAGTTGGAATTGGGGACCGATTTGATGGGGTTCATCTCACCTGAAAGTGCCGAAAGGATCCACGAGGTAGAATTACCATGTTCAAAAGTTAGATTAGATTTCCATGTTGGTGGATGTTCATAGCTGCATGACAGTTGGAATTTCTTCTGGCCAACATCAGGATTCCCAGAAGCTATGGGATGACCATAGCTGCGAGGTTCCTGTCCTGCAGAATAGCTGCGACAACAAGCAGTCATGGAAGACCTCAACCACTCCGTGACGTGGAACGCCACCAGTTGGTTCATGTAGGTGCTATATCTTATTTGAATGGCGGTTTCATTCATGTGCGTTATCATCATATATTCCCTCAACCCGTTTAAATTATATAAGATTATTCAAAATAGTTTTCAGAAGCAATGAAACCACTACACCTCCTAGCCCATTCGTCACATACAAGTCATTTGGCGTGCCAAAAAGAGACTGCATTCACGACCGGCCAAGACGTTTGCAGATTGATGGCACGGATCCCAACCGACCTGATTTGCAGCTTCCATTAGCTGATTTTTTTTGAGCTCCCCACTGGGAATTTCACGCTTGTAGTATGTTGTATTTCACGATGGATATAGGTGGGTGTAGTATCAGGATGTATCAGATGACAAGCATGCATGTTTTCATCATGTGTTTGCCTGATTTGCCTGTGTTTCTATGTGTTCGCCTGTTTGTCTATCTGTATTTCCTCCATCGTGGCAAAATGTTGTAAATCCCTCTAAAGGCTAGCTGCATCCGATTTGACTAGCCCTGGCTATTTGGGGAGAATACCATGTACTTATTTTTCCCATGTATGTTCTTTTGGAATATCGCCAAATTCGACCAATGGCAAGGTGCATAAATAATGTCACGAACCCGTTTTTTACCGGCAAAGAGACTTCTCATCCCATCTCATCCTGCATTGGCCAACCCAAGCTGTTTCTTTGGGGTGGGTCAGCAGTTGGCTCAAGAGACAGCCACAGCCCGGCTTCACAAGACGGCCGCGCGTAGAGCCAGGCTGTGGGATCCCGCAGGGTACCACCTGGGTTACTTCATGGAATCGCAAGCGGGGCAAGAAAAATGTTGGAGCACCAGAATGAGTTGGATATGATATGCCTTCAAAGAAAAGATACCCAGACCCTCCAAGCACCTAGGCGATATTTCGCCATTGGCTATTGGCATTTTCATAGCCATTGGCTGACCAGGACTTGGATTACGTCATGGCGTCCTTCGGGTTGGCCGGCGCCTCAGGGAAGCCTTTTGGGAAGCCACGGAAGCTGGGAACCCAAGGGCTTCGATTCGGGGTTCAAGTTACCATGTTAATTGAATGTCTTTGAAATCAGGTACTTTCTTATAAAATCTTATAAACAACAAGATCAGCATATATCAACATCATGTCACATAGAAAATTGTGGAAAGTGATATATATATATTGTCACTTGCAGACGGTGGATGTTCCATTGCCTTGTTGTGCATTGTTTCGATTGCCAAAAAGTACCCTTGCTGGTTGATGGTTTCGTTCATTTCCCTTGGATGTCCGACTGCGTGTTAAAGTGGCTTGGATGTTTGTTCCAAGGTTCCGTTTGTGCATGGGATGACCAAAGGATCACCGAAGTCATTCTTGTATCTCCATGTTTTCGATGTTGTCTCTAAGTGACTGATGGACCCATATGTTTCTAACTGGCACATCTGAAAACCATAAAGGGCCGGTGCCATCGCTACATGTCTGCGGATGTCATTTCCACGCGGCAGCTTTTTGTGCCACGATTTGGACAATCTTTGGATCTGAGAGGTGCCCCATTTTTGGCCAAACCTACCCGGCCTGGGAAACATACAAAAAGCTATAGAAAATGGCCCATATATAGTTGATTTAGCTATTAAAGATGGTGATTTTCCATAGCTATGTTAAATTACCAGATGGTATTTGTGCTTCAAAGGGTTTCTATTTGAAAAGCACGGGCCCTTTTTCCCAGCCATGATAGCTTCAGTTCACCATGGGGCGACAGATCCTTTGCACCGATGAGAAACCATGAGAAACCGATATGTAAACCAGATTTTGACGGGATGAATGATCCCCACAAATGATCACAAATGCCACTCATGTTCGTAGAAGCAATGTCATGAACGGCCCATATTTGGATGGTTTATACCACCCCTGTATGGGGAATTGGGGATGGTTTTCTATTACTTTACTAGCATTATTGCGTGGCATCGAACATTAGCATGCAATGTCCCAACAACCAGGTGGCGAATGATCCCGGGAAAGAGGAAAGCGAATGGCACGAGACCTACCGAGTCCTTTCCTTACTCGCAGCCGCGCCGGGATTTGAACAAAGTCGGCTGGAGGGGTCACTGGTCCAACTGCGTTTTGCCACCAACCTGGATTTTATTTTTGTTGGGACTGGTTTGGGGGCGTTCCGATCCACTTCGATGAGAGCTCCAAGCCTGATCCAATTGCCTTTGGGTGGGACCGCCACAGGTTAGAGTTTGAGATAGTTTGAGTTTTATGAAATATGATATTGACATATATTGACATTATATTGACATATATTGACTTTATGGTTTCAATTCTTATCTCCCATGTTCGTTGAAGTTTTGGGAACTGGAACTGGGTTCACCTCCAGGATTTCGTGAAGAACATGTACCGCACATCCTACAACGATATGGCGCGCAACCAGGAGGCCGGATGACATCCGGATGGCATCCTGTTTCTTGCAGCTCCTAACATGGTGGATATGTCGAAACAGTGGTAACTTGCAATCCAATGGTCCAAAAAAAACAGAGGAAAAGGGGGGGGCTATCCAGATGTTGCCATGTTTTATTTATATTTATCCATATTTGTCCAGTGTACAAAATTATATAAGAGGGTAACATGTAACATGGCTAGTGCCCGCATAGAATTTCCAGGGCGTGCGTCGAAGTACTCCATCATGTTTTGTTTGGTTGGAACAGGGGATTGTCATTTGATTTGCGCTTCAAATATCGTGTCAGTCTCATGCCTCATCTAGATTCATTTAGGAGTTTAGCTGAGTGACCCACACATGATACATTAATGTACATTATGTATTGACTCATTGACCTTTTAGTATGTTCCTGCCCGTTGACCGTGCGATCCAAGTCGCATGGGCGATCATTTGTTTGACCGAGATGGACAAGACACCTTACAAAGTTTTCCCCCCGATCGGATACCAATTTTCAGATTTTTGTCCAAAGCATTCCAAAAGGGTGGATCATAACTTGTGGAGTTTTCTTTGTATGTCTTTATTTGTTCAGATTCTGAAAAGATCTTTGGTTGGAAGCGTCAAACCATCACGTTCGCAGATTGCACTGCAGGTGCACGTCAAAAGCGATATGCCGTCCGGTTTCGGAGGTTAGGACATTGGGAATTTGGGATGCTGACCTGCGAAAAAGGGATGAACTAATCATCTATTTATCCTTGTGGAAGGGGATGGGTATGACTCTTGCAAAACAGAACCACCTAATATGGAATGTAATGGGAATCTAATGGGAATGTAATGGGAATGTACTGGGAATATAGCCATAAGCTCTGGCTGATGATTTCAAGTAATGTTTTAGGTCTAGACATGTTTCAAGCTTTTCTTTGCATCCCAACGAAGTAACCGATTTTTGGGAGTGACGCAACCACCGCATCAGCGGAGGTCATGTGCCATCGGTGCGCCACGACATCCTCTTCCGCAACACTGCGTCGGGGGAGCCCGAGGGCCACGTGATGTGAAGAATGTGGAACCAACCGACATGGATATCTTAGCATATCTTGGCTACAAAAGCAAGTTTTCATCATACAATTACCAAGGGAAACAGGTAGAATCTTTCCCCATTCCGCCAATCTTCAATTTCACTGGATGGGCTGTGAAAGATGAATCTCAAACCCAGGGTCCCAGAGGATTTTCCCCGTGTCCCACGTCAATCAACCACAAAGTGAGCTAATTAGCCAAGTGGACGACAAAGTGCCTAGGAAAGTTCTTGCACGTGCCATCAGTGAAGGCCATCCCAACAGTGGCCCTTAATAGCTCCATATAGATGTCAAATTGTGTTTATAACCCGTAGTATCACCAAATTCCATGGTTTTGAAAAATGCTTAACACCATAAAATGGTCATTAAATTACCATGCTGTCCAATGGGCACAGCACCCGATTTTCAGACATTATGATGGCAATTCATTTTGGGAAAAATCCCCATAGTTCTTAGTCGCGCTGACGATATCTTCATATGTCCTATTCCAGCAGGCGGACAGCAATCCCATGTCAGTAGATGTCAGTGGTGATGTCGCAGTGACTGGGCTCTCAGGTATAAAAATTGCACGTCTCTCGTGAAAACCCATTTGATGTTGGCTTAAATCAACATGTTTTCCATGCGCTACAGCTCTTATTTTGGCCCAGGATCACCCAGTGGTTTCCCGTTGACAGATGATGAAGTTTAGATGCCAGGATCCCCCAGTTTAGGACATCCCAATTTGATGTTGGCAATGTCACCATCAAACCCACCAGTTTGAGCACCCGTCATTTCACCAAGGTTCGATCGAGCACAAGAGGCACTGCGCACTGATCCCAACCGCGGCTTGGCCACGGGCGGGTTCTATGGGTTGTCCGGATGACACCTTGGGAGATTTTCCAAGTAATGGATGATCTTGGGGATATATCAACCATAATAGGGATATAATGGGGATTTTATGGAAAATACCCTCTGGTAAACGTTTACATAACTATGGAAATCACCATTTTTAATGGATAAATCAACTATTTCTATGGCCATTTTCAATAGCTTTTTGTATGTTTACCAGAGGGTAGAACAAGTTGGATTCTGGGACCTTTCACGTAGGTTGGAAATGGTTGGATTCAGAACTGGTTTTGACTATACAATCCAATGGCGATGGCACACATTCAAAATAGGATATAGTAATACTGAGTCAGAACTATAAGGCTGTAGCTGAGCTTGGTATAGCTAGCACAAAATTACAATATGATTTTAACCATTGCGAGTATCATGGTAGGATCAGCTTGGACGCTTTTCCATCTAATGATCTCAAATTTGAAAGTGTCAATCTACCTTCTTCCTTACGTTTTTTTGCAGCATTCCAAGTATCTTTGCCGGTCACAACTCACATGGGATAGTACCACGCAACGCAGGCTGCGACCGAGCCCTGTCAAGAATGTGTCCATTGCAGGTCCCAAAAAGGTCCCCTTGAATGGTTCACACAGCTGTCGTGTTTAGAAGTCCCTTGCAGAGGGTTTTTCTTACCGCATGTGGATATGCTGTCAAAAGGACAACTTTCTTACAACCTGAGTTTGATTTCCTCATGGGCCATCATGGGCCATCATGATCCTTTTTGCCGATCACATCTCTTTCCAAACAACTCTTTCCATCTGTGATTTGCAGCTGTTCACCCGATTATCCAAGGTGATGCACGACCTTCCTTCGAGGCCCGGCGGTTGAGAGATCGAATCTTTATGAATCTCGAAGGTATCCTAGTGTCCACCACAATCCCAAAGAAGGCATGGGATTGTCCAAGTACAAATTGTCCAGAGATAGTTTTTGATGTTGAATTTTGAAAAGGGGCGCTTTCTCTCTATGCAGTATTTTTTTTCGTTTGTTTCTATCCCTTGGAAACATCTCCGGGGTCACCCACATGAACCCACTAGATAGGGTAAAAACTTTCATCCTCATAGCAGGTGAGCACTGATCAGCTGAAACCCAAAATGTCTACCCTCTGGTAATCAAACGTGGCTGGCTGGAAAGTCCTCCAATTCTAGATGATTTTCCCAGCTACAAACCTTTATTGATCCGGGATTTTCCAGTGCCACGTCCCTTTTTCATGCTCAACTACCGCTGTGGCTTCAAGATGCCACAATGCTTTCTATTGAGACCCACAGTTTATTCATCCTTAATTAAAACCCCTTATAATTGACAACTATTGACAATCAACCTATACCCTAATCTTTGCTAGTTAATTTCCAATGTATATTAACTGAATGCCTTTTTCTTAATCTCCTCATGTTTGTTGGTTGAATTCTCCATCTTCACTGGTTTTTTCTCACAGCTCCGTATCGGAGAGGACCACATTGCGGGCATCCCCACCACGCCGCTGCCACGTGGCGCACGCAAACCACCAAGCTATGGGGTGGTTCCACATGATGCTTGGCGAGAAGAAGGGCTGAGTTATGAAGACATGAAGAAAATGTGTGGGTTTGTTTTTGGTGATGATTATACATGACCTATGGTGATTATCAATGGGATAACGATTTCTGATGATTTCTGGTTCTAAATGATGTCTGGTCATAAAAGTTTTATGGTGAAATTATTTGTGGGATCTGTTTACCCCTTTAATTTTGTTTTGTCGAATCTTGTGTGCATATGTTTTCCCTGGCCTCTGTAAGAATATTCTGGTGCTATTTCCGGGAATAATTCTTAATTAACGATTTTTGGGATGATTGTGATAACTTCAATAATTGGTTGGATGATGATTGTTTATTGGTATTAATGATGACTTATGGTGACTACAGATGGAATTATACAACCAGTAATTTGGGATTGTTTCTGAATATCTATGATAAAATATGGAGGTCTATGAGCCTATTGGGGGCTCATGGAAGTTGATGGATTTGTTCATCTGGGTCTGTCTGAAAATGCGGTTGCTTCCAAGTTAATTAGGGCCATGAAATACTGAGCAGAGGATTTAAGGGTACCTCCTCGGACAGATCTAGTTTGTGTGGATGGTAGTTGCAGACGTATGTGTTAGTTCTTGAAGCCCATTCGTGATGATCCCAGCTGGCCAACATGAACTGCTGGGGTGTTGATTGTCACATACGCGGATTCTGGGACTGAGTTTGTACTCCGTTGGCACAAGATCCCCGAGCTTGTTGCCAGCTTAGGTGATCCGAGAGTATTGTCCTTCGTTTCCCAAATCATTTTGTACTCTAATGTCCACCTGAATTTGTTTGAAAATAAGGTATCCCAAGATTTGGTGCTTCATCATCTTCCATAGCGTATACCCCGGTTTCAGAGACACCCAGACTCTGCAGGTCACCTTCAAGGCCGGCCGTCTCTGCTTCGCTTGTCGCCAAGGACGGAACGACCACCATGTTGAAGCCTCCGTGGGGCGTGATCACCACCCGCAACTTCCCTCTGAGTCCGGGACCCCGGGACACCGGTGGCAGTGGAGAATAGGTAAGCGGCAAGAACCAAGAGACATGGCAGATTTTTGTGGGGACCCTTCCCTTTGGTCATCACCACTTAATATCCATTTAGACCAGTGTTGGAGGGAGGCCTTTGAGGACATAGATGCCATCTATTATGGAACTGACATGAGTTTGAGATAGTTTGAGATAGTTTGAGTTTGTACGGGGGGTTGCCATTTTTTATATATGCCACTGTTCATTGAGAAAATGAACTTTAAACCAGAGGATTTTGAGAAATCCTATCTTCAGGCGGCACTGAAATCATGACTGAATGTTCATCATTGTGAATCATTGTGGGAGGGCGCCCCTTGTGCCTAAGGAATCCGGAAACTTATCTCGCCACCAGTCAGGATCTTTCCATGCGGGCCCCTGATTTCAAGTGATTTTTGTTGGCCTTGGTGCTGGTCCCAAATTCCGTGCAGAAATTCCAGGTTGATAATGGTAATAATCATAACCGAAACCAATCCGGAATTTTATGATGATCTCGCTCAATCCCTCCATATGTTCTATGATTGTATGTTCCCATGTCTTGATTCTTCCATGTTCTGATGCAAAACTTCGACTCACGGCTCGTTTCCGCTATAGGGAGCATGTTTTCTATCCTACACTGATGGGTTCAAAGCACCAAAAAATGGAAAGTCTCAGAAACTGGTCGCTGGTTTGGAACATTTTTTATTTTCCATAATATATGGGATAATCCTTCCATAATATATGGAGTATATGGTTAAGTTATATATATATTAATATATGGGGTGTCATCCTTCCCATTGACGAACTCCATCATTTTTCAAGATGGTTATTGCACCACCAACCAGATGAACTTCTCATATTTTCTCCAGAATTTCAATGAATTTCTAGGCCATCGCTGCCCACCCCCAACCATGGTCCGGAGCTTAGCACCTCCAGTGGGAAATCTGGGATGACTTATGGTTGGTCAGTGATCATGCCATTCCCAAGAAGAACGTGGTTTCATGTGGTTTCCTTTTCTTGCGTTTTCTTGGCCCCTTTTTTCTTATATATATAGATATAGATATAGATATAGATATAGGTATATATATGTGTGTGTGCGTGTGTATCTAGATGTATTTATTTGGGGGGTTATCGTTTGCAGGAGTAAGTCATCGAATTTCAGTGGGCTTTGTCCAATGTCACAACGCCAGTGGGATGTCACAACTGCTGGCGTATATGCACACAATATACTCAGCGTAATGTTTACACATAAATTCGGTAAATGCCCAGCATTTGTATAGATAGATAGATAGATAGATCGATAGATAGATCGATTGATCGATCGATAGGTAGGGAGATAGGGAGATAGGGTAGATCAAGGATGCTGCCATGATTGCCGGCCACAGTTGGGATGCAAAAAAGAAGCACAAGAGGACCGAATTGGAACAACAGAATTGGAACGTCAAACGGTCAATTGTTCTCCCAGAAATGGCCAGGGTTGCCCGACCTCCAGGCGATAAATTTCACCAGTATTTACACCAAATGCTACTTCCAGACTAAGACTGCAAACTTGTTTGGTCCAGATTTTCCCATGTATTGCTGCTTATTTTCCAGTGACTTAAGGCAATGGGAAACCTTTAATTAACATATGGGTTTCAGCATCTTATCAGGATTGTAGATTTCCCAGCCAGCCATGTTTGTTTACCAAAAGTTGTCCAAAACTTCTTCCTGGTAATATGTCATTCCCAATTTTGACCACAGGTTCTTCTAGTAGATGTATTTTTGCCCTGCTGAATTCCTATGTGTTGCGGGACATTCCTATTTCTTGCCCGATCCACACGTCTTGCACACTCATTTTGCTGGCTGAATCACCATTGCTGAAATCTTTGGGTCATCCAGGCTGGCCGTTCACCTGTCAGGCTGAGGGCACATCACGTCTGTCCACAGTGCGATAGCCCAGTGACACCCTGTGCCATGAGTACCAGGTGGTTCTGGGATACATGAACCTAGCCGACCCGTCGCCCCGTAAATGGTCCGATCTGCGGTTTATTTGCGCCAGCTTTATGATTTTCCAACAAATCAGGGAGCCACATGCTGGCCCCAATTTTGGTGCATGTGAACCATCTCTCCAAGTCGTGCATATGCCACATCCATGATATTCACCCCACAATGATTGGAGCAAGAGCCCTTTGTTTCCTTGCCATTTGGCAAATTGTCCATTTTAAGAGGTTTTAAATATGACATAAGCTTGGACGGTTTTTGGACATGACTGTCCCAATGCGGGGGCGACGTCTATATTTTCAGTGGGACACTTCACCGCCACTCCTCTCAGCAAACAGTCCCAGGAACGCTTCAATCGAACCACTCCAGGCAGGGATTTTCGATGATCCTAGGTCTTCGGCATACAAGTTTCATCGGGAAATAAACATTTATTGAATCTCCATTGGTTAAACTTGCCAGGCGTGACACAATTGACGGCAATGATCGAAACACCGATTCTGTTTTAACCATGCAGGCTACACAACATCAATCCACGAATGTATCACGTCCGTTGAATCCTCGTTGTTTATTGGTGATATGCCCATGGCATCCCGTTCTTGACCTATGCCTGAGGTGGTTTCGGCAACTTTGGAACTCCCCGTTGAAGGCATGGCGTGCGATTGCAGGACTGGGGAGGCTTGGGCGGGAATTATCAGGATGAAATAAGGCACATCTATAGACAGATGTGGTAGCCGCGGGGCCCATCATTGCTGGTAGAGCTCTAAAAGGCAAATCAGAACACCCAGCTACTGCAAATTTCAGGAGCTGGGGTGAACATGATATCATGATTTCTAGGGACCTCATCGTTCAGTCAGTCCTGAGTTTGTGGGGGGCTAAGGCTGCTCCGGTCAAATCGGTAAAGCCCATGCACATGCTGAGATCCACCATATATTTGCCGTTTCGAAGGCTTTTCATTACTGGGCGCAGTCCCACTTGACCACGGGCAAAAGTAGCCAAGTATTTGACAGTATGTGTGTCAATTTCTTAGATGGTTTCCAACAATCTTCAGTTGTGTTGATGTCAGATCTCAATAGTCCATATGACTTGACTGCCCCCTGGCGTCAATCTATGGCCACATCAGCTTGCAGCTGTTCTGCCGCAGGATCGTAAGAAAGTGAGCCACAAAGGCCAAGTGTCACTGCCAGGCGAGGCCGGTTGGATGGACCAACAGACGTTGTTAGTTAGTTTGTCAGGCCCTCTCATGTTTCCAGTCAAAATCTTGTTGAGCGCAATTTTTCCATATCCAAGCCAATGGAATCTGCAGCCGGTATTTTCTGGTGACCTGAAGCGGAGAAAAAACGCAAATTCCGACCTGTTGTCGCGAGCAATCTTCAGATTGAGTCATGCTTCCTACGAAATCCGTCCTGTTGGCAGATTTGCTGGGTGGTCGTTGAAGTGAGTGGTGCTGGTGAAGTCATTGAATGGCTTTGAGGGAAAATGCTTGATGGAAAGATTTTGGACATATCAGGACCAAACAGACATACTCTGTGAAGCAACATCCGAAATCCTTCCCTGTAGATTTTCTCTTGAATCATCCAATTGATAAAGTCGTTTTTCCAGGAACATCCTGAAGATTCACCTTCACTTGCCGTGTTTTGACCTGTTGCGTCCTCAGATACTGCGCCACATACCCCGGGTCGACTGGAAACGAGTTGTTTCTACTCAGGTCAATCAGGTTAACAGGGGGGCAGGTTCCAAACGACATAGATGTTAGCATCTGGTTATGACTAACATAGCTATGGAAAATCTATGATAAATGGAGGTTTTAATGGGAAAATCATCTGTAAATTGGCCATTTTCCATAGCTATGTTAAATAACCAGAGGGTAGCTCCTGAAGCATTTTTTCTGCAGGTGACAGACGGTGAAAAAGGACATTGTTTTAACAAGTGCGGCATTTCAGTTTCAAGAAGTTTTGTGCGGAGTTCCGTTCTGAGGCGGAAATTGCAGATATGATCGAATTGGAGATCAATTCGAGAAAGTTAAACTGTGTATGATAAACTTCAGATTCACGATGCGCACGGCTTTTGTAAACAGGAAGGCAATTAATTAATCCTCGCCTTTGTTCGTCACTGAATCAACTGAATTTTGTTCAAATCACTGAATCAACTGTTCGCTATCAATTTGCAGATGACAACGCCAGGAATTTCTGCTCCATGCCAAGCGTATCGCGAAATTGTACCCCACCTTGGGGTCTTTGGCATCTTCGTTTCCTGAAGCTCGGTACAGGTCGGTTCGATGCTAGGGCTCTGTCTGCCATGGTCCGGAATGCGAGTCGCTCTCGCTTTCCGATGTCAGTGACTGCAATCATTTGTCGTAACCATTCGTGAAGTGTGCCAAACATTTGTTGCATATTGTTGCAGTGTGTAAACCCTTTCTCATTAATTCGACATCATCATATAAAGATAACCTCCCTCACTAATACGTGTTCACCTCGGATACCAAACTATCGATATTTATATTAAATATTTATTGACTTATTTTAAGATATTAAGATTAATATTAAATTAAAATTGAAATTACCATATATATATTACAATTTTTCAAAATATTGTAATACATATATATAATTTATATTATATTATATTATATTATATTATATTTTATTAAATTATATATATTATATTATGGTATATTATAATATATGATATCATATTATATTATATTATATTATATTATTTTATTTTATTTTATATTATATTATAGTATATTATATTATATTATATTATATTATATGTTATTGTATTATATTTTATTATATTTTATTATAGCTTATTATATTATATTTTGTTTTATTATATTTTATTATAGTTTATTATATTATATTATATTTTATTTTATTTTATTTTATTTTCTTATATTATATGATATTTTATTATATTTTATTATAGCTTATTATATTATATTTTATTTTATTATGTTATATTAAAAGTAAAATAAAGTAGAAAATAAAGTAGAAATTTATATATTATTTTCACATAAATATATAATAGATCTAATTTTCTGTATTGATTTTTTAATGTTCAAATTAAATATATATATATATTATATAAAATGTAAGATGGGTTTTTCTATTGTTTTACACATTGAAATTGGATGGCTAATTTGTCTGGGATTGTTTTCCCATTTTTTTGCATTCTAATCCGCCCTGTGGTGAAGGAAGGAAGGAAGGAAGCCGAAGGAAGCCGAAGGCCCAAGGAAGTGAAAGGAAGCCACAGGAAACCAGAGGAAACCAGAGGAACCTAGAGGAACCCAGAGGAACCCAGAGGAAGGAAGAGGAAGGAAGGAATAATGCTTATTTATACAAATCCTAAGCTAACAATAAATAAATTTAAATTATTTATAAATAATATTTTAATTATAATTAAATAACCCTTAAATTAACCTTAAATAATTTTTAAATTAATTTGAAATATATTTAAATATACCAAATAATTCCTAAATTAATTTTAAATAAATATAAAATAACAAATAATTTAACAAATAATAATTTATATAGATTTATTTATATATATATACATATTTAATGTAATTTTTATATTTATATTTTATACATATAAAAATAGGGTGAAGGCTGGGGGTTTTTCGGAAGTTAATTATATTTTATTTGTATGGATATGGAAAATGTTGATTTTACATTGTATTTTACAGTGTTTTATGTTTTTCTCTGAAAGTGTTTGATTAGCTAAAAATTTAATGTCGGCGCGGATAAATTTGACGTTGTTTATCCGCTTAGAAAAATGATAAATTTACATCTTCTATGGAAGACAAAAAATGTGTGCAATATTCTAATTATTGGAATTGCGGTTTTATTTTTTGGTCGTTTTAATAATAACTAGAAAATATTATAATTTACTGGAGAATTATGGATGAAATGAATATTATACCTTTTTTATCTTTACGTCTACAAAGGCTTTTTGAAATAATTATTTGTAGCGAGATTAACAAAAATACTTACAATGTAACAATATCGTCAACGAAATAACATCCTCAAGGTTTCCACAACTCTGAATCCAACGCGCTCCACATGACGTTATTACACCCCCCCGCCCCCCCCACCCCCCTTCTGTAAACAACAACGATACTTGTAACGTAACAACATCTTCAACGAAGCAATATCCTCAAGATTTCCACAACTCTCAATGCAACGCATTCCACATGACGTTATTACACCCCCCCACCCCTCATCTCTATGCCATAACGACGTTTGTAGTATAGGCTCAAGACTGAGGGTTCTTGGAAGCTCCCGGGAACCCCCAGCCTTGAGCCTAAAAATATATATATACCTAATTTGGGCATTGTATAATTGAAAATTTCCCGAATCCTCGCTGGACCTGTTGCCATGAAGCTAGCAGGGCGGCAATACCGCAGCACAGCTGGTCAGGCACATAACCATTGGGAAGATCTTACAAAAATGCGACCCTATATTATTAATTTACCATAAATAAAATAATTGTTTAAACCACAAATAAACCCTAATCTAACTCTAAATATACCCTAAATTAATCTTAAATAAAACTTATTTTAACCTTTTAACAAACCCAAACCCAACCATAAATATATTTTAAACTAATCTCTAATAATTACTAAATAAATCCTAAATAAACCCTAAATTAATTTAAATGAATTTTAAACCAACTTTTAAAAAAGAAAACAGGACGTTATGAGAACATATGTTTTAATTATTTTTTCTCCAAATTATAATCATATTAAAATTTAAATTACGGATAAAATTGTGTTCATATCCAAATGCTATTACAATATTTCTTTAATACAATTTCTGCAGAATATGCTAGATAATTTCAAAATAATTACAACATCCCCAAGCCTGCCAACAAATGCAGTATTCAAAACAAACATACCCTTCTGAATAAGAATAATTTGCCTTTGGGGCAATGCCGTATATTTTTGCAGGGGCAATATCCAAACAAAATATAAAATATTCCTTGAAAAGTTGTACTATGCCCTCTGAAGGAGTGCAGTGTATTTCCAGATGTCTTACCCTCCTTTCAAAAGAGCAGTACCCCTTTTAGAAAAACCAATATTTCTGCATAATATATGCAGTATTATTGACATAGAGCATCCCTTTCAAAAGTGTAACATGCTTGAAATTGAGAGCATTATTAAACAAAGTTGTTTTTTTTCCATTTCTTGCCACTGAATAACAGAATATTGTCCTCTATGGCAAAAAAATTTTCCTGTGAAGAAATGACATTCTTGAATAATTGGATTATTTTTATTTGACATCTGTACCCCTTGATCAGATCAACCCAATCTTTATTTAGATAATTCTTCCTTAAAGAAATCCGCCCGCACCGAAGGTGCTGGGGCGTGATCGTCCGGATGGCACTCGTAAAAGGTTACAGGTTTACCTGCGGGGGGGGGGGGGCATTTTTCGGCCAAAACCTCCTGTTTTTGATAGGTCGTGACGCTCGCCTTCAAAAAAAACTGTAAAAAACAGTACGGAAGACACCTGTTCGTGAACGCGCCCGTCCAAAATCGGCAAGCGAAAAGTGAAAAAAACCCGTGTTTTTTAACTTTTTGACCTCAATTTTTTTGGTTTGCAACATCTTTTTTTGCGGTTCCGCAGGTGGCCTGGCCCGGAGGCGGATTTTTGAGTTTTTGGACCCGTTTTCGGACTGATTTTCGTCGTTTTGTGATAGCAGAAACACTGTTTTTTACACTATTTTTCTGTTTTTCTGCATGTTTGATGGCTAGCTTCAAAATTTCCAAAAACCTCGTAAATTACACTGTTTTATGTTACGGTGTGAATGAAAATATCGTAAATACCAGTGTTTTTTGACTTTGATTAAAAAAACACTGTAAATTACAGTGATTTTGGCCACCTGACCCTTAAAAACCATGGTATTTGCAGTGGTTTCTGCTTCTCACCACGCAAAAACACTGTAAATAACAGCAATTTCGCCGTTTTTTCATGTTTTTCGTTCTTTTTTGAATTGCGTTGGTCCGCTATACATGGCTATTAAATTCTTCGCGTTTTTTTTTCCGACAATCAATACTTTCGGATGTTTTTGGTCTCAATGGCCGACATCATTGGCAGTTACGAGCGGTCGTGAAGGTGTGAGAACAACATCGTTCAAACCGTGGCGGCCGCACAGGGGTTCTTGTCGCGGAGCGACGGCAATAGAAGAGAACAATGGCAGTAGAAGAGAACAATGGCTGACATTATTAATAGTGTGGACCGTTTATTCGATATACGATGCGGTGCGGGTGGTTGCCGTCGCGAAGCGACGTGAATATTTTCAATATAATTCAATAACAAAATTTTCGTTTAATTAAATATCTCATTTATTTCAAGGGTATTGCACAAATTTAACAACAAATTCTTCAAGGACGACCATATTCGTTCAAAAGAGTGCTCCATGCACACAATACCATATGTTCAAACAAGATTTGGTTGTCTTAAGATCTAAAAATACAGATTTTTTAAATTACAATATTTTTCAAGAGGAGAATTGCTTACACCAAAGAGTGATATTCCCAAAATATGGTTCGTTATCTTGGAAAATATCATATTGTGCATTCAGAAAAATTATGTGCAATTATGAAGGACATATTTTATGTATTTATATGTACCATGTATTCTTCATTTAAGAAATTCTTGTGAAAAGAACATTGCATGTACAAAAGGGATCATTTTTAATATATAAGTAGACTAAAACATGACCTATTTCAATGGGATATTTTATCATTTTAAAGAAATGTATTTGTTGAAGGAAACACTCATTTCAAGGGGATGCATCGTTCCTTTTCAAGGGAATCCTTCAAAGTGTTTGAATATGTATTTATTCAAGGGTTTGAGCCAACAATATCAATATTAAAATCAATTTTATATATTTATTGGTTGCCTATGTTTTTGCATGTGTTCAATATAATTTTTGAAAAATTATATAAATATATAAAAATTACCTAATCTGTGTCCCAAGCCCCCCAAATTTCCTCCAATGATATCTATGGTTTGTAATAATTTTTTTATATTCTTTTCCAATGAGACCAGAGGCCCAAAAAAACAATAA